ATCTATGATTAGTTTATAAACATCTTTAGAATCCTTAATTTGTATTAATATGACTAATCCACTAATGAGTGAGTGTTATTGTTAAAAAAGTATTTTTTTACTTTTTCACTTTCTGCTATTGTCTTTGTAATATTGTATACGAGACCGTTTGTGTTGTCGTAGATGCTATCCTTATAATTCTTTACGTAATATTTAATCCTCGTGGTAGCGTGCTTCCAGTGATCACTAGTTGGAATCTTGGATAGTTTCTTCATATCTTACATTTCAATTTTTATGAGATGAGATGATGATGAGATGTCGTCAGAATTTGTAGAGATGTATGATACGCCATCTTTAACAGCTCGTGCCACAGTCGACGATAGCAGCTTCCTCCATTTTATTTTTGGTGCCACTTCAAAAAATTTATCAATCGGTTGCGATTTCCTTTATCCACCATCGTCTGTGTTATTAACGACGATGTCATCACTCTCTTCTTCATGTTGGGGAGAGAGAGGCGAGTAGTAATACTGTTTATAGGTATTTACATTATCGTCTGCGAAGCTGAATGATCTCTGCAACAACAGAGTTATCACGTTAATATCAATTTGATTAATCTGACACACACACACATACACACGTAAGGAAACAACAACAGAAATACAAGTAAGTTTGTCAATAGAATAAACACTTACCTCCATGATGCGTTGAAGTAGGTAACACAAACGTAGTATTGGTAGACGTATACAATTCACTGTGGTCAAACGACCATACACTGATTGCATGACTGCAATTGTTCCATCATATATAGTCCATTCTTATCTAAAACATGACACACACATACACATCCCTAAGTACAACGAAACTCTATGAATCAACAAACTTATCTCACATCACCACAGGCATGAACCTGTTTTGTGACTAACACAAAGAATGCGATTTAATATTTACAAATCACTATCATTGAACATTCCTATGACAACCATTGAATAGATTGATACTGTAATAATCTGCTAATAACAGTCATATCATGGATACACTAGAATTACAAAAACATATGAAAAAGATTCATTCCAGTCTAGAAAATAATGTTTATGCTGCTAATAGACTACCTATGTACACACATGTACCAACGTATATAATATGCAATTTGGATGCGGATGATAAACCAGGGTCACACTGGGTAGCCATACATATCGATACAAATGGTATCGGCCAATATTTTGATTCATATGGACGAACACCTGAGCGATATCATCTTCAGTTTTTGAAGAGGAATTGTAAGAGGTGGGACTGGAATGTTGATAGGATTCAGAATGATTGGACTTCGGTTTGTAGCGAATATTGCTTAATGTATTTGCTATTTAAGTTTCAGGGATGTTCAATGCATAGTTTTACGAACATATTTACAGGAAACACGCTGTACAATGATAATTTAGTGGATGAGATGTTCCACTCATATTTTGTAAAATGAAAGTAATAAAATTTCGAAATAAAAAATGAATGATTGTGTTTTATTGATGATATAGAAAATCAGACAAAATGAAGTTAACAATGAGTAATAGATAAGAACGCCAAAGCAACCGTAATGAGAGAGTTCGAAGCACAATAGATAATGATAACGATAGGCGTACAATGGGACGTTAAGTAATGTAACGATAAGCAAACAAAGGAACGTTAATGAGGGTTCAGAAGCTGATTCTGATTTGCATAACTCCAGAACCACGCATCCTACGCAAAAATGGACTGCAGAAACGTGATCAGAGCATGCCAAAACCTAGGATAGCATACCAAACTTTTTTTTTTTTTTTTTTTTTTTTTTAGGTTTGGTGCCACTCAGATTTTAGATTCCGGGTGATTAGCTGGTTCTGGCGCGTGCGCCAGAACCAGCTAATCACCACTACTCGAATTAGACATTTGGAACTACATACTTCATTAAAAAAGTTATCATCCTCTTGTATAATTTGTCAAAATATTGTAGTATAATTCTCAGAAATCTTCCCGGAACCTCTTTCGTCTAACTAAGACTCGAAACTCCATGCTGTTGTTGTCATTCTCTATCAAAAGTTGTAGGTACGGTTTGTTCCCAAGTGGGTAGTGTATACGCGCGAACATAGAATTGCACTCTACGCTCTCCCAGGACAGGCGTTAGTAATTACTGGCGGTCGTAACGTACAGACACATTAACTAGGTATTTGTGACAATGCTAATAACTTCTACGTTTTTATGAACATGGATAAGTAAAATGGACTCAGAAACAACGATTAAATACCTTTTTTATTTGATAAATATGAAACGTTCACAAATTTTACGCGAGATCGAAGTAAATAGATTATGTACCTTACTGATACGTTTAAGAATAGGACCAATAACATATCTCTGATACAATTCTAATAGTCAATTTTGCAAAACAACTTAACTAGTACGCATTGGTCGCTTTTTCATTGTTCAGTACTTCTTGAACCTGTACAAATGTCCTGATTTATTTATGACATAGCCTGCATAATTTTGTAGGTAAACCTTGCGGAAATATGCTGCAGGCAATTCGATACCAATTTAAACTACAATAGTTAGTAGGATTAACAATAACTTACTATATAATATGAAAAGTAACTTGGTCACGAAATCGCGAAAGTCACCCACAAGCGAAGGTCGCAGAAGTCCAACCACTAATGGCGATCGAAAGGTCGAGGGTTCAAGCCTTTGTAATGGAGCACTGGTTACAGTATAAGTACCCAACATAATCCGTTGTTTTAGAACAAAAAGGGATCATAAGCCTCATCTTCAAAGTGCTTTTGTAAAAATTGTATAGTGGTTGGTCTTTACTTAGTGTGCGAATTTCTTTTATGTGCCTTTATCTAGCTTACCAACCGTCTTCCTTTGCGGAGTCCTGTTTTAAGGATATGCCCTCCGGCGCCAGGCTCTTTGTAGTGACATGTGAGCTGTGTGTCGTCATATGATGTGTGATCTCCACTTGTTCGCGTGTTTTGGACTAGTCTTGTTAGTCTGCGCTATTTTAATTATGTTTGTGTTGCAGTCGGAGCACAGTTTTTACGATTTCTCTTTAATTTGGCCTCCAATTGCAGTCGAGGCTCACGAAAATCGAAACTATTTGTAGTCAAATTGTTAGGCGTCCTTGTAAATTGTGTGGCTTCTAGTCTAAGTATGGCAGTAGATAAATTAAAACACATATTCTCTGTGAAATATTAATGTAATGTGATATTCATTCATCTTGAAAAACAAGATATAAGTAACTGTATCTTATTGTCGTAAAAATGTTAAAGCCTGTATGACGAAACATCAAACATTGACGCGGACAATGCGGAGGATGTATTTAATTACAAATGTAGTGATAGTGCGTTATCTGCTCAGTCGTGTGTACTCGGGGCGATGTGACGATGGCCCATCACACCACACACACTCCGTGCAGTCTCCTCCGTTGTGAATCGTTACATAAGTGATGCGTGAATAACTTTGTTTGTGAAGGTGTGTGTCTGTCGCTCGCTAATTAATGGCAGCTGCAGTGATAGCGAACCATTACTGCTGCACGTGTCGTGATTACCAATGCTTACGTGTCAGTGATCTGCCCATCTTTGTAAATATATATTATAGATGTTTCCGTTTCCTTGCAAATATTCACGCTTTTGTTGAAATTCTTATTTTGAATTTGTGTTTCCAAATTCTATCAAGGTCTAAGGTCTGATCTAGAAATGGTTGACATTTAATTAGAAAATAAACCCGACTAGAATAGGTTTTCATTCAACGGTCGTCCCTATTTTTATCCGACTACACAGTGACCTTTATTTGCTTCGGAGGCTTTTATTACTATAAAATTATGGCTTTTACAACAGTTCCCTATTACAATGTTTTATCGTGTCAGTTTTAGACGCGATTATTTTTTCTAAATTACATATTCAATCTATAGTGTCGGTATATTAAGTATGCTAGATTTTCCTTAGAAGTATTGAATGTTAACTATGGAATTTCCTGCCACCTCTTTATGAAGTTCACATATTCGATTCGATTTGATGATGGAACACATGGAATAGTATCGCGCCTATTCCTGCTTATTTCCTTTACATCAGTAAATCCATGGTGTTTGGTGACTAGGCTTCTCCCAGTTGTAGTCTCTTTTGTGCCTTTAAGGCTTAAGTCTATTCTGACTCCTGCATTATATTTACAGTGGGAAGTGTATTTTATAGAATACAATATGTATTCTATAAATAATATATCTATATGTTTATATCTATCTGTCTAGTATAATAGTTTCATTCAGGATATAATAATAAGTACTATAAATATAGAACATTAATCATTATGTAACAAGTATTATTAGTTTATAAATCAACAGAGTTTACATATAATATGTAATTTCTATTTATGTTGGAAACAGATCACAATAATTATTAGCACTGATTTTATATTGTAAAGTAATTGTTTACATTTCAATCATGATGAATTAAGTTGCCTATATACTCAATGAACTCAATCCCAGACAGTTCAAAATCACATTAAGTACACGTGTGGTTGAATGATAATCACTTTTATAGCATTAAGGAATTTTTTGAACAGAACCTATAACTATAGAATGTTTGTATTTTTTTTATTTATGGTAAAGGTCGGCAAACGATCTTATTACCTGGTGGTAAGCCATCAGCGCGCGCAGCAGTTACGAGAGCTTTGCTGGCCTTTTAGGGATAATGGTTTCGGATATTTAATGATTGGGATGGGGGAGGGGGAGGGATTGGGCCTTCGGTAATTTCACTGACACGGTAAGACACAGCGATGTGGTTGTTTCACGCAGGTTTTCTATGAGGTCGTAGTATCAGTCCGATCGAGCCGACCTATCCCTGCCGAAGCATGGCTCTCCCACACTTATTCCGATAATAATTTATACTTGTATTAATCTAAACATGATGATCTATTGTAACTTGTAACACTTTTGTATACCACGTGTTACCCAAATTAATGTTTTTATGTTAAAAGACTTAGTAATATAACGCTTCGTTTGTTTGTCGTCGTAGGCAGGACTGTTCGTGGCGTTAAAGCTGGTGGCGCTGGCGCAGGCCGGCAAAGACATCAACATGAGCAACATACACTCCGAGGCCCCGCCACCTAAAGTTGTGAGTCCGTCTGAATATATTCACATAGTACGTACGTACGATCAGCTTAGACGGTGGCCTGCCGGTTGCTGCGTTGCACGTCGTGACTTTAATTTCTGCATTGATCATGCAATGGCATGATCCATAAGTTGTTGTTGTAGTGCCATGTAATGAAGGGATCTAATACACATATACGTATTTGTAAATGTATAATTAATTTATGATGTATGTAAGGTTATGTATATGTATGTGTATAAGTTACATTTGGGCCACTTGGACAAAAGCCTCTTAATAAAAATATAGATAAAAATAAATATATGATGTTTATGCCAGTGCTGAAGTTCTGAAGATCAACATTAAAGTTTCCAAAAAGACAAGTTCAATAATATAATTGAAATGTTAAAGACGAAACTTTCAATGTATTTTGTATGAGATTGTAGTATTTGCAATACATGACGCCATAATGTTTATGCGTTATATAGCATACTCAATTCTGAATTGCATTTTTGAACTAGGAACTAATCGTTCTTACGTGATTGTATGGCTTTAAATTATTTATGATACATGCTCCATGCTCCATCAGTTTTGTGAGTAGACCATCTACTCACAAAACTCATGGAGCTGTAATCTTCCATGAGATATGTATTAACACTTACAAAATAATTGTTTGTGTATTTGTTCAGGTGTTATTTTCATGTGCAAATATGAGATAATGGCAATTTCTTAGACGTAATATTGTATATATATTATTTGATTTACGTTTTTGAAGATATTGTAGGTCATGTACAAGTTGTACCAGAATAAACACAAGGTCTTTTAAGTGTTGGTTCGAGCCAGCACGACGTGCCATTGAATAACTTTAGTTTTAACACTTTAGGAACATCTGTTTGGCAAATATGGTCTTCAAAAACTCTATATTTAGTTTCTTGAGTTTTTTAACTTCTAATTAACATGAAACCTGTTCAGATCTATGACCTGATTTAGTATTGCATTGTTATTTCTGCTTATGTTTGGTATCTGCAGTACCTGCAGTCAGTGAGTCAGTCAGTAGAGTGCGTGTGTGTGTGTACAGGGCGAGCTCCCAAAGGTGCCCCCGACGCCGGCGCCGGGCCGGCCGGCCGCGCCGTCGCCCGCGCCGCTGATACCGCTGAGCGACTGGAGCATGAAGCCCGCCGAGCGCGACAAGTACAGCCAGCTCTTCGACTCGCTGCAGCCCAACAACGGCCTCATCGCCGGCAACAAGGTACCTAGCCATATGCTGACAACATTCATTCCTTTATACTTGCAGTAATGCAAATGACACAAAATTAGAATAATAATTAATTCTTTTTTGATCTCATCACAAATTTTTGGTTAATACAGAAGTTGTTTTAACTCATAGTTATATAACTTTTGTGAAAGAGTGAAGCCCGAAGAAGGTCACAAAACCTGTGTTACGGGTCCCTTACCCCCAAATTCTTACAGATAATGACGGAATGACGAGAAATTCAATCTTGTTGAAATGTTACAAGTACATAAATGAATGAACTGAATTCTAATGCTTTGAATGATCGTAAATGTTCCAGGTGAAAGGCATGCTGCTGGAGTCGAAGCTGCCGATAGAGACGCTGGGCAAGATCTGGGACCTCGCCGACCAGGACAAGGACGGCATGCTCGACAGACACGAGTTCATGGTGGTCAGTATCATTCGAGTCAATAAGTTGGTCAAACTGAGTTTGGTCCGTAACGACGCTTGAAATGTATGTGTGTGGTTGCAGGCGATGCACCTGGTGTACAAGGCGCTGGAGAAGCACGCCGTGCCCACGACGCTGCCGCCAGAGCTACGCGCGGGGGCGCGCCCTGCTCGGCCTCCCTCACGGCCCCCGTCCCGACCCCCTTCGCGGCCCCCATCGCGTCCTCCCTCTCCGCAATCCCGCCCCCCTCCCCCGCGCCCGCAACCCCCTCCGCCCCAACAGCCACAGTCAAATGCTTCGTTGTTAGAGGGCCTCCTCGACTTGTCTAGTGTGAGTATTTGTGTGGAACGTTAATGTATAAAAGTGCTGTTTCAATCTTATTTCTAAAAATAATTAATTTATTTCAATTCTTTACACTGCTTGAAAAAAGTTTGCCTTACATTATTAACAGACTTTTTGTCCCAATTAGGTTAATGTTTTGGTACGTTTAGTTTTACAATGTGTATTTGTTTGACCAGCCCCCCACACAGACGGCGCCCCCACTAAACAGCCTTAACACGTCGGGGAGTGGCGTGGGCAGTCTAGGCAGTATGGGCGGTGTGGGCAGTGTGGGCAGTGTGGGCGGTGTGGGCAGTACGGGCACAACGTGGGTGGTGACGGACGCGGAGCGCGCGGTGTTCGACGCGCAGTTCGCGGCGGCCGACACGGACCGGGACGGGTTCGTGTCCGGGAACGAAATCAAACACGTGTTCCTTGACTCTGGCCTGCCGCAGCAGACACTTGCACACATATGGTAACTTGACTTCTTTTTTTATCTTTACTTTAGCTAATGCTAATTTGATATGGATTCTTTTGGACGAGTTAGGTACCTACATTCTTTAGTCAAATATAATTAATTTCAACTTAAAAAGAAATAAAAATATAAAATTGATACTATTTCATTGATGGGTTTAAAGATATACTTTATTCGACGCAAAGATATAATGAAGTCAGACTATATTACTAAAAAATTTTTCACTTTTGCCAATTTAATGATGGTATTGAATTTGGCAAGTTGCAAGGCTTGTGGGCTGTAGTAGCGGAGCGGTGGATAGTATGTTGATGTAGTACCGCGCGTCGGCAGGGCGCTGTGCGACACGGAGGGCGCGGGCAAGCTGTCGAGCGCGCAGTTCGCGCTGGCCATGTGGCTGCTGCAGCGCGCCGCGCGCGGGACGCCCCCCCCCGCCGTGCTGCCGCCCAACATGATACCGCCGCCGGCGCCGCCTGTAAGTACCCCCCCCTAGCGTCGCGGGCGCGGCAGGCGCAGCAACAGCGCGGCGGCGGCCACAGCCAGCAGCAGCGCGGCGTGTCGCTGCCAGCCGCCGCAGACGACCAGCTTCACCGTCCCCGCCACCTTGTCGCGCTGCCAGCAACTGTACACATACACACCCCTCTACACTCTGCCATTACTGATCGATCCCCTCTAGACTCTGCCATTACTAACCAACCCCCCTCTACACTGTGCCATTACTGACCAACCCCCCTCTAAATTGTGCCATTACTGACCAACACCCCTCTACACTGTGCCACTACTAACCAAATTTCTTTTCCTTGTATTGTATCATAAGGACTATAAAATAAGTTACTTGTATCCTATATCCTTTGCTCTCACTTGGACATAAACTTCACCAATAACATGTTAATGTCTAATAGATATTAGTACCTAATACTACCTAAATGCTACACCAGGCCAACTTCTAGATTCTTTTGCTTGATAAAAAATGCGTGCGTAAATCCTATTATCTTCAGTTAGAATACGTCTACTATGGAAAGAAGATAGGTTTTTACGGAAAATTTGCTTTACTCGCCGTATTCGACAAGTAATCGGTAAGGTATAGAACTGGTGTGTACCTGTAGAGGTTGTGGTCGTGCAGCAGCGCGGCGTGCAGCACGAGGTGTCCCCGCGCGGCCACGTGCGCGCGGCCCGCCGCCCACGCCTGCCGCGCCACCAGCGCGCCGCCTCCCACGCCGGCCCCCACTCCCCCCACGCGCCACTGCACCGGCACGTCGCGCAGCGTTGTACTGCGCACCCAACACCATGTATACATGCCCATACGCACACTAATACTCCACAAAATTTAACCTCTAACCAAAGTCACAGACTTGTTCTCATAAAGCATCCAATGACTTCATGTCTTTAGCGCACCTTTCCAGTGCTTGAGTTACTACAAGCGCCATACTAATTTTTGTTAGTGGCATGGTAAAATTGTATTAGTTAGACTCTCTTCAACATCAACATCATCAACCGGAAGACGTCCACTACTGAACAAAGGCCTCCCTCTTAGTCCTTCACGTCGAACGACAAGTTGCCACCTGCATCCATTGGCTCCCCGCGACTCTGACGATGTCGTCGGTCCACCTAGCCGGCGGCCTGCTCACGCTACGTTTTCTGGTCCTTGGTCCCTCTAGTACTTTTCGGACACATCAGCTGTCCTTCCTTCGAGCGATGTTGCCCATTTTCACTCTAGTCTTTTAAAGTTTACGAGCTATGTAGATTTTGTGAATTTTGGTTCTTGGCGAATTTCCACACTTCGAATTTTGTCGCGCAAAGTTAGACTATATGTTTCCAAAATAATCCAGGATTACTACATACAAACGATTTGCAATACCATTGAATGCTAGAGCAGCATAATTATTACATAAAAAATCTACACAACGTGACATCTAAAGTATTTCTATAAATATAATTAATATTCTTACCCCGGACATCGAAGAGTGACCCGTTGTCCTAAGTTAGCGAATATAGTTTTGCTGACGGGAGGAGGCGGCTGTTTCGGAAGTTGGTAGTTTACTGGGTATATGTCGAACAAACTGTCGAGATTTTGAAGTGAGCTTGTCTCGGCACATGGCACCTGGAAGTTAATACATTACAAGGCTCAAACCACAGCATTATTAGTATATTATAAAGATGGAAGCTTTGTAAGTTTTTATTACATACATGTAAGAAGTTATTATTAGAACCGCTAGTCAGAATTCCAAAATTCGTTCACTGATAGGTAGCTACAATGTTCCTATAAGCTATAAAACATCACGGTACTAGTGGTACGGGTTATGAAACCGCGCGGGAGTAGTTAGTTGTTCATATACATAAAGTATTATACTATGAACTGGCATTGATATATTTTTATGGCAAACCCACCTTACACATGGCAATCATAATTTCGCTGGGACGTTCCTGTATGAAGTCGAGCGCCTTCATCGTCTGCGGCAAGTACTGCGACCGACACGGTATACCGCCCGGGAAAGCTACAACATATAATTCATTAATAATGTACAACTTTAAGTGTGGGAGAGCCATGCTTCGGCCCGAATGGGTCGGCGCGGCCGGACCTCGGCCTCACAGAAAACCGGCGTGAAATAACCACAGCGTCGACGTTGTGTTTCGCCGTGTGAGTGACGTTACCGGAGGCCCAATCCCCCCCATGTCCCCATTCTTTATTAATCATTACATATCCGAAACCCTTATCCCTTAAAAAGCTGGCAACGCGCTCGACTGAATCTCAAGCTATTATTTGTCCTAGGTTGATATGAAAGCTACGTGTTATATTTAGAGAAGTTGTGTAACTTTTTGCTTTAAAAAAATTGTAATAAGAACTTATTCCATGAATTAGGAGTTTTAATTATTGATGAGGTTGGAAAATTCAGTATGAGAATGAATGTTGCGTAACGTAGATAATGGTCATATATTTATTTATTAGTATAATGGGCGAGTCAAATGAACCGTTACATCGATTTTCCCCCATTTTGGTGATTGTATAAATTAGTTGGCAAGCCAATTAGCTGATATGAAAAAGTATACAGTTTTATTTGTTCTACACAGTAACTCTTTGTGAAGTGTTCGGTATAAGTTTTTGTGGTTATCTTAAATACGTTGGTAAATGACTATAAAGACAGTATTCCTTATTCATGAAAAAAATGCGTTAGAGCCAAACCTCTGAAATTGTATCGTCTTCGGTATTATACAGAACTAGCTTCTGCCCTCGGCTTCGCCCGCGTGGTATGTTGACAAAAAGTTGCCTATTCCGGAGTGTATCCTATGCTTGTGCCAAATTTCATCCAGTCCGTTCATCCGTTTAGGTGTGATTGACTAACAAGTGTGGGAGAGCCATGCTTCGGCACTAATGGGTCGGCTCGACCGGAGTGATACCACGGCCTCACAGAAAACCGGCGTGAAATAACCACTGCGTTGTGTTTCGCCGTGTGAGTGAGGTTACCGGAGGCCCAATCCTTCCCCTTCCCCAATCCCTAAATCTCCAAATCCCTAATCCCTAATCCCTAAAAGGTCGGCAACGCACTCGTAACTCCTCCGTTGCGAGTGTCCATGGACGGCGCTGATTGCTTACCATCAGGTAATCCGTCTGCTCGTTTGCCGACCTATTACATAAAAAAAAAACAAACATCCAAACATCGTAACTTTCGCAATTAAAATATTAGTAAGAAGTAAGATAAATTGTGATGATGTGTTTAGTGACGAACCTTGAAACAGATCAATGAGCTTATCGTCCAGTTCCATTAACTTGATTCGGGCCGCCGTCTTCTCGGAGTCGAGTAAGTAGTCTGCTATCTAGAGGACAAACGGTATACATATATAATTATATCGGATATATTAATCCGACTAGATGTTAACACGTAGGTACTTGTGTTTCGCCGTGTGAGTAAGGTTACCGGAGGCCCAATCCTTACCCGCATTCTCAACCCTCAACTCCAAAAGCCTATCCTTAAATCCCTAATAACCAACAAGAGGTCGGCAATGCACTTGTAGTAAATCCTTTAGTATCACGAGTGTCCATGGGCGGCGCTGATTGCTTACCACCATGTAATCGAGATGGTAGTCCGAACTATGCTATAAAAAAATATGTCAAAAGTGCCCAGAAGGTAGGCAGTATTTTCCTTGTACGTAACTCACAAGGTTCTGGTCGAGGTTGACGTAGCAGATCCCGTACCGATGTCTCCGGCCCACCTTGTCGCAGACGCTGCACTCGCTCCACTCCGACCACTGAGTGAACAGGATCACTCCCTCATACGCCTCCGCGGCCACCGGGTGCGGGCCCCGGGAGGTCGTCGGCTTTACCTGATGTCGACGTTGTACTTCGTAAAAGTATTTTGTTTTGGTATCAACTAACAAACAAACAAAAGTATTTATTCGCTTCCTAGGACGCTGAAAGGACACAAAAAAGGGAATAAAGAACTACGTTCAAGACTTGCGTTTTCTTCTCGCGCGGTTTCACCCGCTGCTCGGCTCCATTTGATCGTAGCGTGATGTTTTATAGCCTATAGCACTCTTAACATTGTAGCTGTCTATCAGTGAAAGAATTTTACTAATTCGACCAGCAAGCCGTTCTAAAGATCACTCCCTACATACAAACTTACAAATGAATAATTTTATCTTTTTGTAATATTATAGTATAGACGTATAGTTTGCGTATTGCAAAATGTTCTGTAAGAAGCAAACTAACCACAGTATAGCTCTCGTTGTCCACGACCTCGACGATGACGAGCCCTCCTTGGCCGTCTCCATCCCTGCACCAGTAGACGCCCTCGTCCTCCGGCATCACGTTGTATATCGTCATCACCTTACCTTCCATCGACAGCCGGTCATAGCTTTCGATCTCCGAGAAGTCTTCAATTGATGTTGTCTACAGAATGATTAAGAGGATAACGAACTTTTATAGACATCGCAAGCAGTCACTTGATCCAGATATCATTTTCTATATCAGGGGATTGCGTCTCAATACCATGTGTGTGACTTTGTATAAGATATCACCACTAAGTGTATTTAGACATCATAGACTCACGATTTGGAAAGGTATTCGTGAGTGCTCTTCTGAACCGTAACAGATGAATGGCATAGTCGCATGCTGACGTACATGACATGTTCATAGTACTGAGTATTTTCAGAACTTTAACAGACAAGTGAGTAAGTGTCGGAACGCTAAGCTTCGGCACGAATGGGTCGGCTCGACCGGAGTGATAATACGGCCTCACAGAAAACCGGCGAGAAATAACCACAGCGTTGTTTCGCCGGGTTACCCGAGGCCTAATCCTTCCGCTCCCCCAATCCCGAAATCTCTAAATCCCTAATCCCCAAAGTGTCTGCGACGCACTCGTAACTTCTCTGTTCTTGCGGATGTTAATCGGGTATCATCAGGTAATCCGTTGTTAGCTTACCATGTTGATTTCGTCACTGCCCCTGGAGTACATCCATACGAGGCGGTCCACGCTGTCGGGCTCGGTGCACAGGTCGCAGGGCAGTCGGGCGACGGCGCCCTGGAACAGCATGATGATGACGTTGGCCAGCAGGCGCGGCGCCGGCAGCGCGTCCTCCTGCTGCGCCGAGCACTCGTAGTACTGTTGCCACGCGCGCGCCAGGATAGACAGCTTGCGCTTATCACCCCCTGCCCAATATAAACCTTACAGCTATTTTGTTCTGTAAAAATAATCCGAACCACTAAGGAGTGGAATTCTTTGCCGGAGTCTCTGTTCCCCGAAGGGTACAACCTGGGTGTGCCTTCAAGTCCTGAATTAATAGGTTGCTTATGGGTGGGTATGCTCCATCGTAGGTTGCATTATCGTTTAACACTAGGCGTGATAGAGGCCTAATGCCTGCCCCTTCAGAAAAAGAGAAGAATGATTTGTGTGTGTTCTGTGTTTGTGAGTTCTATCGTGTCTCTGTAGTTCACGTGTTCTGGCTGAAAATAGTGAATAAGACTATTCATATTTAAAATTTCAATGTTCTTCAACTTACTTGGGTACATTAAATTGTCCAAATCTATATTGTCCCATTTAACATCATCCCTGACGGGTCCATACATTTCCTTACTCCTATTGTCGAGTTCTTCTACTTTCCTACGAATATAATAGTTTTTTTCGCATCTTACATTATATATTATCACTAAAATCGTAATGAAAATTCTTAAGTCGGCCATTTTGAAAGATATTTCTTTTGGCTGTCTATAATTTGACAGGCCTTTTGTTTTTATTTGAATATTTTTTAGTAAAATTATTATTCTATTCTTGTTTTAAACTACTCTAAGAACTAGAATATGTTTTTTTACGAAGTTTAAGTATAGGAACTGCATTTTGTTTAATTGACATCTAGTACGTACGCCTTTAGCGTATCAAATTATAACACTGACATCCAATATTTCTTTTTAACAGCAAATGTTTTTAATTTTTCTACAATGTTCCTATAAGCTATAAAACATCACGGTACTAGTGGTGTGGGTTATAAAACCGCGCGAGAGTTGCTAGTTATTCTTTTACATAAAGTATTATACTATGAACTGGCATTGATATATTTTTATGGCAAACCCACCTTACACATGGCAATCATAATTTCGCTGGGACGTTCCTGTATGAAGTCGAGCGCCTTCATCGTCTGCGGCAAGTACTGCGAGCGACACGGTATACCGCCTGGGAAAGCTACAACATACTTAGGTTGTATACATTAATAATGCACAACTTTTAAGTGTGGGAGAGCCATGCTTCGGCGCGAATGGATCGGCCCGGCCGGACCTCGACCTCACAGAAAACCGGCGTGAAATAACCACAGCGTCGTCGTTGTGTTTCGTCGTGTGAGTGAGGTTACCGGAGGCCCAATCATCCCGGTGATGGTGACTGCCCAATGATGGTGCCCCCCCTCCCCCCCATCTCCCCATTCTTTATTAATCCTTTCACATCCGAAACTCTTATCTCCTAATAAGCCGGCAACGCGCCCGCAACTTTTTGCGGGTGTCCATAGGCGACGGCTCATTGGCCGACTTATCCCATAAGAAAAACTGTATAACTTGTGTTTTTCGACTGAATCTCAAGCTATTATTTGTCCTATGGGGATATGAAAGCTACGTGTTATATTTAGAGAAGTTGTGTAACTTTTTGCTTTAAAAAAACGGTAATAACAACTTATTCTATGAATTAGGAGTTTTTTGATAAGGTTGGAAAATTCAGTATGGGAATGTTGCGTAATGTAGATAATGGTATCATATATTTATTTATTTATTAGTATAATGGGCGCGTCAAATGAACCGTTACATCGATTTTCCCCCATTTTGGTGATTGTATAAATTAGTTGGCAAGCTAATTAGGTGATATGAAAACGTATACAGTTTTATTTGTTCTTCACAGTAACTCTTTGTGAAGTGTTCGGTATAAGTTTTTGTGATTATCTTAAATACGTTGGTAAATGACTATATAGACAGTATTCCTTATTCATAAAAAAGTATAGTTGCATTAGAGCCAAACTTCTGAAATTGTATCGTCTTCGGTGTTATACAGAACTAGCTTCCGCCCTCGGCTTCGCCCGCGTATGTATGTTGACAAAAAGTAGCCTATTCCGGAGTGTATCCTATGCCTGTGCCAAATTTCATCCAGATCCGTTCATCCGTTTTCGTTTTCAAACATCGTAACTTTCGCAATTATAATTTTAGTAAGAAGTAAGATAAATGTGATGATGTGTATTAGTGACGAACCTTGAAACAGATCAATGAGCTTATCGTCCAGTTCCATTAACTTGATTCGGGCCGCCGTCTTCTCGGAGTCGAGTAAGTAGTCTGCAATCTAGAGGACAAACGGTATACATATTATACATATCGACTATATAAAAATAAAAATAAAATAGTCGGGTTTTCCTTCCTGACTCTTAAAGTTCCACGCACGAACCGATTTCCACGGTTTTGCATTCGTTGGAAAGAAAATTTAGGAAAAATTCAACAGAAAAGCGGGAAAATCTATTTTTCACAGCGCCAACTTTTTTAAATACTTCTGGTGGCGACATGGAGTTTGCTGGGTTTGCTAGTCCGATATATTAATCCGACTAGATGTTGACACGTACTTGCGTTTCGCCGTGCGAGTGAGGTTACCGGAGGCCCAATCCTTACCCGCATTCTCAACCCTCAACTCCAAAAGCCTATCCTTAAATCCCTAATAACCAACAAGAGGTCGGCAATGCACTTGTAGTAAATCCTTTAGTATCACGAGTGTCCATGGGCGGCGCTAATTGCTTACCACCATGTAATCCGGCTGGAAAACTGACACATGCTATAAAAATAATAATTCAAAAGTGCCCACAAGGTAGGCAGTATTTTCCTTTTACGTAACTCACAAGGTTCTGGTCGAGATTGACGTAGCAGATCCCATACCGATGTCTCCGGCCAACCTTGTCGCAGACGCTGCACTCGCTCCACTCCGACCACTGAGTGAACAGGATCACTCCCTCATACGCCTCCGCGGCCACCGGGTGCGGGCCCCGGGAGGTCGTCGGCTTTACCTGATGTCGACGTTGTATTTCGTAAAAGTATTTTGTTTTGGTATCAACTAAGAAACAAACAAAAGTATTTATTCGCGTCTTAGGACGCATATAGGACACAAAAAAGGGAATAAGGAATTACGTTCAAGATTTGCATTTGATTCTAATTTATTAGATACTAGCTGCTCTCGTGTGGTTTCACCCGCTGCTCGTAGCGTGATGTTTTATAGCCTATAGCACTCTGAACATTGTAGCTGTCTATCAGTAAAATAGTTTTGGTAACCCGACCGGCGGTTCCAAAGATTATTACCCTACATACAAACTTATAAATGACGCACTTAAACCTTTTTGTTATATTTGTTTTTGCGTATTGCAAAATGTTCTGTGAGAAGCAAACTAACCACAGTATAGCTCTCGTTGTCCACGACCTCGACGATAACGAGCCCCCCGTGGCCGTCTCCATCCCTGCACCAGTAGACGCCCTCGTCCTCTGGCATCACGTTGTATATCGTCATCACCTTACCTTCCATCGACAGCCGGTCATAGCTTTCGATCTCCGAGAAGTCTTCAATTGATGTTGTCTACAGAATGATGAGAAGGATAACTAACTATTCTAGAAGTTATTTAAGAAAACGCTAGCAGTCTCATGATCCAGATATTCTTAGTTTCTTTAGCAGGAAATTGCGTCTAAATACCACGTGTGCTTTGCCTAAGATATTAACACTTAGTCTATTTAGACATCGTAGACTCACGATGTGGAAAGGTATTCGTGAATGCTCTTCTGAACCATAAGAGATAAATGGCATAGTCGCATGCTGACGTACATGATATGTCTAGATCTAGATCTAGTATTTTCAGATCTTTAACAGACGAGTAGTAAAGTGTCGGAACGCTATGCTTCGGCACGAATGGGTCGGCTCGACCGGAGTGATACGAACGGCTTCACAAAAAACCGGCGTGAAACAACCACAGCGTTGTTTTTCGCCGTGTAAGGTTACCTATATTTCCCCTCTTCCAATCCCTAATCCACAAAATTTCGGCGACGCACTCGTAACTCTTTTGTTCTTGCGGGTGTCAATGGACGGCGATAATTGCTTACCATCAGGTAATCCGCTGTTAGCTTACCATGTTGATTTCGTCACTGCCCCTGGAGTACATCCATACAAGGCGGTCCACGCTGTCGGGCTCGGTGCACAGGTCGCAGGGCAGTCGGGCGACGGCGCCCTGGAACAGCATGATGATGACGTTGGCCAGCAGGCGCGGCGCCGGCAGCGCGTCCTCCTGCTGCGCCGAGCACTCGTAGTACTGTTGCCACGCGCGCGCCAGGATAGACAGCTTGCGCTTATCACCCCCTGCCCAATATAAACCTTACAGCTATTTTGTTCTGTAAAAATAATCCGAACCACTAAGGAGTGGAATTCTTTGCCGGAGTCTCTGTTCCCCGAAGGGTACAACCTGGGTGTGCCTTCAAGTCCTGAATTAATAGGTTGCTTATGGGTGGGTATGCTCCATCGTAGGTTGCATTATCGTTTAACACTAGGCGTGATAGAGGCCTAATGCCTGCCCCTTCAGAAAAAAAGAAGAATGATTTGTGTGTGTTCTGTGTTTGTGAGTTCTATCGTGTCTCTGTAGTTCACGTGTTCTGGCTGAAAATAGTGAATAAGACTATTCATATTTAAAATTTCAATGTTCTTCAACTTACTTGGGTACATTAAATTGTCCAAATCTATATTGTCCCATTTAACATCATCCCTGACGGGTCCATACATTTCCTTACTCCTATTGTCGAGTTCTTCTACTTTCCTACGAATATAATAGTTTTTTTCGCATCTTACATTATATATTATCACTAAAATCGTAATGAAAATTCTTAAGTCGGCCATTTTGAAAGATATTTCTTTTGGCTGTCTATAATTTGACAGGCCTTTTGTTTTTATTTGAATTTTTTTTAGTAAAATTATTATTCTATTCTTGTTTTAAACTACTCTAAGATTTCGAATATATTTTTTGGGAAGTTTAAGTATAGGGACTGCATTTTGTTTAATTGACATCTAGTACGTACGCCTTTAACCAAATTGTAACATTAACATCCAAATTTTTTTCAACAGCAAATGTTAATTTTTCTCAATGTTGTTAGCACCGTGATAGTCAATCTAGCCGATCCCAATTATTAATTTAAAAAGAGTATATTATCGAATATTTTATATTATAATATATATCATTTAAATATTGCAGAAGACAGAGCAGGCGGTGTCGCTGGGCCCGCAGCCGACCCCGGAGATGGAGGCCATCGCGCGCGAGGTGGACGCCCTCGCCCGCGAGCGGCTCGCGCTCGAGGCAGAGCTCGCCGCCAAGCAGAGGGACCTCACTGTCAAGACTGGGGAGGCCGACAGCTTGCAGGTATTACAATCATTATTTCTAAGCATTAATAATATTAATGTTGTTCCCTTAATTAAGAGTTCGCTTTGTCCCGTAAGTTTGTGTTTGTAAAGGATGTAAGTTATCTAGATATATTAGATTGTAATAGTAATATGTATTGCTTTCAGAGCGAATTGGACACATTAACGGCCACATTAAAACAATTAGAAAATCAAAAAGGTGAAGCACAAAAGAGATTAAATGACCTCAAAACACAGGTAAGTACGTGAAATATGTTTGTAATATTGTGCTAAAGAGTGATGTCCTGACCGAGCGACACGAATGTTGCAGGTGGAGAAGTTGCGGTCGCAGGTGTCGGCGCAGGAGGCGGCGGCGGCCGAGACGGAGGCCGAGGTGGCCAGTCGCCGCGCCGCCGCGCAGACCCTCAAGGAGAAGGAACGCGCGCTGCAGGCCGACGTCGCCGAAGCCGAGGCCGAGGCCGAAGCCGTCACCGCCCAGCTGCGCCGCACTGTGCTCGCCGTCAGCCAGGTCACTGCCGCTACATTGAGATTCCGAACTTGTATCTCGCGAGGCTTTATTCGTTTTTTTTATGTAATAGGTCGGCAAACGAGTAGATTACCTGATGTCAAGCAATCAGCGCCGCCCATGGAAACCCGCAATAACAGAGTAACGAGTGCGTTGCCAACCTTTTGGGGATTAGGGATTTGGATATTTAGGGATTAAGGAGGGATTGGGGGAGAGGAAGTATTGCGCCTCCGGTGACCTCACTCATACGGCAAAACACAACTCTGTGGTTATTTACACGCCGGTTTTCTGTTAGGCCGTGGTATCATTCCGGTCGAACCGATCCATTTGTGCCGAAGCATGGCTCTCCCACACTTAAAATAATAATTAATGATGTAATTACTCGATGAAATTTATTCGAAGACAATTCAGAATAGATCGCCGTGTTTATAACTAAACATACTCATGTAGAAGAAGGAGTATTCAAAGTACGAACATCACATGAGATCGTATTGAATGACCCTTGTCAGTTGTATTGTTGTGTACAGGCCAACATAAAGATCTCGCACCTGGAGGAGCAGTACCGGCTGATCAGTACGGCGGCGGAGTCGCTGGCGGCGGGCGGCGCGGGCGGGGCAGCCAGTCTGCAGCTGCAGCCGCAGTTCTCGGCCGAGCATCTGGAGCGGGTCGTACGCGGGGCCACGCCCAATGACGCACTCGTACGTAAACTTGCGACTATCATCATTTCATTATTGCTAGCTTAACCTACCAACTGAATGCGAAACATCTACTCATAAGTAACGCATACAACCCCACCTGATGATAAGCAGTGATGCAATCGTAAAGCGCACTAGTTTATTAAAAGCCTATTTACTTTAGCCTTGAAGACACCTAAACTGGACAGGAAGACCGTTGCAGGCAAGCTGTTCCAATCCTTAGATGTGCGTGGTATACACGACAAAGCATAATGCTTAGACCGGATGGTAGTGGTCTTAACATAGATGGATACCGCCGTACGTGTCGTACGAAGATTATTTGTACAGTTATAAGTTACTTGTTTTTTCTATATTAAATTTAAAGTTCATAATATTCTTTTAATCCTGTATACCTATGGGAATTAATGAATCAACAGATTTCCCTAAAATATCTATTTGTTGTAATATATGTATGTGTCTGTCGCAGGAAGACGAGCCGTTTGCGAAAAGCAACGGTTTTGGTGCGGGCGCCGGGTTCGAGTCGGACCCCTTCACGGAGGGAGCCTTCCCCGCCGCACTACCCGCGCACGATCCCTTCGCACCCACGCAACCCAAGCACACACAGGTCTCTCACTCAACGTTTTCTTATCTCGTAGGTCGGCAAACCAGCACACGGATTACCTGATGGAAAGTAATCAGCGTCACTCGTGGGCAACGGGGAAGTTGAGAGTGCGTTGCCGACTTTTTGGGGATAAGGGGTTCGTAGATATAGGGATTGGGGGAGGAGAATAGAATGAAATTCATATATTTGCAAGAAGCATGGTACAGAAAGATCTTAGAGCTAAACAGTGACCTTCACACTTCGCGACAAATAAATGGCATGCATAATTTATCATGCGAAGGATTGGGCTCCGGTAATTTATTTATTTATTTATTTTATTTATTTATTTATTTTTTTGGACTTCCAACAGAGAAAACACTTTAAATGCCAGACAATATACATAATAAAATATTTTCTTGTGCTTCTCCACTTATAAGAAGCCACAGCATGCAAATATGATGTAACAGCATGAATACAAATACAAATTTAAAATGATGTAAGTATTAAATTAAATTTTAACACTACGTTATATTAAGTCTAATAACAAGAAATGAGATCAAAATTATATAAAACAAAGTTTTTTTTTTAAAGTAGCTAATCAAAGCATAATCCTTTCAAACATAAAGCATAAGACTATCAAATAGTAAAATTTGTCAAAAAATAAAAATAAAATATATTAATAACAAGCGTTTTCTGAATTATAGAAATAATTATAATAATATGAATATGAAATGAAGTCAACATTAAACAAATTGAGAATAGTCTAAAAAGAAATGAAATTCTAATCAACAATGGAATTACAAATAAGCACAACTATATTAAAGTCAAATCATTGCTTGACAATGAATTAATAAAATAAATAAATAAAACATAAATATATATATAAATAAAACATAAGTAATCTCACTCACACGGCGAAATACAACGCTGTGGCTGTGTCACGCCGGTTTTCCGGGAGGCCGTGGAATCACTCCAGTCCTACGTTTATTGTATGCATAAAAACAAGACAACACATTTACCAACAAAAATTAAAATCTTTTTGTATGTATTTCTTCTATAAAGCCGAATCGACAGTACATGGGACCAAATTTGGTCCAGCCCTCATCGACATGTGCTTTTACAACATATTAATTAGTGACTTGTCTGTTGATGTAGATTGTTCACTTTATTTTAATAAATAAACAAATATTAATTAGCAGCATATTATGGTTTCCAGGACGGTTTCGCCACGGATCCGTTCGCATCGAACGCAGACCCCTTCGCTGGCGACGCGTTCTCTTCACACGACAATACTGCTAAAGCTAATAATGACGTGAGTCTTGTTGCATTTACATATTTAGTTTTGGTTTTTCAGCTCTGTATGTATGTGAAAATATATTGCTTTTTTAAAATGCCCCTGTATATAAATATGACTATTTACTATTAATTAAAAGTATCAAGTTCATGTGACTATATCAGACAACAGAAGCGTTTTACTGTTCTGAATATAGTTTCAAAACTTTAAGGAGATAGTGAATTGACAAACTGTTTATAATTAAAATAACGTTTTACAATTTAAGTATAGTAATGAGATGTGTGTGTGTGTCAGTTCTCGGAGGACCCGTTCGCAGTACTGCACGCTCCCCCGCGGGGGTCGTCCCCCGCCCCGGCCGCGACGACCCCCGCGCTGCCCCCCAAGCAGGGCAAGCTGCCCCCGCCGCGCCCCGCGCCGCCGCGACCCACGCCGCCCGCCAAGGTATCTTACACTACTACACTATTCTACAAATACACTCTCTTTTATAATTGGTTTTTATTATTTATTTTTTACCTTTACAATTTTATTATTTTCAATGAATATATCCTCGGCATTTGTTTTAAATTCTCGACTAAGTTACCTTTTAATAAAATTGGCGTTGATGTATTCATTGATCCGAAAATATAATTACAAATTTTCTTTAAACTACTTTGATATATTTGACAAAATTGCATAGACGTTACAACATTCGTATGTCAACAATATTTCTGTGAAACTTCATTTTTACTTAATCTACTATTGCAGTGTAGTCTATAATATTTTGCCAAATAATTCAAAAGTGTACGAAACTAGCGTCAGAGCTAAGTTTCTTTCCCTGTTTGGATATGATAATTAAAATGTTCCCTTTGTATTGTCAGGCTAACGATTTTTTTCAGATTGTGTTATTTATATGATTATTTGAAGTTTATTTACTCCCCGTCCCCCCAGTAATTAGGCGCATGGATGACAGACCGCTACGTCGATAAGCTAAATGTTTTGTTTTATTTTATTTACGCTGCAGAGAAAGTAAACAGTACGTAAAATTAAACGAAGTTTATTTGCACATAAACTAGAGGATGGCATTTTATTGTTCTGTTTAATTTGCATTGTCTTTTTTTATAAAATGTCACACTCGATAGCCACTTTCCTGGTATACTAAGTTTTAAACTTTCGCGTTTTATATTTACAACATATACATATACAACCAAGGTATTAAAATAATTATGTTTCGCGTTAATACCCGCGCAATTATATGTTGTACACTTGCCGAGTATTCAGTGGACGTTGCTTATTTTGTTTTGCATTTTTCATGCTAACCAAATCGGAATTCCGTATCTTAAAATTGTAAATACATAATAAATCGAAATTCCACATCTTAAAATTGTAAATACATAATAAGTTGAATTTTGAAAACTAAATAACGTTAATGAGGATTAGATATTGCAATTAGAATATGTATTCGGTGTTTATGTGCCATTTTTAATAGTTAACAAATTATTAATCAATTAGCTCTTGTATATCAGAAAGTGGTTTTTGTTGTTTGTGTACTTTCTCTGTGTCGGCCGCCCCCCGTTCGTTTGGTTGCCGCTACCCGCTACCCCAAGCTTGTTCCCTCTCCACACTATCACTCCTGTTGCATGATCATTTTATTTTATGCTTCGTTTTATTATTCTGTAGTTGCATGCCCCCTAGATGTAGTTGTTTCCGCCGCCAACTATATGATGCCAAGTTGATGCTTAGTACGAGCTTTTTAATTTCGAAATGTTAACGGATTTTGGTATTTTTGTAACGGAATTAAAACAAATTTTATGCATATATTACTTTAAGTTTAAATTAAATTCACTGATATGAATAGCGATATGGTCAAAACTAAGGTATTTCTTAAAAAGTGCTTCTGCTAAGTAGTGAATTCTTTGCCAGAGTCTGTGTTCCCCGAAGGTTACGACCTGTGTGTCTTTAAGGTCCGAGTGAATAGGTTGCTTATGGGTAGGCGTGCTCCATTGTAGGTCGCATTATCGGCCTAATCACTAGCTTTTTAACAGGTGAATTGTATATTATATGCATGATATTACAACATTAACTGTAGAATACTGGTTTCTGGTTATTGTCTCAAAGTAATGTGGTGTCAGATAGGGTTACTGACATTTCAGACAAATTTTTTGATACACTTTAATTTTGGTACCTTATAGGAATTAATCTATATTGAGACAGAAATGCAATAAGAAATAGCTCTTTTATCCAGTCAAAAATAAATCGTATCAAAACCGAACTAGTTGGGCCTAAGCGTAACTAGTATAAGTAGAAGATAGCGCAATCCAAAGTGATACATAGCTTAAAATGGCATAACGTGGTTTTGGCCTACTTTAGATTTAAATTATTTGAAAATTCATTTTCGAGTACCTACTACAATTAAAAGTATTATACTGTTTTTTTTTACTTTGGATTACGAACGTCTCACCCACATTCATTCGCGCAATTTTTGTGTCCACAAAGTAACTTATAGCCAATATATGCCACCCTAAAGCCATCATCAATAGGTTCGGTATTAAACGCTTGCTTATCCGACTGTACCAAATTGCTTTCTTTATTTGAATTTGTCTAATACGTCAATGAAAAACTATATTAAAACTAGCTTAGCCTAAGGCTTTAGGCCTTTTCGGCTTCCTTTGAGGCTATCTTCATCTACATCTCAAATTACAACTAATTCGGTGCAGCCGTTGAAATAAATACAAACATACATTCTCACAAACCTTTACATTTATAATATTCGTAGGTTTAAAATGTGTAATTTCTGCAGAGTACGAAACTTTTTGTCTGAAACGCAGTAACCCGTTAAATAAAGGGAAAGTTATAATGATGAAGAACTAAGAATGTTGCGAACTAAAGATGTTAGAAAAGTAAGGCAAAAAGTAAGTAGTAAATGGTTGATCGGGTTTAAAGGCCTTATGGGCTAACAAATAATATATAACATTTACAAATACTTTGCTGTCGTTGTGGTAGACTGCTTGTAGACTCGCACTAACACCTCATCCCACTCCTGTTCTAATTGGTTCATTTTATTTATTTCATTTGGTTTCATTTCTCTTAACTGATATTACTAAACCTGTACATAACCTATATTGACTTTAATCAAGAGTATATAATGCCACCTGAAGGGACTTCATTATTTTCAAGTGCAATAAAGTTGAATAAACTGAAAAGTATAAACCTGCGTTCTTTGAACGAAGTTTTATATAAGTAGCCACGTGATAGTATATGGTTTGAGTCCCGGCGGGTGGCAGTATATCCGGCGAGGGTCCCGTGCTAACCACGCTCGTGTGCTTGTCCCCACTTGCAGCGCTAAGCGGACGCGGCGGCGGAGTCACGTGCGTACTTCTGTCTCTCTCACACCCCCCGCTAGCCTCACGCCCCCACTCACACACACTTTGTCGTCCAGACCGATCGCCCCGCCATGGACTTCGCCGATGACCCCTTCAAGGACTACCGATACGAGGACCCCTTCAACATTGAGGACCCCTTCGCCGACGTCGCCGACGGCAAAAAGCCTGATCCCTTCGCCAGGCCCACTTCTGTCGCCGGCTTCGAAACTGACGACTTTTTTTCTGGCTCGAGCAATGTCAATGGCAATTTCGCTCTGCCCGAAAAGCGGAGCGGGCGAGTGTCCGCGCCGCCCGTAGCCTACGACCCCTTCTCCAGCCGGTCAGACTACAAGCCCGCCAAGCCCGCGCCCCCCGCCAGCGCCAACAACAACAACTCTAGCGGTAGCGACGCCTGGGCAGCCTGGCCAAACGACAACTGGGCTACTGACGACGCTTGGGCTAAAGCTCCTGCGCAAAAATCCGACGCTTGGAGTTCCGACGACACCGCTAAGAGGAATACCAACACGGTCACCGGCGACTGGAAGACCGACAACTGGGCCAACAAGTCCGACAACTGGGCGGCCGACTGGTCCGGCGCCGACACCAACAGGAATCTCAACGAGACCTGGCCCACCGCCAGCACGCTGCCTTCCAAGAAGGAGAAGTCTCCGCGGCCCGTGAAGTACGCCAAGTCCCTCGTGCACACCATCGGCGGCATCGGGCGCAGCAAGCAGAAGGACAAGGACAAGAAGAACAAGTCCAGCACCGAGCTGCACAGCATGGACCTGCCCAGCGAGGAGCAGCAGTGGGCCTGGGCCGCCGCGGAGTCGCGTCGTCTGCAGGCCGAGCAGGATGCGCGTCGCGCGCGGGAACAGGCCGACCTACAGCTCGCACTAGCTCTGTCGCGACAGGAACATTAGCCGCACCACGTCGCGCCCACCTCCATGTACGGGCCTACCGCCCACCTGTAAGGAATGCCGGCATATAATGAGTCTTGTGCACGCGACATCTTGTTAGGCATTCCTTACCATTGTGATTGCTTAGCGACTTAACGAAGCTGTCTGAGAATAGCTGACGGTTGGGAAACTATATTGCATCACAAAGACGACAGTCGCCAATTCGAATTTAACGGAACTAGAGATTGTGTACATACGTTTAATGTTTCGCTCGTTGTAGTTAGTTAGATCGTTGAGCATTCCATTCGAGGCGTGACACGGAGGTCAGCTCGCCTCCCGACCGGCGGAGGCTACCTCGTTGTGTATATTTTGAAGTTATCATGTAACTCATTGTAAATTATTGATATTATATAGTTTCCTGTATATAATGGTTAGTGTGAGATGCTGACCCACGTTAAAGTATTTTTGTATGTGTTTATCAAAACTCGAAGAGTATTTTGATTGGTTTTCGATATTTTTACGAACGTAGTAACAGGCAGGCGGCATTTCATAGGAATATGTTTTACAAATTTGATGTACGATACGAGGTTTGTTTTAGGAAAGCTATGAAGTAGCACCAGGTTTGATTGGACACGTTGTGTTCCTCACTGCAGTGAGGGTGAGTTGTTGCGCATGCGCCATTGTGTACAGGTTACATACATTATATAGTTGGTTTGGTTAGCGGTCAGGGCACGGAGCTCGGAGTTCGACTCCGTAGTATTTAATTAATCACATGTTTAATCAGGTCACATGTGACCGACATGCCATGATTAGCGCATTTCCTGTTGAGCAGAGCTCCACTTGAAAAAAACTTGTTGTGTGATTAAATTTAACTAGTCAAAGCGCGCACTAAATTAATATTTATTAACAGCAATAAATACAATCGCATTATTGGGGAACCATAGTTTTATTGTTTCATTACTGACTGTACAAATCAACTAAATAAAAAACTACAAAAGTTTCACTAGTCAATTTGATTATTGCATGTTAGGGGCTCGATCAAAGCGTGGGGCGTGGATAGTGGCGCTGCCGTCGTGTGTGTCGGCCGGGCCCCGGGCTCGCTGTGGGCGCTCCCATACGTCGCGGCTCGACCATTCGTTATACTGACCCATCATCTTCACCCGAGTAACCGACGCACACGACTACAGCAGAATCTTAATAATATAAAGTAAATGTAAAAGTGTAATATATTGTTGTTTGCAACCGAGGCCTAATAGCTTCCTCACAATAATGTATAGTTTAATAGTTATTATAATATATCGCGTTCCGGACAATTCTGCGGCGCTATGAGTATTGTAAATGTATATTGTAGGCAGTACTCATAGAAGCCGGAGTCATTGTCAGTAATAACCAAGAGTAGACTCGTTACTACAGTTGTTCACACGAGTGGGTTATTTCTCGCGGCTGTACCATACAGATTTATGATTACACAATGTTCAAATGTATCCCCGTATGGAGGAAGTAGCTGCAACATACGCCTACGCTATTAATATATACTAACAATCCTATCGCAAAAAAGAAATGTGCCACTCAAAACTGATTTTTATTCATGTAAATTAAAGTCCACTATTTATTTTGTATGGCACATCTAGGCTTCTCTCATTTGAAATATGTTCCAAATAGAGCTCAAAAGCCAAAGAACAGAAAACAAAATCAATCTTTTTCCCGTCTAATGTGGTTTGTTTAAAAAGGATATATTTATATCATGTACAATAATGGAAGTCTTATGTGGAAAGTGCTTCAATGTTTCCTCTCATAGATGTACTCTTTGTAAGTTCGAATATGAGATGTTTTTTACGTCAGGATGGTTATACATTGGTCACATGTTGCTAGTAAAAAAAATCGTAGTTTGCCAATTAATTTTACAATTCAAACAGCCCTTGCAAATGTTCTGCATAATTGCAGACATCCCACCAATGTATGGCCACGCCTCATACCCTGTCGGTACTTGTATATTAATCACAGCGTTGTATTATATTCAACGTTAATTTTATTATGTTTAATTTGTATAAATAGATCACTATTATAATTATTATTATTTACGTAAGTATGTATGTCACATTGATTTCTTGAACATTGATATGTTTTGATATTTCATAAGACGTTAATAAATATTGTCTGCATGCTTAAGTCTGACTGAATTTATTTTTAATTTAGCAAGATATAATAATGAATGTTTATTATGGTAAACGAAGTCAATGTCACATACATTGCGTGTTTTGCATAGATGAATGTGTGTGTTGAGTGTGAAAATTCCAGTGTGCAGATATGTATTGTAAAGTACAACAGGTTTGTGCAAGTATCGGGCGACCGGCGCGAGTATTGTCATAGAATTCGTACCACTGTGATTGTGAATTAGTTTGCAGTATATTCCGCTTCTTACATTCTTACGCTTAATGGGTGATTCTTCACATCAATTAAAAAAAAATTAATAATGTCATTATCCTCAACCGAAAATTAACGAGTCTGCTGATTAAAACACAGATAATTATTTTATTAAATTAAATCTCACCACTGCTTACAAGCAATCGATTAAAAATATTGTATAAAATAAATTACTAAGATGCTTAAACCTGGGAGGATAATGACTTGTTAAATAAAAGTTAAGGTTTTTTGGAGAATCACCCTAATACACAAAAATAAGTGTTCCACATACGTTTTCTATGAGAATGCTCGCAGTGGCCGCCTGAACGTTTTGTTAATAATATATGTTATGTTAATATTATTTGTAATTATGTTGTCAGTATACATTATGTATGCGGGTATGTACGTTCACGGCGTTTGTTTGCAGCCACGCCTTGAACTATTTTATCTCAGTGGGTTTTTTGCCGTATAATATTATACTTATGTGCATATTTATATCTGCCATTTGGAAAGTAATGCGTGTTTGTGGGCACTTGGTCGACATCGATAAATCTTAGGTGTCTAGTTTATCTGCTATACGAACGTCGCAACATACTTGAAGCGGATTGTGAACTCACGCGCCGTACAATGGAAAATATTTGAATACTCACATAGAAATGTTCGTGCGAGTCGTCGGGTCACTCGGTTCTTTATAATGATAAGTGGTTCATTTGATTCTGCGCATCTTCTCTTCGGTAGTGCCTTTCTGTAACTCTACTTATCATTCTAGCTTCCTTGCGAGTAAAATTTGTTAATCTACACTAAGTATATTTAAAAATACAAAATCATTCGTCAAATTACTATAATAAAAAAAAATCTTCCAAAAAAATTAAGAAAATGTTAGCTTGAAAAATGTAAAATGGCGAAGTTCATTCGGCGAGTTTTATGAGGGGGAGCAAATAAAAAGAATTTCTACCAAAGTGGTAGTGTAATAATAAAATAATTAGCTTGTACTAGCAATATGTCGGCTGTAGGGCCGCCTCGCTTGCCGTGCCCCGCGAGGTGTCGTAGGATAAACTAACGATAGCGTGTAATATTGAATACCGATGTGTTTATGGGTATTATCCTAAAGTTGTTATCTCTTTCTTAGGCGCTGTTGTTTGTGGCTCGGAGGACCGCGCGGACCCTCCTCCTCTAGCATGTACTCTATGTAGATATATGTGACGCCTATTTATATGCTGAATGTAGAGACCAATGTTTAAAGCTACAGATGATTTTTGCAAATTTCTATTACGTTGTTGGAACTTGAAAGAATATATTTTGTCGTAGTCTATGATTTGTTGGAGTATATTTTTGTATTTTATTGTCGAGTCCGCGCGGTCCGGCCGACCCGTGTCTGTTATAAAGTATACATTATACTGTATGTACCTTTCAGTGATAGCCGGTAAAAGTAATATTTAAATTTCAAAGTTGACGTGTATATGTGTATTTAATAAAGCTAATATAAAATAAATTTGATAATATACAGGTTATTGTAAGCTTAAGTCGGTAGTGACGGTGCGCGGGAATAGACCCTCCACAAACAGTGTCCGTTGTTTAGCTGGTCGCGTGCAGTTGGAGGCACGCCAAGATCTGAATAGCAGTTCTGATAACTATAAGAAGGAAGTGCTCATTGGTGTAACCGCTCAGTATTATCCGGGACCGCGCGCCTTAGCTTGTTAGAGTAGCCGGGGAGCGTAGGAGCAGGACGTGCAAGTTGTTGAGGTAGGAGCCTGGTGCCGCGTCCCCGTGTAGTGGACTGGCTCCCCGACCGTACCCGCGCAAGGTCCGCGCGCTGTCTATATTATCATTGCCACGTTATTCACAGCTTTTTGTATGTGCAACGAATATATAAGTATGTTTTGTGTGTTTCTGTGAAACAAGCTCCTCTCTGTATGTATTGTGGGCTGCAGCGCGACGTTGTGTTACTGCACACGACGTGACGTCAGCTCTTGTTATAATTTGTGCTATAATGTTTACGGACGTTACGTTTTGTGAAATGTTTCTATAGTGTTATATCGGTACGTATGTATAAGGGAACAGAGCGGTAGTGTTACTGGTGTAGCCGCCGGACTGTGTAACGCATCCAAATGCAACTTATCATAGTACAATGTCTCATATCACGGTTTCTTTGTTCGGGGATGTGTATAGGAATGTTCTGACGGTACAATAACTATCTTATAATTATCAAATTCTTGTGATTTAGCGACGTATTTATACTGTATTTAAATATTTAGGCCTTTGCCTGGCACGTGGCGTGTCAAAGCGATCACTTAGTAGTGTAGCCACCGATTGCTTTGACGAGCATGTGGAGGAAAGGCCCTTAGCTTGTTGCGATGTATACATTAGAAGTGGAACAGAACGTCGAGGTAGAGTCCCCATTAGCTGACGGACAGTTTGGAGCGCCCTCTGGCGAGTCTGGTCGAGCCACATATCGCCTGTAACTCTAGATACTCGGTGCGTCTTCACTTTAGTTGGCGCTATTCTAAAACGACTGCATTTTGTACTAAACTGTGTTTTTATTTTGTACTCAAAACTCGTTTACTACTGTTCAACAATAAGCTTATGAATAAATATAATTATAATTGTTTATGCACTTTGTTCTAGAGAATTGCAAGTATAGAAAATTCTATGATATAGGTAACTTATATTGATTATAATGAGATAAATGTTTATATATAAAGTAAAAGTTGTGTACGTTTGTAACAATATAGCGTGTACGAGCAATCGATGCAGTGTCAGTACTGTGAGGTTGCGCTGTTATTGTGAAGTAGACGGTAGATGCACTAACACACGAGCTGATGCTGACTCGTATACCTAATTATTTGGCTGTGTTTTGTTGCGACATTTTCCTTTGTTTGTACAAGGGCTGCGGCCAACGCGCGTGCGCGTCCTCTAGCTTGTTAAATATTTGGCGCGCATCTGTTGGTCGCAGGCCACGCGGTGATCCTGAATGATTATAGTAATTATTGTATATTTGTTATGTACTGAGTTGTATGTATGAGAGGCAGTTGGTTCGGTATCAGGTCGTGCATTCGTCATTACCCGCTGACATGTATTCACTGTATCAAACTATGATATTATATTAATATGAAAACAAACAATTCCTGAGATAATAAAAAGGAAAATATTACAAAAAGTAGTTTTATTCGTATAAACCTAAAAAGACAACACTACACTACAATAGACTTAATTCGTGCACAACAGCATCTGCACGATTCTTAATTGTGTACAATGGGACAATGGAGTTTTGGTAACAATGTAAATTATTACAACTACAAAAACTTATTTGAGAATGCCCCACTTGACGTAGTCGTTGACCACTCCGTTCAGCCTCTCCGCGTACAGGTCGCTGGTCTTCTCCACGTTGAAACTGGAGATGTCGAGGGACTCGTCCACTGCGGGAGCATTCTCCATCTCCACGGTAAGGACTGGCAGGGTGATGATAGCCAGAAGGAGTCCGCTTGGCAACTTCTGTAAGAAATAATTATATTTCTCAGTGCCATTCTGAATATTACCAAAAAGGTCCTTATTCGTAACTGTCTAATGGCCTGGTAGTAAGCAATGGTGTGTACTTATATCGTTAGAGCTTGCCAAAAAGCAACCTATTCGGTTTACTTTTGATATCACTCAGGTCACTTCTCGAAACAGAATTTGGCAAGGAGTCTGCATGGCAGATCTTAAAAATAAAGCGAACCGATTCGTGTGGATGTCTTGAATTGATAATGTAAGCATTGGCAGATAAGATCTTACACCTGGAGGGCATGAACAGACAGCCAGATAAACAGTTCGATCACCTATTTAAGTTGATATCTCTATTGTATTTATGATACATGATTACTATCTATTTAAACAACACGGATGATGAAATATACTAATATCTTGCAAAGTGCCTACTTGTGTTATACGACTGGCGATAATTAAAATTAAAATATGTCTCATACAAATATCATACATTTGGGACTGTCCTGAATACTACCGGCTTGAATATATCTGAGAACTATAGTTAGAAATCCTCACAAATATTACCTACAATTCATATATCAGAAAATCGCTGCATCATAAGCATAGCACCTGACTTATTGTGGGTTGCGGGTCAAGCGCAATAAGATACCATGGCCTCGGCCTGGAGCATTAGAAGGAACGGAGTGGTGGTTTTAGACAGTAAGATTTTGGCACTCCCTTTAGGCCCACCCAGGAGACAGAAGTTTCGAACTTAGGAGAATATTTGCTGATGTACGTAAGGATTGAGGAGTTACATCAGATTTTTCAAATCAGATTTCACCATTATTTAGTAGCAACGTAGCCTATTTTGCTGCACAAATTCTAGGTTTAGCAGCAAAATATATATCTAGTTATTTGAATGAAAAGGTGGCTCCTCAATCTAAACATCTTTATTGAGGAGCCACCTGGAACTCGTTAAATAATAGATGAATCTGAATCTCAATCCTGACGTTCTAAGTAATGATTGATTGTAGCCACCTGAGATAGACAGTAGACCAATGTTATTCAGAATCTAATTTACGTCGTAGATACAAGTTGGTCAAAGAAGAACCTAATCAGAAATTGATGGGCATAACACAAGTCTATACACTTATTATTTGCTTGTATTAGTCATTGTTATAATGACGGCTTATCCTGGCGATATGGTGGCCATATACCTAACGAGTGGTACATAGTATCATGCGCTATATTTAGCATCAGATTATCATTGTGTAACATGTGACATAAACAAATAATCAGTACATGCGTTCATAGTACCTGTAGTACCCAACTGGTGTTACCTGTGCTAAACACTGATAAATATAATTTTATTATTTTGTCACTTTAGTGACAAAATAATACGTTTTCGTTGAAATATCCATTATTAGGATAGATTGTGTTAACTAGATTATTTTTTCATTCAAGTTTATTATAAACGATTTTGCATTTTACCTGTTCTTTTTTTTCAAAGAATAATTTTATATTTATAGTGTAACATATTATTATGTAATTAGGTATTATATGTCTTGGTGGCCCGGAGGTTAAGGAACCCGCTTCTATGATTATTTAGACATCACTGACATACGGTGAAGGTAAACATCGTGAGGAAACCTGGACTTATTATTTCTAATTATAAGTTTGAAATCGCCAACCCGCATTGGGCAAGCGTGGCGATTAATGCTCTAACCTTCTCCGTATGAGAAGAGGCCTTTGCTCAGCAGTGGGCACTTATAGGCTGATGACGAAGGTATTATATAAAATTATGATATAGTAGGTGACATCTCCAAATGACTACGATTGCTACGAGCTGCGCGCTTTAATTTTCGTCGTGTGGAAGAAGCTACGCGCTGTGTGCTACGGCGTAGCATGACGCGTCCTCGACTTCTTTATCATTAAAATTTTAAGAACTGAATTATAAATTTTAGTAATGTAAGACTTTCACGGTACCGTACCTCTTTTAACTCGCAGTCGAAGTCTTCCCTTGAGAAGATCTCGTCAGGGTTGAGCTGCAGCCTCTTCATGGCAGCACTGAGCTCTGAGTAGTAGTGGTCCAGCAGCTTGTCGAAGTACTGAGCGCGGAACTTCTCATCAGTGCCCGCGATGATAAAGTATATCAAGTCGCTGATTGGGCTGCCAGCGTACATTGTCTGAAGATCTACGACCTTAATATCCACCGTGCCATCCTGCGAATGGAAAATATTTTATATTAGACTAGCAGACCCGACAGACGTTGTCCTGCATAAGACAACTTTAAGCAATTAGGGTATTAAAAAAAGTATGACCATATTATGCGTGAAATATTGCGAAAGAGAAAACTAAAACACGCGCTTCCCCAGACATAAGCCTGAGCTAGATCGATTTCATCACATACAAGTTTCAAAAAAATGTTTAGGTCCATTTCCGAGATCACATGCCTTTTCAAGCAATCAGCACCATCCGCCGGGCTGATTTGTAAATCTAAAGCCATCCAGGGCGCCACAAAAAATCGTTTAAGTCGGTGAAGCCGTTTAAGAGGAGTTCAATGACATACACACTTATTAGAATTAAATAATGGCTGTACATCGACAAAAATATTCTTGTATCAACAGTTGACAATGATGTTTATGCAATGTAGCTGAAATCAGCAGTTAACCAGTAATTGGGCAATAAGTGCTACATCGACAAGTTTGCACGTTCGATTCCTGCCCGGAACAACAATATCCTGAGATGGTTATGTGAAATAAGCACTAGTGCGGGTAGCACTGAAATTTGCCTGTACTTAAATAAATGTAAATGTCTTTGTGAAGCTCCCTTTTCTGTTTTCTACTGTAGTCTGGATTGAACTGTTGCATGCTAACTGAAAAGTCTAGTCTAGACTAGTCTTTTTTATGTTATTGGTCGGCAAACAAGCTGAAGGTTTACCTAAAGGTAAGCAATTGGCGCCGCCTGAGGACACTTATGATACCAAAGAAGTGTAGCATGTACAGTAACGGGTGTTTAGGATTTAGGGATAGGGGATTTGATGGATGGGGGGAGGAGGGGAGGGTTTAGGCCAATTAACATAATGTAATGATCATTAAAAATCAAATAACTTACGTCAAGAATCTTGTGCATTAAATTGCTGGGTTTGTAGTCTCCGTGGCACATAACCGGCCGCCGGCTCGATTTTAGATATTTTTCATAGGAGTCTGGGTCGTAATTTTCGAAGTATTTCACAACTTTTTCTTTGTACTCTTCGACATTTAACGCATTAATAGCGTTACCTATCATTTTAGTTGCATAACTAACTGATTCAGACTCTTCCATTTTGATATTGTATACTACATTTTTCATAACTTCATTAAACCCTTCGGGGTCTCGTTTACCGTATGCCCAGGCGCATGCATGGAACTTGGCTAGTTCCCGGACCGCAGCCTGCGCGTACGGCCAGTCTATCGGCTTGGACCTGTCGTAAGCCTTGTACCCGGCTGGTACGAGGTCCTCCAGCACCATTACTTCTTCATTCAGCTCGATAGTACTTCCGTAGTACTTGCTGACGTTCAGTTTAAGATCGTCTGGTATTCCACACTGGTCTTCAATGTTTTGAAACATTTTACCGAGATTTGTGTAGAAGAAATGCTCTGTTTCATATATTGTAGATAGCTGCGCTCGCATTTTCTCGCCAATGGCTGCCACCTTGCAGAACAGTCGCAGTCTGTTGGAACCCTCAATGATGGACACCGAGAACAGCTTGGCTGTGTAATTAGCTCCGCCGCTCGATATTTCTTTAATGTCTAAGTTGTAATCTACAAACTTCTGTTCCTTTGCTATTTTGTGAAGTAAATCCGTAAAAGACTGCATGTCACGTTCCATTTTTTTAAGTGTTTTAACCAAATTAAAAAGCTGAACGTCTCACTTTTTCAGTGACTTTTATGAGAAATGGTTTGGTTTATTATTCGTCGCGTGCACGCCGGTCGGCACAGTTCAGCGTACTGGTCTGTGTGGACGGTGTTGATTAATAAATATGCTTGTCTTATCTGCGTTTTCCATGTGACGATTGCCTAACGAGGCAATCGAATAGCCCCAGCCGCAAATTGCAATAACTTTGACCGCAACTGCACACACCAGAATCCAAGAGCGTTCGGATGTGAGCGTTCTTAGAATATAATGTTATTCACAGCTTTTTTTATGTGCAACGAATATATAAGTATGTTTTGTGTGTTTCTGTGAAACAAGCTCCTCTCTGTATGTATTGTGGGCTGCAGCGCGATGTTGTGTTTCTGCACACGACGTGACGTCAGCTCTTGTTATAATTTGTGTTATAATGTTTACGGACGTTCATTATCATCATCATCATCAACCTGATTTCGTCCACTGCCTCCCCAATGATCAGCAGTTCTCATCCAATTACTGTCAGCCACCCTGCGGATGTCGTCAGTCCATCTAGTTGGAGGGTGCCCTATAAAGGGTGCAAGTACCTAGACTTGCCTAGACGTGGTCTCCACTCTAGAACACGTCTACTCCAAACTCCAACGGCCATCTGTTCTTCGACAGATGTGACCTGCCCACTGCCACTACAGTTTGCTTATCCCTTGGGCTATGTCGATAACTTTAGGTCTCTGTCGGACCACCTCGTTTCGAATATGGAAGTTACATTTTGTGATATGTTTGTTGTATAAACAGAGCCTCAGTGTTACTGATGTAGCAGCCGGGCTATATGAAGCATGCAACTTATCACGGTACAATGTCTCATAACGCAGTTTCTGTGTTCGGGGATATGTACAGAATTGTATCAATACGAAAATAATAAAGTCCTGAGATAATTAAAGGTAAATTTAACATAAACTAGTTTTATTTCTAAAAACCCTGTATATTTTGCTAATTTGTTAAAATTAATTATAAAGCTAGTAAATAAGAATAAAGTAACAGGAGCACAACACTACAACAGGCACAAATTTATTACAACAGAGGCTAAGAACTCACGGAGCGATTTTCGCCCGCGTCCGCTGCGGTTGCGGGCCCGCAGCTTCTGTAGAATTTAAATATTTATATAAAAAATTAAAGCACATTTCACGACGCGTTTTACGCCCGCGGCGTACGCGGTTGTATGCGGCTCCCGCTGTACTGGCGGGCAACTAGTAGAATCGCGCGGGTCGCGGTTACCCGCAGCCTCGGCGGGTGGCACCCGCGCGCTTTGCGATCGGTTGGCGAGCGAACGCGGGGGCCGGCGGGTCTTCTGTGAAGTAAATATAACGCAACGGCTAGTTTCTGGTGTGTGTCCATGGCGGTCTGGACCTCAACTGATCGTTAACCGCCCGTCTTGCAATCTTGCGATCATCGCCCGCCACGTTTGCGGGCGATGATCGCAACCGCGGCGGCTGTGTAACCGCGCAAATTACCGGTCTCGTGAGTTTGGAAATAAAACCGCAGTTCCGCTACCGCGGCGGGCACGGTTCAAAATCGCTCCGTGAGTTCTTAGCCAGAATGTATGTCGAATATCTGTCGAAGAACTTTATGTTGGAAAATAACATCACTTGAAACTTAATTCAAAATCAATTTACCCAATTAACACATTGTTCTTAACTAAACAGAAAATGTGAAATAATACATACCTAATCAAACTTATTCATATTTTCATTATTCACTTAAGTTTAAAAGGTAATAAGTGGTAAAACTTAATTTAGTTGTATAACTAAGTGTTCACTTAATTAATAAACTTTAGGCTTTTAGGTACATTTTAACACTAACTAAACAAAAAGGGATATTATAATAAATTAGGAAACTTGTTATACTTTTGGGCCCAAAATTATTTAAAATCATTCCTATGTGTGAAATTAAAGTTCCGATCACGTATGGCAATTATTTGAGAATGCCCCACTTGACGTAGTCGTTGACCACTCCGTTCAGCCTCTCCGCGTACAGGTCGCTGGTCTTCTCCACGTTAAAACTGGTGATATCGAGGGACTCGTCCACTTGGGGGGCATTCTCAGTATCTACTGTGACGACTGGCAGTGTGAACGCGGCGAGGACAAGACCGAATGGCAGCTTCTGTAACATGATATAAAATGGTAAGTTTTATGGTAGTAAAGTGACCGACTCCAGGTATAAAGCAAATATAAATTCAAAGAGACAAACCGGAGTCTGTATTCCCCGAAGGGTTATAACCTGGGTGTTTTAAGGCTTTAGTGAATAGGTTGCCTATTTGTAGACATGCTACAACGTAGAACGCATCAAAGCTTACCACACAAACAAACACAAAGTAACACAAATTAAACATAGGTGATGCCGCAATGTCCAGTCTTTTTGATAATGCATTAGGATAGTATTCGACCGCAAAGGTACCAGACGCAAAACTAATCATAACAGCAAATTCAGGATGATCCCAATCCTTCCCTTTTCCCCATTCCTCTCCAATCCCAAAAATTCCGTAACATCCCTAACCCTAATCCCCTAAAGGCCGACTTTTAGGGGATTAGGGTACCTACGCACGTAACGCACTCGTAAATGATTTTTAATGGCAGGTGTCCATGGGCGGCGCTGATTGCTTACCATCAGCTAATCCGCTCTTCGCTATCCGACCTATCTTCTTTATATATAAAAGTTTCATGTCACGTGTTGGTCCGCGATGGACTCGACTTGAAAGATAGGATAACTTACATCGCAATTTATAGTCACTATATACCTTAGCTACAGCAACGCGTAGCTGGGCGTGCTAGTCATATAATAAAAACTAATGGTGTTACAATAGTTCTCTCAGGATTATGATATACACCGACCTAATCTGAAATTATACTTTATTCATAGAAATATGGTTACGATAATTGCTTTGTGTTTTCCACATATAAGATCTATAAAAACTACCACGCATACACTAAATACGAAAACTATTTCGTCAGAATCGGTAACTAAGCAGCCTTTAAATAATAATTAATATTTGAAAATTTCAAGTCATGGTAAGTTGACAATTTTATAATTATTAACTATTATGATGCACACCTGAAGGATATAAATAAACAGATAATTATAATATTTAGTACTTAATATACACTATGATTCATATTTAATTAGGCTGATGAAACACATAATTGTCAAGGGTAGACGTACCTACGTAATAAATTATCATAATATTATTATGACTAATAAAAACAAAAGCTTTCCGTTATCTATGTATATATCTTTCCTATCTTAATTAGTCTACTGCGGCGCTATATATAGGCAAGTTCGAGTGTAGTTTGTCCCTCTATACTTTCATACACCACGTTACTGTCCGTCGAACACTCAGAACTACATTGACAAAATTCTCATAATCAAAACTATGTTAACTAATATTATAAATAAAAGTAAGTTTGATTTAATTTTTTATTTTAACACTTTACAGCCCATCTTCAAGTTCAGCCCTTTGTGCTGCTCGGAGCTCAGATTACCCAGCCCACTACCAGAGAAGTGCCCGACAAGACTCCGATCTGGCGGACGGTGAGTTCGGGTTTAGCAGAGAGCGCTCCCCGGTAGATGCCATCATGCGCGGGAGAAAGTTCGCGACGGGGACTGTATTGGCGGGTCCTCGTGACGGTGTCCCTAGACATCGCCAAGGCTTTTAACTCGCTGCCCTTGGCTTAACTTGCATTCTAGAGGCACTCCGGTACCACCAGGTACATACCTCTGTCGTATAGTCGAGGCTTATTTGACGGACAGATTCGTCATCTACCCTGGTCCCCGAGGCGTGTGGAGCCGGCGAGAGATGACGCGTTGTGTTCCACAGGGATCGGTTCTGGGACCACTTTACGAACGGTTTTACGATTGGGTGCGTAGCATCGATCGTATAGTTTCTTACGCTGACTACACGCTGGTAACGGGAGGTCGCATCAAGCGGCAACCGACCTGATGTCACAAGTTGTTGCGACCGTTGTTGCAAGGATCCGGAATTTTAGACTCGAGGTGGCGCTCCACAAGTCCAAGGCCGTGTGTTTTCATGGCCGTCGTAATGCGCTACCTCTTAGGTCCTAAACAACGGCGGGAAGTATTACTATCGGTGTCGAGTCAGCGATGAAATACCTGGGTCTCGTCCTCGACAGCCGGTAGAGGTTGCCGTGGGAACGGACTGGGATCACCGCCATGGGATTTGGAAGGGAATGCGGTCGCGTGCGTCTACAGGTTGCCGGCTGTCGCGGGTCGCCGGGGCAAAAATCCTCTGCTGTGCTAAATTAGTGCGTAGTGAGTGTCGGAACAAGCTCCGGCATCACATAGCAGAGTGGATGCAACGTATTGCTACGTCGTAGCAATGGGTACGCTGTTATATCAGCGGTGCTTGGGCTGAGCACCGCCTTGTCTTCAGGGAAGTGATCGGTGGCGGCGACCTCTTACGCCTGGCCTTAGTTGAGGCTATAGTGTGGAGCGAGAAGAACTGGGAAGCCCGTTAAGGCAGTCTCCTCTTTCTTTTACGCTCGCAAAGAAGTAGGCGGAAATGATCTCCGGCCACCGTAAGCGCGGGTCTACGACGGACGGTCACGACTGCGAAGTGTAAAGGTAGCTCGCCACCCGACCACAGACGGGGGTCGACGGTCTCATATCATGGTTGATCATAATCATGTTGAGTCGGGATTGCTGGGCAAGAAAAGAAAGAAAGAAAAGAAAGAAAAAGTTTATTGACACAAACCATGTGCACACAGATATAGTAACAAAAAGGTTATTTAGTATAAAAGAAAAAATAATGAAAACTAGATAACTGTGTGTCTCACGGCTGCGCCAAACAGGCCCAGTTCAGCATAAATACCAGACCACTTGGGCCTGACGCTGGTTTTCAGCTGGACCTTTGTGCATGACGTGCCTTATTGCGCTTACGTAAGCGCAATAAGGAACCGCGGGCTAAAGCTGGAGAAGGAATTGGAGATTTTTTTAGCCAGTAAGAGTCTGACTCTCCCTCACGCCTAACTCTACGGGGCGGAAGGGGGCTTAAAAGTTGGGAGAACGTTCGTAATATATAAAAATGGATTGCAAAATGTGTTGGTAAGCGCATAGCTCAACAACGCCTGGACCAATTTTGCTAATTCTTTTTTGTTGTGTTTGTTATTGTCAGGATAAGGTTCTTATCAAAGAAAATATTAGAAAAGTAGAGGGGAAAATTGGGAATAAGTGACCCTTTGATAGGGAGATAGTTGGACCCGTGCGAAGCGAGGGCGGGCCGCTAGTTTCATATAATATGAATGGCGGCAACGACTTGGGTAAAGCTTGACTATTGATTAGTAAGTACGTAAAATGCCAACTAGATGGCACCACGTGACGATTCAATGTTTTGTTATGTGACTTCAATTTCATGCTAACGTGCCGCAATAGTTTAGGGATTTAAACCCTGGAATTCCGTATTATGTCATTTATTTTTCTAATATTTTTATTAGATTCTAGCTCGGCGTCAGTTGTGGAACATTGGAGGAGCTTTGGTTTATTACCCTATACCCTTTAGATATCAAAATAAGTGACCCATGTAGAAAAGTCGCATTAAGTACTCATTATTTACAAAATTACTATCTCAAATATAAACACGTATGTAATTATGCTTTATACAAATACTTCAGCTTAGGTATATCTTTTCATCAGTCCTCCTTGATAAAGTCACAAACAAAGCTACAGAATGATTTATTTTTTCTAAATTTAGTTTTTATTATCGTATGATAAAGATAAAGTTAGATATGATTAAGTAAGTGACTTGTCATTTAATTTTGTTTAGAAATTAATTAATCAGCAACAAAGCCATTGTTTCTTGGTGACATTAAGGAACTGGTTTTTTAGTACCTATATTTAAAAACACATAAGGGCGCCGCACATGGACACCCAACCAAAAGGTTGACTGGTAGAGAATGCTCATTGTATTTAATTCGCCTTATATGTATTATACAGTGTTTTGTCAATTTATTTATTAACTAGCCGACCCGTTTTTGGCTATTAAAAAATAAGGGTTGATCGTAGAAGGGTGAAAATAGATTTGTATGTATTGTTGTATGATGTATCATAAAAAAATTAAAATTAAAAATTTTGTCAAAAAAAATTACGGGGATGAAAAATAGATGTTAGCCGATTCTCATACATACCGGATAAGCACAAAAAAAATAATCAAAATTGGTCAAGCCGTTTCGGAGGAGTATAGCGACGAAAATTGTGACACGACAATTTTATATATTAGACTATCAGATAAATATCATGTAACAACTTACAACCTAAACAACTCTTATCAGAATGTACGGAGCGAGTGGCCTTGAAGTAGATATATAATATTTTGATCAAGAAAGTTTGGTCAATATATTTTGTTTATTGCTTGTTGTTAACATTTTTTGTCTTTGTTAATATTTAAAAGTCTTGTAATGTTCAAATATGGGATGTGCACGTAACAGTCCTTGAGATAATTATTATAGGAAATAAAACAGATACCAGGATTGGTTTGTACATATATAGTATGAATTTGTAGGAATGCAATCTTTTTGACCCGAACAAATACCTACATATATACATAGAATGGACAAAGTTTAACTATTATCTGACGTACCTCTTTCATTTCATAGTCGAAGTCTTCTCGAGAGAAGACCTCGTCAGGGTTGAGCTGCAGCCTCTTCATGGCAGCACTGAGCTCTGAGTAGTAGTGGTCCAGCAGCTTGTCGAAGTACTGCGCGCGGAACTTCTCATCAGAGCCAGTGAAGATGAAGTAGATCAGGTCGGTGACCGGACTGCCGCCCTGCAGCGTCTGGAGATCCACGACCTTGATGGCTATTGAGCCGTCCTATAATTATGCAATATCAAATGTTCATCATCATCATTATCATTCAGTTGACGTATATTGCTAAAGATTAGCTTCCCCTTACTCTTTTCCGCCGGATTACAAACACTGTTTACCATTATTAGATACCGGCTTGTTGTGTCCACTGCTGAGCAAAGACTTCATCTTGCTCGGAGGTTTGAGCATTAATCACCACGCTTACTCAAAGTAGATTGGTGATTTCAATTTATAATTAAAAATAAATATATCTAAGTTTAGGTTTCTTCACGGTGTTTTCCTTCCTCGTTTGTCAGTGGTGACTAAATAAACTTAGAAAGTGCATAGTTATAACTCTGAAAGTGTTACAATGGTACTTGCCAGGTTTTTAAACTACTCCTTCATGCATGAGAAGTGAGTGCCTTAACCTTCGGATGACCACGACATTTAAAAATACTAGTACATCGTACAAATATGAGCTATACTCAGCTATCGGACAATTTTCGATATAAAAGTTTAATGTATTTGGTAATAACGTTATCTGAAAAGATTTTGATTTTGATTAAAATAATATCTGTACGTGAGGAACTGATAAGACGATTAGCGTTGACATTCTAGATATTCCTATCCGTCCTTTATTATCCTTTGTTTTATAATTAGGACTAATTAAATTATTAGTAACATCACGTTTTGTACAATTTTACCAATGTTGTGCCTAATCTACGTTGTTAATATGAAACGGGAATCTATATAGGTACCTACGCGTCATAACCGTGGTCATATCTTTTTTTTTTATTAACTTTCTTCATGACCATAGGTCCGTGGTCATAAATGTAGTTAGTGTTGCCATAAGTCTTATCCTTATCCTACAACACTATCCGTGATATTGTACTTTGGACAAAGATGACCTAAATTTCAAACAAAATAATCGGTTTTATCATATTTTATATTATTATAAGTTCTGCTTTATCATAATTTATCATTGTTCGTGGCTGGATATCTGTATCTTGCATTGTGATCCAACATTGAGCGAGCCATGGCTTCTACTTTCTTGGACTCGATTTCTTTTTTTTTGGGATTGCTGGCAAACGAGCAGACGGATCACCTGATGGTAAGTGATCAGCGCCACTCTTGGACATACACAACACCAGAGGAGCCATAGGCGCGTTGCCGGCGTTTTAAGGACTACGCTCGTTCATTGAAGGTTTGAAGGTCGTATCGGTTCGAAAATACTACCGCCGAAAGATCATTTCAAAGTTTTGCTGTGCGAGGCAGAAAGTTTATCACTTAAACCCGATCAAATTTTGATAAATTATCGTAATTAATAATATTTATCTGTATTTAATTACCAGTTGTTCTTTAAGTGTTTTACAGGATTTCGCATTCCTCAAACTTTACAAATAGCGTAAGACATAATTACAAAGTAATGTTTGGATAAGCGAAATGACGGAATCTGAATTGAAATCAAAGAATAATTACAACTTAAATATTCGAGTTAAGCCAGAGAGCAAGTAACGAGAAAAAAACCTGCACAGACTACACTATAGAATAGTATATTCTACTCATGTAAACTTGCATGGATTATAACATATGTAGCAAAAAAAAACTTACGTCAAGATTCTTGTGCATCAAGTTGCTTGGTCTAAAGTCCCCGTGGCCAAGCACCAGTCGCCGGCTTCTTTTAAAAACCTCTGTATACGTTGCTACGTTAAAGCTTTCGAAATATGTTTGCACTTTATTTTTATTTTCATCTCTCACTGTTTCGACTGCTTTGTTCTTCATGTTGGTCATATATATCTGCATGTTTTCGTTTTCCAAATCGATATCAAACATTACATTTTTCATAACTTCATCAAATCCCTCAGGGTCCTGTTTACCGTATGCCCAGGCGCATGCATGGAACTTGGCCAGTTCTCGGACCGCAGCCTGCGCGTACGGCCAGTCTATCGACTTGAACCTGTCGTAAGCCTCGTACCCTGCTGCCACAAGGTCCTCCAGCACCATAACTTCTTCGTTTAGTTTAGTAATACTTCCGTAGTACTTGCTGACGCTTAACTTAAGTTCGTTTGGTATTCCGCACTGGTCCTCTATAGTTTGGTACAGTTTCCCTAGTTTTGTATAAAATAAATGTTCAGTCTCGTATATTTTTGCTAGCTGAGCCCGCATCGCCTCACCGATGGCTGCGACTTTACAGAACAGTCGCAGAGTGTTGGTACCCTCAGTGACAGTCACCGAGAACAACTTGGACGTATAGTTTGCTCCTCCGCTTGATATTTCCTTGATGTCTAAATTGTAGTCGACGAATTTCTGTTCTTTTGCTATTTTGTGAAGCAAGTCTTTGAAAGATTCAGCAAGGTTTTCCATATTTACTGTGTTTTATTCAAATTTCAAAAGAAATATTGATCTTGTGTATTCAATGTGTTCTTGACCAATATAAATTGACGTTTAAAAAAGCCGGTGTAAATGTGTGCTTGTCGGTCGGCACGGTTGAGAGTACTGCTCTGTGCCGGTGTTGTTGTTGCTATATATGTATGTGTTATCTACGTTTTATGTGATTGCCTGCTTGAGCTGTAGGATATCAACTGTTGAGTAAATCGTCTTTAGAATTGTGTGTTTTTTTTATCTATACTAATATTATAAAGAGGTAAAATTTGTAAGTTTGTATGTAGGGGGTAACCTTTGGAACTGCTGGTCGGATTGGCAAAATTCTTTCACTGATAGATAGCTATAATGTTCCTGAGTGCTATAGGCTATAAAAATCACGCTACGATCAAATGGAGCTGAGCAGCGGGTGAAACCGCGCGAGAGTAGCTAGTCTATAATAAAAATAATTGAGAAAAGCGAATTGGACGATCAGACTGGTCAACCTATTATAAGCTCATGTTATTTTTTTAATTATAGCTAATTAGATCCTATATCAATCATCCGAGATCAATATCAATATCGCAGAGCATTAGCGCTTGTTGAAGACTATGTCTACTTACTTAATTATACTTACTCTTCGGTAGAAACAACTTGGAGAGAGAGGCTCGTAGAAGGATACAGCTGGACTGGGCAGCAAAGGAAACTCGGTCGGGTATTTTCGTCAAAGATACCGCAAAGCCTGAAGACAAAAGTCTTCAATGAGTGCTTCATACCAGTGATGACATACGGAGCCGAGAAGTGTGCACGTACAGTGCGACTGATCCACCAATTTAGAGTAGCGCAGCTTGGTATAGAAAAGGCAAAGCTTGGAGTTACTCTTACAGATCGAATTCAAAACGAAGTGATCTGACAGAGACCTTAAGTTTTCGACATAGCCAAAGGATTAGCAAACTGAAGTTGCAGTCCAAGGCAGGAACCGATGACTTGTGGTAGACGTGTTCAAGAGTGGAGTCCACGTTTAGGCGAACGTAGTAAAGGGCAACCTTCTGCTAGGTGGACTGACGATATCCGCGGAGTGCTTGGCAGTGGTTGGATGAGAAGAGCTGAACATCGAGCTCAGTGGCGCGCAATTGGGAACGCCTACTTATGTCCAGCAGTGGACAGAATCATGCCGGCAATGATGGTTAAGATGATTGGCGCTTCGGTACCATGGGATCATGTTGCCGCACAGACATATCTCGTCAAAATTAACTTATTTAAAGCGTATCGCCAAGGCTAGTTACGGCTCTCGGAGGACGTTAGCATTATTATATTGGAAGGCACTCTTCCGATATAATAATGTTTTCAGGACGTTGAAACACCCTCGTTTTAGCAAAGCTCCAGGGATTTATTGAAAATTACGACTTACTCTCATGAATTAACGTTGTAGCAACAGGATTGTATAACGCATTCGAATGCAACTTATCATTACAATGTCTTATATCACGGTTTCTTTGTTCGGGGATGTGTATAGGAATGTATAAATACGAAAACAAACAATTCCTTACATATTACAAAAAACTAGATGTATTCGTAATAAAAACCTAGCACATATAAATAGTTAAAACTATTGTATATGCACTGTAACTTTTTATGAATAAAAAAGCAACAGCGAACATAAGCATAGTTTGTATAACACAGAATCGGCACAAATGTCGACCAAAGATCTTAAAATAATACCTAATCTACCTACCTAACGAACAAAATCACATTATTCTAAACTAAATAAATAGAACATGTTGAATACGGTAGTTTCCAACTACTCAAATTCAATACTTTTATCCAAATGTCAAAAACTATACTTTTATAAGTTTGTATGAAAAACGGAGTTATGACGTCATAGTATTTTTGCGTCAAATAGCGTACTTATTTCTTAAAAATTAATTTAAAAATATCTAAAACTTAGTGTATCGATCGACCGATGAATAAAAGTATAGTTATTTTTCAATATTTTATTGTATTGAAACGTGGAATTAATTTATTTTTGACCTAGGAAACTACCCAAATATATACATATTTATATGGAAATTCTTAGGTATGCAAAATAATTTGATAAAGTAATAGAAAATTGATCACTACGGCATGAATAAAGTTCTAATTACGTGTGGCAATTATTTGAGAATGCCCCACTTGACGTAGTCGTTGACCACTCCGTTCAGTCTCTCCGCGTACAGGTCGCTGGTCTTCTCCACGTTGAAACTGGAGATGTCGAGGGACTCGTCAACCTGGGGGGCATTCTCAGTGTCCACTGTCACGACTGGTATGAGGAACGTAGCCAGAGCGAGACCGAATGGCAGCTTCTGTAAAAGAAGTTCACATGGTGAGCTATGGAGTAATATGTTTGAGGTGTTGGTATGTGGTTAAATGTACTTCTTACTAATAATTCTATTGCATATTCGAAACTATCAGAAATGGCATCTTATGACATTTGCTATTTGTTTTTGACGTTTTCTTTTAAAAGAAAGATTTCTCAAACTAATAAAGTTGGATCAATAATTGCCACACTTGTTTAAGGCCGATAGGTGATTTCAAACTTATAATAAAAAATTGTTGTTAGAAATTTTACGTTTCCTCACGATGTTTTCTTTTACCGTTTATCAGTAGTATACCTATATAACTAATTACATATTACACATTACACCCAAGGCAAGACTATTCTGCAATTTGACAGTAAATTGGTATGGTTGGCTATATGAACTGGTGGACTATGAAATAGTATGGCTTTAGTGAGCCTTTATTCCATAGAAAAATCAAAACCTGATCTTGGCCTTGAATAATTCACTCGTTCTAAGCCTAATGTAGCCCATTGTTGTATCATTTAGATATCTCATGTTTGTGTTTACATATTTATTTAGTATTGAGTATATGTGGTCTTTACTATCACATAAACGTGATTTAATTTATATGGAAATTTTAAATTATCTCTACGTGTGTTTATAAGCCTCATTTTTGGGAAAGGTTCGTTACTTTTTTTAAGCCTTGATATACTGCGTACTATCGTATTCGTAGCTGCATTAAAATCGGTGAAGTTGTTTAAATGATAATTGATTTCAACGTTTTTATTAGTTATTATTTTTACCCGATTGAATATTAGACGGTAAGAAAAAAGATTCACTAAGTAAGAAGTCAATGAGCATTCGTTTGTTTCTCAACCAAAAAATTATACACAATTTATCGAAGTCAAAGTAAAATAAGTTATCCAAACTAGACCAATATAACGCAATTATAAATGTGAAACAAAATAAGAAGACCCAGTCAAGGTCAGTCCTCTAGGGAAGCCGTGTGTTCGTTCCAAATTTATTTTACTGTGGAACACAACGAGTAAGAAACTCCATGGTTGTAACTTCTTCTTTTCAAATTGGATTTCATTAACATCAAAACTTGTTACCACGCTATTTTCGAATTTCATCAGCCTCGAACACGAGTACACACATTAGATATTATTAATCTCCAATAATCAGTCAGCTGCTCTTCCATAACCTTTGATCATATTGCAAATAGCAGCTCACCATGACTTGTGCTTTCGAAGTTATCTTTTCTGATGTTTTCAAATATCTGTTCCTAATATGTGATCTGTTTGATATCAAGTACTAATCTATTGTTAATTTACTGTAATTGATTAAATAAAATTAAATGCGGAAGAGTCGTGCTTCGGTACGAATGTACCGTGTGGTGGCTCGATGGGAATGATATCACAGCCTCGCAGAATACCGTCGTGAAACAACGTTGATTTTTGTTTCGCTAAATAGGTGAGGTTACAGGTAGCCCATTCGATATGCCCCATCTCCAATCTCTAATCCTCAAGCTCTAACCACCCACAAAAGGTAATGCACTTGAAACTTTTTTCCGCATTGACTATGGGTGCCGCTATCCCATAAAAATTATAGCACTTGTCAACTGGCTAGTCCCTATGTGGGTAATACGGGCATCATTAAGAGACATTTACCAGTTACCCTTACGTTTGGTTGCCAGTCATGACCTCTAGGCAATATTCCATAAACTGGAAAGAGAAGCATTGCACGGCTGATTATTATTATTTACTAGTTGCCATTGATGGTGGATATGAAGAGTATTAGATCGGATTTAGTGGGATACTACTTAATAAAGATGTTAAGCAATAGATGGATAGTGTTAAATTTTATAATTTTAATGACGCATCGAACCTGGCAAGTGTAAAACTGTGTCCTAGTTATATGTATGTACTTTTTAAGTAAATTTAGACACCAATGATAAAAGGCGAAGGTAAAGAACGCGAGAAAACCTGGATTTATAATTTTTAATCATAAGTTTGATATCACCAATCCGGCTTGAGCAAGCGTGGTGGCTAATGATGGAACCTTCTCTCTGTTAGAAAAGATCTTTAGTGATGCTGATGATAATAATGATAATGATCTATCGTACCTCGTTAATCTCATAGTCGAAGTCTTCTCGGGAGAAGATCTCGTCAGGGTTGAGCTGCAGCCTCTTCATGGCGGCACTGAGCTCTGAGTAGTAGTAGTCCACCAACTTGTCGAAGTACTGCGAGCGGAATTTCTCATCGGAGCCAGTGAAGATGAAGTATATTAGGTCGTTGACTGGACTGCCGCCCTGCATTGTCTGGAGGTCTACGACCTTGATGTCATAGGAGCCATCCTAGAAAGGAATAAATTGAAATTTTAGAATAGCTTGAATAACACATAACGCGTAGACAATGAGTTCACAAAAATTACAAATGGCCGAGTGGGACTCGAGTTCGTGCATTAGTAAAGTCACTTGTTATGTGAGAAGACACAATTGCCACATCACTTTATAATTTCTATAAAATGACAGATGTATCTCCTAATTACTATGATTATGGAAACTAACCTAAGTTGTTGATTGATGGATCGAACCAGAAACAAAAATGAGAGAGAATCATTGATGCAAAAATGAATTTATTTTTGTTGTCAAAATATCATTAATAAACGCCAACGATCCAAAAAAAACTAACATGGAGCCGGCATTTCATATCTGATTTTTCTGAGAAAAATAATCAGATAGGAAATGCCGCAATGCTGAAACTAACTCAGAGTTCAGATCGAGGCTTTAATATAAACTTTTTCCCTGCCGAAGCGTCTACCAAAAAACAAGAGAAGAAGGTAAGTGCGTGTGCGTAGGTAAATCTTTTTGAACAGTGAGGTAAGTTAGCAAAGATACGTAATTGCCGATTCTATCTTACTTCAATGTATTAACTAAAGTTACCATTAACTAAGAGGGTACGAGGTTACGAATAAACATAATAACTTACGTCAAGCTTTTTGTGCATTAAGTTACTCGGTTTGAAGTCGCCATGGTTCAGTACCAGCCTCCGGCTTCTTTTCTGGGTCGCTGCATATTCTTCCGCGTCGAAGCTTTCGAAATATTTCTGTAACATTTCTTTGTTTTCTTCCCGAACTGTTTGAACTGCTTTATCTATCATGCTGGTAGTATAAGTTTGCATTTCAGGTCCTTCGAATCCGAAATTAAACGTCATTTCTTTCAATATTTCTTCAAACTGTTCAGGTTCTTGTTTACCGTATGCCCAGGCGCATGCATGGAACTTGGCCAGTTCCCGGACCGCAGCCTGCGCGTACGGCCAATCTATCGACTTGAACCTGTCGTAGTTCTCGTACCCGGTAGCTACGAGGTCCTCCAGCACCATCACTTCTTCATTGAGCTGGATAGTACTTCCGTAGTACTTGGTCACGTTTAGTTTAAGTTCATCTGGTACCCCACACTGGTCTTCAATATTTCGGTACATTTTTGCAAGTTTTGTGTAGAAAAAGTGTTCTGTTGTGTATATTTTATCCATCTGAGCTCGCATCTGTTCGCCGATAGCTGCGACTTTACAGAACAGCTGAAGTTTTTTGGTGCCCTCAGTGACAGTCACCGAGAACAACTTGGACGTATAGTTTGCTCCTCCACTTGATATTTCCTTGATGTCTAAACTGTAGTCGACAAACTTCTGTTCCTTGGCTATCGTGTGAAGCAAATCTTTAAATGATTGTTTACAGTTCTCCATTTTGATATTTGAAAGTAAATTATCGTTCTATTTTAAAAAAGTTTAATTTCTTATCAGGTAACCTTGCTACGTGTGGATGGTAATATACCAATATGTTGAGACTTGTGCTCACCGGTCGACACAGTTCACTGTACTGGTCTGCACGGAGTAGCGCTGGCTGTTAAATATGTTTGTGTTATCTATGTGTCACATGCGGCTGCTTCGTTGCTCAGCGAGATTTAATTGCTAGATACTTTTGAGTAAAGGTACTTGGGTTCAAAGGTTCCTACTGTTTCCTACTGCTTGTATGATTTCAGTGTTTTAGAAAGAATGAGGTTATATTAAATACTCGAGGTTACATCGTGCTTTAGTTTTGTCTATCCGAAATAATAACAAAAACAAAACTTGAGAAAACTATTTCAAGCTAAGTGGTTTTGCCCTTTCTTTCAGTATTCTGGCCAAACTGGGGTAGCGCTTGCCCTCATGGCTGGACCCTAATTTTTTTAACGCGTCAGTGAGGTGAGCCTACTTGTACTTAAACGAAAATAAAACAATATTATAAGAATATTCTGTACGACAAATGAAATTAGATAAAAAAATCCAAAACAGACTCGGTTGCGCTTATTTTTGTGGATATTGCGGCGAATTAGTGGACACATCCTTATATCGCATATATTTAAACACAAATCAATAATATTAGGACATTAGCGAGGAGTTTAAATTATTTTAAAATAAACAGAAAAAGGTAAGGGTCACATCAATCAATACAAACACACATTTCTTTGTAAGCAATTTGTACACCCATACTTTCTCGGAATAAGGCGGTTCTAAATTCTAAAATAAACATATGAATATTGGTCAGTACAGGACAATACAGTAAAATTCTGATCATGCATTGGTACTATTTGAGAATGCCCCACTTGACATAGTCGTTGACTACTCCGTTCAGCCTTTCTGTATAAAGATCGTTAGTCTTCTCCATGTTGAAACTGGTGATGTCGAGGGACTCGTCCACCTGGGGGGCCTTTTCTGTATCTACTGTCACGACCGGAATGAGGAACGTGGCCAGAGATAGACCGAATGGCAGCTTCTGCAAAAGGAAATCAGCATGGTGAGCTAAAGAGATTTTTTTTTATGAATAGGTATTGGGTTTTATATGTATGTACAAATCTTAGTTGTAGTTTGCCCTGTATCATCTGTTATCATATATCAGTTCATTATATTCCATATAATTTTAATTGGTTAAGACTAGGCTAATAATCATCTCTTGTTAATGTTTGCTATTTATTTTTGACGTCACTGTTTTTTATTTTTAAGAGCTCGGTTCATGAGTACACGTCTTTTATGATTAGAAGAGATTATAAATTATAACCGGAATGTTTCATTATACCTTTTACCTTTTGTAAATATACTTAAAATTACAACGGAAAGGAAAAGTCACATTGATACTTGCTAGGTTTCGACTCCACCTTATTTTTATCTCCGGGCTACCACGACATTAACTCAAGGATACGAAATGACGTAATCACGAATCAATTTCAATTGTCTTAGAACTCGAAGCTGTTGGCTGGTTTGAGTCTGTTGTTTTGGACAGTAGTACATATATTTGCTGTGGGTCAAACCCGCCATGACCTTTGGAGGTTATCTGGTGCTTCTACAGAAGAACAGCTAGGCTCCACAAAACCCAGGTTCTAGGAGTAGAACAGAATGGCTTAAGGGCACAAAAGAGTCTGCGCAACTGGAAGTAGCCCAGTCACCAACCACCAGAAAAAATGTTAAAACAATTATTTGTTATATATTTGAGCTTTTATAATACTTGTTTTGATTAATAGGCTTGGCAAAAACGCCTAAACGTAAGGAATTTTGTTGGTGATATTGAATATTTTCCGTTGTGATTTCATTTGTGATAATCAAAACCTTGTTTCCACGCAATTCTCAAGTTTCATCAGCCTGGAATACGATTATGGACATTACATCATATTATTAATCTCCAATAATCAGTCAGCAGCTCTTCTTTTGATTATTTCACAAAATAACAGCTCACCATGATTTGTGTATTTAAAAAGCGTTATCTTTTATTGTCTAAATACTTAGATCTGTTTGATATCAACGAATAATCTCTGGGGATTGTACCGTAATCGATTAATAAAATTAAGAGTCGGAGAGCCATGCTTCGGCACAAATGTACCGGCTTGATCAGAGTGATATCACGGCCTCACAGAATACTGGCGTGAAACAACGTTTGCTTTGTGTTTGGGGTTTGTGTTGTGTTGTGTTGTGTGGGGTGCTTACGAACTAGGAACAGGTCTTATCTATATTATCTAAAATACGTGATGTGACGGCGTACGTGACACACCGCATTGTTTTACCGAGCCAGTAAGTTACTAGTGGTCCATTCGTTCCACCCCGGCCCCAATTACGAAACAAACAATCCTGAAATCCTCAACAACGCGCTTGAATTTTTTTTGGTGTTGCGGGTTATCCATTGGTGGTGCTGATTGCTTACCGTCAGACGATTTGTATCCTATCCGAAAAAACTATAGCACCGGTCATTGGGAGCAAAACGGGAATTAAATTGTGAGAGGTCATTAACCAGCTATCACTGATGGTAGATATGAGGAGTAGTAGTAGGGGTATACTACTGACTAAAGAGGCCAATCAATGGATTTATGATTTAAGCTTCACGTACCTCGTTAATTTCATAGTTGAAGTCTTCTCGGGAGAAGGTCTCGTCAGGGTTGAGATGCAGCCTCTTCATGGCCGCACTGAGCTCTGAGTAGTAGTGATCCAGCAGCTTGTCGAAGTACTGCGAGCGGAACTTCTCATCGGAACCAGAGAAGATGAAGAAGATCAAGTCGCTGACCGGACTGCCGCCCTGCATCGTCTGAAGGTCCACGATCTTGATGTCATAGGAGCCATCCTAGAAAGATTAATTGAAAATAACAACTTACTCACGTGATTTGACTGAGTAAAGTTTCTAATCACAACGGAAGTCTTTATTATGTATCACGATAATAAGAAGTACAGTATAGGTAAGAACGACAGGCATTTTTATGATGTAATAATCATAAAAATGCCTGTCATTCTTACTTATTTTGTTGCTAAATATATCTAAAGTTGCGCATGCAGCGCTGCGTAGCAATACGATTCTCAGTTCGCTATGTCATCTCCACAATTTCACTTAATTACTAAGATTATGAAAACTTGTATGTTCAGTTTGTTCAGAACAATGTTTGCTATCTATGTATATTGGCCGGATGACTTTGTTATTGGTTTTGGTTAGATTGAAAAGTGCAAGAAATACTTGTAAGCTAGCCTATACTGTTTAGTCACATTACTGGGTGACATTGGATTAACTTAATTGGAGATAAACTCCACTAAACTTTAAAGTTGGTCGCAAGCAGAATCAATTTCGGTCTGCTTGCGACCACGGCCTGTACATTAAGTTAGCCTTGAGATTACGTTTTGATTACCCACAATCGACAAAATTTTGTTAGCAAATGGGAAATTTCGCGTCACTTAATTGTGTTGTTTGTGGCAACATTAAAGATGGAATGTCTTCGAAACAAAATTGAAAGAGAATGGCAATCGAGAATTTATACTGTACTTTCTAGATGTTGGGTACATACAGATGATTTTGCTAAATCCTAAGTCACAGATAGCAAAGGTAGTAGTAGCGTAAAAAAGTCAGCAAAGATACGAAATTAATGATTTTTTCTTAAATTCAAATGCGGTTGAAGGAACAGATACGTAATGTGAAGAAATGGGTTCCCAAACATCGGCAATGGCCCTCCATGTTTGTAATAATGACGCGGCTCACTTTATACAGTTCCAAAAGGTCTTCGTACTAGCGAGGGAGGAATACCACCTGGAAAGTGCGGGAGACCATAAGATAAACTGAATGCCGTGTTTTAGTGGGAGACAGTGGCTGGACGCAACCAAACGATTGGAAACCAATCTTAAAGTCTACTAGTACTTGCTTCAAAAAGCACTAGACGCAAAGCTTCGCTTTATGTATTGGCTGATTCGTGGAAAATCCCAGTTAAACAATGAAAGTAAGATGACAGTTTACAAAACCATTTTAAAACCGGTTTAGACATATGGAATAGAGCTCTGGGGAACAGCAAGTAACAGCAATATAGAGATCTTGGAAAGATTTCAGACGAAAGCTATGAGATCCATGTTCAACATTCCAAAGTGCATTCAAAACAAATACATATATATTCTGCACGATTTGGGGCTAAACACCGTAAAAGAAGAAATCGCTGCGCGTAGTCTTAAGTACCAACATAAATTAACAACACATGTTAATGCTCTGGCTGCTAGACTTACGGGTTCTGGAAGTATCATATACTCAAGACTGAGAAGGAATAGCGTTCCAATACTCTTATGCGATTCCCCAAAAAATTGTGAGAGTAGTCAATGGACGACTCCCCGTGCTCAACTTGACAATTTTTCAGACATAGCTCAAACAACGGAATAACTAAATGTCTACGATAGATTGCTGTGCTTAGCAGGATACAGAATAAAAAAAACTTGCAACGTTGCCTACCTGATTTTTTGTATAAATGCAAAACACAATAGAAACAGGTTTCTATTACAAAATATACAGATACAGAGGAACATAGTATGTTCCTCTGTATCTGTATTTTTCCATGTTCAACATAGGTGCAATTTCCTGACTGGAATGACTTCTTGTAAAATTAATGATTTAAGTTACTTTTTTTGAAACGAAAAGAGTACTATGTTACGTATGAACAGAATAACTTACGTCAAGCATTTTATGCATTAAGTTACTCGGTCTGAAGTCTCCATGGTTCAGCACCAACCGCCGGCTTCTTTTCTGAGTCGCTGCGTATGCCTCCGCGTCGAAGCTTTCGAAATATTTCTGAAACATTTCTTTGTTTTCTTCCCGGACTGTTTGAACTGCTTTATCTATCACCTTGGTTGTATAAGCCTGCATTTCAGGTACTTCGAAACCGATATCAAACGACAATTGTTTCAAAATTTCTTCAAATTCTTCAGGTTCCTTTTTAGCGTATGCCCAGGCGCATGCATGTAACTTGGCCAGTTCCCGGACCGCAGCCTGCGCGTACGGCCAGTCTATCGACTTGAACCGGTCGTAAGTCTCATACCCGGCTGCTACGAGGTCCTCCAGCACCATTGCTTCTTCATTGAGCTGAATAATACTTCCGTAGTACTTGCTGAGATTCAGTTTAAGTTCATCTGGTATTCCACACTGGTCTTCAATATTTCGATACATTTTTGCAAGTTTTGTGTAGAAAAAGTGTTCTGTTGTGTATATCTTGTCCAGCTGAGATCGCATCTTATCACCGATGGCTGCGACTTTACAGAATAGTCGTAGAGTGTGGGTACCCTCAGTGACAGTCACCGAGAACAACTTGGACGTATAGTTTGCTCCTCCGCTTGATATTTCCTTGATGTCTAAACTGTAGTCGACAAACTTCTGTTCCTTGGCTATTGTGTGAAGCAAGTCTTTGAACGACTGTTTACAGTCCTCCATTTTGCTATCTAAATAAAACTTGTCGTTTAAATTATAAAAAGGTAACTTTCTTAACTGGTAACCTGGCTACGTGTGTATATTTGAATATGGTGAAATACTTTTATCACTGGTTGGCACAGTTCAGCGTACTGGTTTGCGTGGAGTGGCGCCGACTATTAAATATGTTTGTGTTATCTATGTTTAGGTACCTTTTTAACTATCGATTATGTTATGAACATTACTATCTGGCAATGTATTAAAATTATACCTTCAGGATATGTATACCTAAGTACAAATCAATTAAGTTACCTCACACGGAATTATAATTTCTATGGGGGTACCACAAGGCTCAATATTGGGTCCTTTCCTCTTTTTGGTCTACATAAATGACTTATCCCATTTATTTCAGTTGAATTATGTGTTGATGACAAATTGTTTTTTTTTTTAATAAATAGACAAATAAAAAGCTTCGACAGCCTAAAAATGCTATCATGATGGTGTAAAAGTGGTTTACAATAAATTATTTAGTAAGTACTTAACGACAAAAATATTTTGCTTAATGGAAGACCCGACAGCAAACTGGTGTAGCCGCTGCAAGCCGCCGCACTTCAGCTATTTTAAGACGACATCGAATGAAATATTATTATTAAAATAAATATTATTTAAATTACCACCCGTGCCAATAAACTGTGCACGCGGTAAAGTGACGTCACTCTGTCGGTACGATTTGTCTTTACAATTTTTCTCACAAAAATAATATTAATCTTTATCGATTTTAAGAGCTTTTTGATAGCTGTTTCTATTGTTTTGCTTTTTTGTCGTAGTGATATTTATAATAAATATAATTCGTATTAAAAACAAAGGGGGCGAATTCCAGTAAGGTGCACAGTTGATTCGTACGGGCGGTATGTACAAACTTATTTATGCCGTCCATTAACACTCGCAACTTCAGAGGAGTTACAACTGCGTTTGAGGCGTTTTGGAGATTAGGGTTTCAAAGGTTTGGGGATTAGGGAGGGGAAGAAGGATTGGGCCTCTTGTAACCTTACTCACACGGCGAAACACGACACTGTAGCTGTTCTACGCCGGTTTTTGTTTTCACTATGGTTGAGCTGACCCATTCGTGCCATGGCTTTGCCACACTTTTTAGTTAAAAGGTAACACCAGATTTACTACCTAGGCGTACTTGACAAAGTATCTATAAAATGTCTCAATTAAAGAAATTTTATACAAAAAAAACTACAGAAGTCCCTGTGCAGCGAATTTATTTAAATTATTGACACGTAACTCGAATCAGATTCTGTTGAGCTTAATTTTTTTATGGTATTTGTTATGGCGCGGCAAACCAGTGGACAAGGCACTTGACGGAAAGCAATCAAAGTCGCCAATGGACATCCGCATCACCTTAGAATTTTGTTTGAAATGGAACAATGGACTTGGTTTTGGTCATATTTGCGGTTACAATTAGTAATTCCGACCTTGAGGGTGTCGCAGGGGAAGGATTGGGTGACCTCAATCACAAGGCAAAATACAATACAGAGAGAGAGAACAAGTTTTCAGTGATATCTCTCGTTGTGGTTTTTCTCTGGCAGAGACTATGGCCGTATTCGTGCCGAGGATTTGCTCTCCCATACTTATTACTAGCTTTTGCCCGCGACTCCGTTCGCGTGGAATACTGAATTCCTGCAGATTTTTGGTATAAAAACTATCCTATGTCCTTTCTCGAGTTCAAAACTATGTCTGTACCAAATTTCACAGAAATCGGTTTAGTAGTTTAGGCGTGAAGAAAAGTCAGACAGACAGAGTTACTTTCGCATTTATAATATTAGTTTGGATTTGGATAAAAATAAAGGGACAAAAGGCAATCGCTACTACACCACATTGTGTATACACAACAGAATTTGTACGAATTTCGGTCGAAAATCGAATAGTTTCCAAACATATGTACATTATGTGAAACGAAAAACAACATAATTATAATGACATAATTCAATTCAATCACATTTTTATTATTAACTAAAGTATTAATTATTAAAATTACTCTAAAATTATATTATATTAATTGGTAAATTCATTTTTATAATACCAACATCACCTCTAGATACTTGTAAACCTTGTCATACACAAGTTTAAAATCAATCTTATGACTAGGAAACTCTTATAAAATAATATTTGGTAACAAAAAATCACAAATAATAGAAAATTGGTCCCTAATGCATATAACCATAAAGTTATAATCACGTGTAGCAATTATTTGAGAATGCCCCACTTGACGTAGTCGTTGACCACTCCGTTCAGCCTCTCCGCGTACAGGTCGCTGGTCTTCTCCACGTTGAAACTGGAGATGTCGAGGGACTCGTCCACCTGGGGGGCATTCTCCATCTCCACTGTGACGACCGGTAATATGAACGTGGCCAGAGTAAGACCGAATGGCAGCTTCTGTGAAAAGAAATCAGAATATTTAGTTTTTGCTACGCTATACGCCATTGTGCGACTAGACCAAAAAGGTTTGTTCTGAAATCAGATTTGGTCCTCAGCATGTGACTATACAACTTTACGTATAAGTTACAAATTTGGTAGCTCATGTCCCTGTGTTTTTACTATGTTTACACGTGGATCTGCCCGGGATATCGTAACATTTTATTGTGTAAATTCAAGCGATTATCACATAAATTAAAATAATATTTAAATGAATTCACAAGTCATGATAAATTGCACATTATGTATGTCTGATAATACAATACGCTACTTAAATCAGAACGATTAAACTATAAATATTTACACCTACCTAGATGGAGAGACCCAGAGATAAATAGATTAGTCAAATGTGTACCTAATATTTTCATACGATAATAATTGTGATTCATTTGTATGCCTTAATTAGGCTGACGAAATATACGACGATCTTGCACGATACTCTCTTCGTTTTGTGAACAAGACTCATCTTCATCATCAGCCTATAGGTGCCTAGTGCTGAGTAAAGGTCTCTTCTCACACGGAGAATTTAACACCACGTTTGCTCAAGTCGGATTGGCCAAAGTCAATCTTATAATTAGATATTATATGTTTCCTTAAGTTGTTTTTCCTCACCGTGTCTCAGTGGTTTCTATATATACTTATAGAAAAGAAATAACATATTATTATGCAACTTAGAAAAAGTCACATTGGTACTTGCCAGGTTTTCAACCTGGACTCATGCATGAGAAGCTGGATCCTTAACTTCAGGGCCAAAACGATACCAATTGAACAAGACATGTAATTTATGAAAAGATTTTATTTAACTTTATATTTTAAATTTAACTTCTGAGAAGGTAGCAATAAAGTCTTTACTTGTAAGGGTATCCATAAATATTACGTACTTAGCCGAATGAATTTTTGAGATCAGGAATTCATCACCCTCGTGAATTGTTAACTGAGAAAATATTTATTAGTTTCAAGTCACCTCGAGATTTTTATTCAAAAGCATGCTGTATGCTATGTCATTAAATTTGGTCTATCTAGGAAAGGTTTAAGTTCTTATTTCAGCCACAAGTATTTAGCTAAAAAACCCGCAAGCAACTTTTCGATTTAAAACCTTCTTTCTATACTATTTCAAAGTTTCATCAGCTTCGAAAATGAGTACCTAAGGACATATACACAGACATATTATTTATGTGCATATTATTAATAGCTCTCCCCATTACCCTTGATAATATCACAAATGCAACAAATCACCATGACTTGTAGCTTTAAAGAATATTATTTATTATCTTGATATGTCTAACTAGATAGACATAGATTAATTAATTTTAATACCTGATAATTATAGATAACTCGTTCATCTTTATATGGTAGATTCTGGACGATTTTGACGTTTGCTCTTTATCTTTGACGGTTGAATTTTAACAGCAGTAGTCTCATCAACTGTTTCGAGTGGTATACTCTTGAAGACCTCTATTTAGCAAATAGATACAAGATGCAGGCTTACTTATGATTTTTAGTTCTATGGCTATCATCGTGGTTGAGGTTAAGGCATCAGTTTCAAGATTACTATATTTGGCACCAATGGCAAAAGGAGGAAACCTTTTTTTTGAGGAGGGATAATCATCCAATAACTCAAGCCTAGGCGAGAGGGAGTGTCGAACTCTTGCTGACTAAACAAACCTCGGTCCTTGTCCGTCTCCAGATCGAGGCATAGGTGCGTTTTAGCGCTAGCCCCGGAACCTTGTCTGGGCATCGGCCTTGTTGGGCCCCGTCTGTGGTGGTCTATTGGTCCTTTAACACACACACACTGTATGCTCGGGTCTGATTCTGGCCGGGCGAGTTACCCTTGCTTACTGTCGGACTCATAATTTCTATTAATAATTTTCGCCAATCGCCAAAAAGACTTGAGCAAGCGTGGTTAGTAAGTAGATGCTCAAATCTTTTCTCTGTGAGAAGAGGCGTTTGCTCGGTAGTGGATACTTAAGGCTAATGATAAATGATGATAAATTGTACCTCGTTAATCTCATAGTCGAAGTCTTCCCGGGAGAAGACCTCGTCAGGGTTGAGCTGCAGCCTCTTCATGGCAGCACTGAGCTCTGAGTAGTAGTGGTCCAGCAGCTTATCGAAGTACTGCGCGCGGAAATTTTCGTCTGATCCTGAGAAGATGAAGTAGATCAGGTCGGTGACTGGACTACCGCCTTGCAGCGTTTGAAGGTCCACGACCTTGATGTCGACGGAGCCGTCCTGGAATTATATAAAAATTAATGTTAAATGTCAGCTTAAATAATATCGTAACGATAAATGTGTTTATTTCTGTGGTAGAAAGGCAAACTTTCTGACGGATTACTGATGGTAAGCAATCAGCGCTATCCATTCACACCCACAACAATCGGAGAATTACGTATGCGTTGCCGATTTTTTGGGGATTAGGGCTTTGGAGTTTTTGGGATTGGGGAAGTAGAAGGATCACTGCAGTAACCTAACTGACACGGCGAAACACATTGCTGTAATTGTTTCACGACGGTTTTCTGTGAGTCCGTGGTATCACTCTACGATTTTGTCCTGTGTCGTAGATGCGTTTGAAAACATAGGTAGACATCACACCCAGACTCGGAACAACAAATTTGTAAATCACGCAAAACAACTGTTTCGTGCGGAAATGTGTGCGAACCTGCGACACGTTGCACGGCAGCCGTTTGCCTAGCCATCGCGCCAACTGTGCAGTCATTGTATGTTTATCTCTCTGATCTCAAGTCAAGTTCGACGCGTTTGAGCACACACATAGGTACTTGAAAGAAAAAGACGACGAAGATGAAGAAGTGGTTCACAGAAACATTCCATGTTAATTGAGGGACGATAGATTTATGATTTTTCATTAAGCGTATGCTACACAAGGATTTTCTTCTAGGGCTTCGATACTAAAAAAGTTGCCCCACATTAGGATTTTCTCCTGTGTCATGGGTGCGTTTACAAACATACAATTTCACATACACATCACACCCAGATCTTTTTAGCAAAATGTGTGTTTAATAATGTTATTTACGAGCTACGATGGGGCTGACATGGTTAGTGTCATAACCACAAGTCCCTAAAAAAAATAAAGATAAAAAAAAATCACACCCAGACACGGAAAAACAATTAGTGGATCATACAAAATGTTGGTCCGTCCGGGAATTGAACCCGTGACACGTTGCAATGCAACCTGTTGCCCAGCTACAGCAGCAACCGTGCAGTCAAAAAGGCATGATATAAAATTAATTGGAACCAATGGAACAACAATCGTTGCTCCATAAGTAGTTGTTTAAAACGTACAACTGCGTTGATGAGGACAATTAATGAAATACCTACATTGATTGTTATGTTATTGAGACCTCTAAATACATATATACATTTACTCACAGTATAGTGCCACATGGCAGTACACAGCCGTGTGCTAGCGACACGAATGCGACATTATCTTATCAGTTCTACAGTAATTTTGTTACTTTAATTACGTAGTTATATGTTTTAAGTAATTATCTACATCTTCAAGTAATTAAAGAGTGACAAAGATAGGATTGTTTGCATTAAAAAGGGTGATTTTTCCCGCTAGGTATCCGACGGAATGTTGGTAATGAAAATACAGATATCGTTACAATGATTAAGCCGGCAGAGACAACGGAACGGAATGGGGACGACAAAAACTGGAGTGCTGTACTTATAACGGGAAACTTTAAAAAAATACAAAGCAGGGCAATGATGGATGGAGATAAAATGTCAAAAAGGCTACATTTATATGAGTTTTGATTAATATTACGATCTATATTTACATAACTATCGTGCTTATCTCGCTTAAAATAGCTAGAAGAATACTAAAACTAAGCTTTCAATTGAATTAATTTATGTTATCTGTAAATTTTATATAGTTTAATAGATTTCATAAATAAATAATTTTTAATAAAAAAAGTCTAGGCGTAATTATTCCCACTTCCATAATCAACTGGTGGCGATGACGTAGAACTATTTTATTTTAAGAATAACAAACTTTAATATCACCTCTGTTTAACACTCCTAGATTTTGTTTCAAAATACCATAAACAAAGTCAAACAAAGTGTTTTTATGTTTTGTTATAAGTAATTATTTTTATCTGCTTCGTGTTTGCCGCTTTTTTATGTGTTTATTACCTAATAGTAAGCAATGGACACTTGTAATACCAAAAAAGTTACTAAAATGACGTTGCTGGCTTCTTGTGAGCTCTTAGGAAATTAAGGTTAACGGATTTGAGGATTCAGGATAAGGGGGGGGAAGGATTGATCCTCCTATAATCTCACTTATACGGCAAAACAGAATGTAAGTATTGCTGGTTGTCTGAGAGGCCGTGGTACCACTCCGGTCCAGCCGACTTAGTCGTGAGAGAGAAAGCAATTTATTCTACGCATAAACTTGTGTCTTCCCGACACAAGAGGTAGTATGCAGCACGCCACAAATATCATACATGAACAAAATAACTCACCTCCAGTATTTTGTGCATTAAGTTACTCGGTCTATAGTCGCCATGGTTCAACACCATCCGCCGGCTTCTTTTATAAGTCGCTTCATATGCATCTGCATTAAAATTTTCAAAATATTTCTGAAACAGTATTTTGTTTTCTTCTCGGACGTTCTGGATAGCCTTATTTATCACTGTGGCCATAAAAGCCTTCATTTCAGTTCCTTCCATACTGATATTAAATGCTAACTTTTTCATAACTTCATCAAACCATTCTGGGTCCTGTTTAGCGGATGCCCAGGAGCACGCGTGAAACTTGGCCAGTTCCCGGACCGCAGCCTGCGCGTATGGCCAGTCTATCGACTTGAACCTGTCGTACGCCTCGTACCCTGATGCCGTGAGGTCCTCCAGCACCATCGCTTCTTCATTCATTTCAGTATTACTTCCGTAGTACTTGCTGATGTTCAGTTTTAGTTCGTCAGGTATGCCACACTTGTCTTCAATATTTCGATACATTTTTGCAAGTTTTGTGTAGAAAAAGTGTTCTGTTGTGTATATCTTGTCCAGCTGAGCTCGCATCTTCTCACCGATGGCTGCAACTTTACAGAATAGTCGTAGAGTGTGGGTACCCTCAGTGACAGTCACCGAGAACAACTTGGACGTATAGTTTGCTCCTCCACTTGATATTTCCTTGATGTCTAAACTGTAGTCGACAAACTTCTGTTCCTTGGCTATTGTGTGAAGCAAGTCTTTAAATGATTGGTTACAGTTCGCCATTTTGTTTGTTATAATTAACAATGGACGTTTAAATTAGAATAAAGTCAGTTGAACTTTGTGTAATTAGCGTATCATTTGGCTGCGCGTGGATAAATATGTTGAGACGTGTGTTCACCGGTCGACACAGTTCAGCGTACTAGTCAGTGCGGTGAGGCGCTGACTATTAAATATGTGTACTTGTTATGTTTGTGACAGTGTGTGCCCACATCATTGTGTTGCATGCGGCTGTTGGCTGTCTCGTTGACAGAGAAGTTTATAGTGCTACCTTTGAGCTACTTTTCAGGCAATATTATTGACATGTCTAGAAAGACATGGGAAACTGCAGGTGTCTGAAAATTAATAAAGGATATAGATAGTGCCCTAATTTTGTCTTGTTGAAAAAATATTTGCTTAGATAACATTGTACCGTCTCAAAATATAGGTCAAGTTGTTAAAAGTGTCGATTGTCCGTCACGAGATGGTCAGTCTGCTTACTTTATCGCAAAGGTTCAATCACACCTATGGTTAACACAAAACTTTAAAGGTCAAGTAAGAATTATTAGTCTTAGTGTACCGAATAAGGTTGGTTGGTTACATTAAATAAGAAGAGAATATGTATAACAAAAATAGAATTTAATTTAGAAAACCCTGTACAGTAAATAAATTATAATTAGATACATACAAATAATTCGGGTCAGATTCCGTTGCGCGTCAATAAAAAAAAGTAATTGGACAACACTATAACACTATAAATAGTGCACAACAGAATCTGCACGAATGTTGGTCGAAAATGCTAAAATACCTACACCCAGTCAAATCTATTAATATTACATTTAATTGGAAATTAACACAACAGCAAACATTAAATTCTACAACAACACATCATTTTAAACTAAACAAAAAATGTAAAATAAAATTATAATTACTTATTTCAATACAATCACATTTTTATAATTCACTACAGTATTTATATTTATTTATTATATTATTATTAATTAATTGGTCAATTCATTTTATAATACCAACATCACAACTAAATACGTTCTTACATTTATGGGGCTTCTACATTTAAAAATGAACCTTATGACTAGGGGTTAGCAAAATTATTTTGAAACTCTTATTAGATTGTATTTGGTAATTCAATCACAAAATTATACGATAATAGTCCCTACGGCATACGAAAATTGAATTCTTAATCGCAATAATCCACATATTGTAACAATTATTTGAGAATGCCCCACTTGACGTAGTCGTTGACCACTCCGTTCAGCCTCTCCGCGTACAGGTCGCTGGTCTTCTCCACGTTGAAACTGGAGATGTCGAGGGACTCGTCTACCTGGGGGGCATTCTCCATCTCCACAGTGACGACTGGCAGAGTGAAGACAGCCAGAGATAGGCCGAAAGGCAGCTTCTGTAACAAATAATTTAACATATTTAAATACTGCGTTCTTGTATTAGTGGTTCCCTTTTTGTATATTGTGGCCAAGAAATTAATAATCATGTAGAAATTCACCTGCAACAGCGCTACGAGAAACGCATATGCGCGTAAAAGCGCTACGCCAGATGGCTACGGCGTAGCATACCGCTTTCTACAGTTCTCTTTTGTGTTATTCTTCGAATTTACATATAATAGGATAAAAGTTTAATTGTATCTTTACGTACTTCTTTCATTTCATAGTCGAAGTCTGCTCGGGAGAAGACCTCATCAGGGTTAAGCTTCAGCCTCTTCATGGCGGCACTGAGCTCTGAGTAGTAGTGGTCCAGCAGCTTGTCGAAGTACTGCGCGCGGAACTTCTCATCGGAGCCAGTGAAGATGAAGTAGATCAGGTCGGTGACTGGACTGCCGCCCTGCAGCGTCTGGAGGTCCACAATCTTAATGTCTACCGTGCCATCCTGAAAATACACAAAATTAATGTTAGATAAGCTCCAAGTACAACCAAATGAGGTCACATGTATTATTAACCGTCACAAATTACTTGTAATGGTTGGTTAGATTAGATATACAGCTGCTATGAAGAGCTCCACGGTCAAGGTCGGGCAAATATTTCAACAAAACAAACATGTATTTTTTAGTCTTCAATTGTATCGGGAATAGTTTGACGCATCATTTTACCATTAGTGGCGCTGTCTATTTGCATAGAACAAGCAAGGTATAGAAGAGGAACTGATAATGCAATCTGTATTTAGACATGAATTATAACACGATTTGCCTTGCTCATTGTATAACAACGATAATACATTTACGATTGCCGACACGATACGCCAGGTACTTAGCACACATCGACCATAGTATGACGTAGTCTCATTCAAACGACACGATTACTACATTGCTTTATCAACTCCACAACATAATCGACCTTATTGCTCCTCTAAACCGGTTTAGTAGCCTTGTGCTACTCGTATTACAACAAAAATCACGGAACCGAGTCTCAAACAAAATATGTTTTTTTGTTTTATTGCATAACCTATGGTGTATGACAATTAGATAATTGTGGCCGTCATGTGGGTCAAAAAAATTTTGGACATGTTTTTGTAAAGGCAAAACCTTTGCAAATGGAATGAAGTAGCACATCATGTATAAAAGTACTTTGGTAATAATATTGTATGTAGTATTCGTAGTCTTAAAAAAGTGTATGTTGCCGGTAAACGATTTAGCAATTATATTTGCAGTGACTCGTGATTCAACAATATAATTTGAGTCCACAGAGGCAGCTGGTAAACTGCGCGTTGTTCACACGTGATAGACAAATAACAACTCACGTCAAGAGTCTTGTGCATTAAGTTGCTAGGTCGGAAGTCCCCGTGGCCCAGTGCCAGTCGCCTGCTCCTTTTAAATGTTCTAGAAAATTCTGTCATATCTACATTTTCATAATAGTTTTTTAGTTTTGTTTTATTTTCATTTTGCAGTGTTGTTATAGCTTTGTTGACCATGTTCGCCATGTACATTTTCATATGAGGGTCATCCATCTTGAAATCGAATAATAACTTTTCCATTACTTTTTCAAATCCCTCTGGATCTTGTATAGAGTAAGCGAAGGAAGATGCATGCAATTTGGCCAGTTCCCTGGTCCCAGCCTGCGCGTACGGCCAGTCTATCGACTTGAACCTGTTGTAAGCCTCGTACCCTGAAGCCGTGAGGTCCTCCAGCACCATTGCTTCCTCGTTCTTCTTTATATTGCTTCCGTAGTACTTGCTGACGTTTAACTTGTGCTTGTTTGGCACTCCACACTGGCCCTCTATATTTCCGATGATATTCCTGAGATTAGTGTAAAAGTAATGTTCTGTCTCGTATATTTTTTGCATCTGCGCTCGCATCTTCTCACCGATGGCTGCAACTTTGCAGAACAGCCGTAGTGTGTTGGATCCCTCAATGATGCTCACTGCATACAACTTGGACGTATAGTTTGCTCCACCACTCGATATTTCCTTTATGTCTAGATTGTAGTCCACAAATTTCTGTTCCTTGGCTATCTTGTGAAGTAAATCCGTGAAAGATTGTGTAACGTGCTTCATTTTGTTCAGATTATAAAAATCTCGTTTAGCAACTACGTTTGTTTTTACTTAGCAATAGTTTTATAATCTCGCGACGTGTGCTCACGGAGCGGCGCAGTTTAACGTACTAGTGCGAACTGGCGCCGAATTTTACATATATGATCTAAGTTTCTATTTGTGAGTGCGGTTTCGTCAGCGTAGATTTTGGAGAGCATTTTTTTCTTCTGGCAAATGAGTATTCAATGTTTAGTAAAAACAAAAATGTGGGTCAATCCGTGTTACGTTGAATAGTTTAGATTGTAGGTACCAACATATTATTCATTGCGTACTGGGAAGTGAATAACATAAAGGCAATAAAATTCAATCAAATATTATGGTAGGAACCCGAACAACCGTGAGGGTGGGAGACAATATTATTATATTTCCGTACGCGAACGTATGCGTGGGGCCTATTACCATATCACGCGTAATTGGGACAGTAGACACCCATTCTATTATACATGTTCAGGAATATTCAGTGAATCCTTTGACTTAACTAACAAATTTTTCACTATAGTAGAACCAAATTAATAATGTAGCAAACAATATTTTTCAATATATGTAAAACTGATTGAAACAAAGTACCTTAACATGGAGTTTCTTGTTAGTTCTGAATTTGATTTTGATTGAAACGAGTAAATAGCTTCTTCACTAAGAAGACTAGTCTGTGATGCTTGGGCCACACGGGAAATGACATTCAGTATCGCGATAATGGACGTTAATCGTATGTGTAATTTGATCACTAAACAAATGATTCAAGGTATATATTTCATTCTTTAATATCATCAATTATCGCGATAATTATTGGCATTTCCCGTTAGTGTAGCACAAGCACGACAGACTGACACTTTTTATTTTTAAGTTTCATAAGTGCCTGTGAGGGTCTAATTTAAATAAATGATTTGGACACTAACTTTGACTTTGAAAAGGTGGAATATGTGACACGCATTCATTTCGTTATAATGTTTATTTCGTCTCCAAAGGTTGAAAGTGTATTAATTTTTTAGTATGGCAGTTTGGATAAAAAAAAGCGGTGAAGCGCCGTATGCACCTGTTTTTTTTAAGTCTACCCTCGTCAAAATAAAGATAATTATAAATAGTCATCATTTTATATTTTTAAATCAACATGACTAAGTCTTTGGTGAAGAGTTTGCGAATTATACACCAGAGTAAGGGATGTTGGTTCAGATTTCCAGGTTAGACAACGTTTTAATATGGCGTCGAACTCAATAGTTGACAGACCCCGAAATTGTACTCGGTAAAACGCTTAACAGGGAGTTATATCGATCAAAAAATTGCCCCACACTAGGATTTTCTCCTCTGTCGTGGGTACGTTTACAAACATGCAATTTCACATACACTTTCACATACATTTGGGATAAGTACATCCCAAATGTTATTAAAATTATCTGTTTGCGATAAATGTCTAGACATTACGAACTCGCTTTATCTAGTTTCTGGATAAACATTTGTACTTGTTAAGTATCTTTTTTATGAAGAGAAAATTAGTTGATTGGAATCGATACTGTGAGTTGTGGTATTGTATATATTTTAAGAAAAGAAATATCAGATCGACATAGGGATCTATGTAAAGAAGATCAGAGAGACATAGGGATCTATGTACAGAAATCAAAATGGCCGCGATTTGATAGGTATTCGAATTCAGCTGTGTTATGACGTCATAGTATTTTTGCAACAAACAGCTTACTTATTTCTTAAAAATTAACAAAATAATATTTTAAATTTAGTGTATTGATCGATCGATGAATAAAAGAATAGTTATTTTTCAATATCTTATTGTATTGAAACGGCGAATGATTTATTTTTGACCTAGGAAACTACCCAATTTAATAGAAATGAAGAACTCACCTCGCGTATTTTATGCATTAAATTATTCGCCCTGAAATCACCATGGACGATTACCGTACTTCGGACGGAGCGAAGAGCTGACAAATACATGTCCTTTCTATATTTCTTTAGAAACACTTCTAACATATCTCTGTAATCAGACCGAACAGTCCGTAACGCAGACTCGATCGGTTTATCCATAATGACGTCCGAAGTTTCTTCATATATCACTTTTATTTTATCCAGAGCTTCATCGAACTTCTCCGGGAAGTACCGACTTAATGCGAAAGAAAGTGCGTGAAGTTTCGCTAGTTCTGTGATAGCTGCGGAGGAATACTGCCAGTCTAGGGACTTGAATCTGTCGTAAGAGCCGTAACCTCTCACCTCGAGATCCTCCAGCACCAGGATTTCCTCGTACTTTGTCGGATGGAAGCCGTAGCACTTGCAGAATGATATTCTATGTTCTGCTGGCAGTTCATCTTGCAAAGACTCATATAGCTTCATCAAAGTAGAATACGCATATCGCTCTGTATCGTAAATTAGGATCGGCACTTTATTTCGGAATGTTTCTCCGAACATGGCACACTTGGCGAACAGATGTAAATCCTCTTTGTTTCCCTCATTCTCCTCTTCTTTTCCTCCTTTGAGGACTGCTTTGTATATCTTCGAGGTGTAATTAGCTCCTCCACTACAGACAGCTTTTATTGATATCTCATTCTCGTCGTAATTCTGTTCTATGGCGATTTTCTTTAGCAGAATTAATAATGATTCTTCTTTGTTCGCCATGGTTTGAGGTACGGCTCTTACTGACATGCTATGTTGCGATATCGAATGGTTTTGTTTTAAATATATAACACAATCTCAGATATGTGGGTACTTGATGTGATAAAATATATTGACGGTGATTATTGGATGCGAACGGAGTGACGACAACATATTTAACGCATACCCGTTTATGCGGAGTTGAACATTAGAAATTAAACCAGAGACAATATTTACCGGTTCGTTTCATAAACTCTGAGCACACAGATAAAAAAATATTAATACTTGTTTATTACAACAAGTATTAAAGGAATAAATAAATAATCAAATATATTTTGAAGTTACTGCGGTCCGTTTGCTAACAAAACATATGCCTGACGCCGCCGGGTAGTCGGATATCCGAAGCAGGGGTGGTCCGCTAGTTGTTGTGTTTTTAAAACTTAGATTGTAAACATGGCTAAAATAAACCTTATTTTATTTTCATTTTATTTTAAATGCTGGCTGGCTGCTTAATAAATAATTTATTTCCTCCTTAGAAGTAGATTACATTATGTTTTGAATAATAAATAAACCATGATTTTATTTATGGATAATGTCAATTATCTGCCATCTGTTATGGAAATGTAATTTTAATGTACAGTTGGCAAGCTACCCATCACGTAGATTCATTCGCATCTGCTTAGTATTCAGATTAATTAAAGCTACTATGCAGTCACACAATCAAAAAAATAAAAACAAACTTCGTCATAAAATATTAATTTAAAATGATCAAAACATGATATAGTATCTCTAAGTGTGGGAGAGCCATGCTTCGGCACGAATGGGTCGGCTCGACCGGAGTGATACCACGGCCTCACAGAAAACCGGCGTGAAATAACCACTGCGTTGTGTTTCGCCGTGTGAGTGAGGTTACCGGAGGCCCAATCCTTCCCCTTCCCCAATCCCTCCTCAATCCCTAAATCTCCAAATCCCTAATCCCTAAAAGGTCGGCAACGCACTCGTAACTCCTCCGTTGCGAGTGTCCATGGGCGGCGCTGATTGCTTACCATCAGGTAATCCGTCTGCTCGTTTGCCGACCTATTACATAAAAAAAAAATAGTATATTGAAAAGTCGAAGAGTTTGTTCATTTACTGTCGTAGATTGGTACCTTTTTTCTTATTTTTTCTAAAGTAAACGTAGCCTCACTTAAGGATTTTCTCCTTTGCCGTGGCTGTGTTTGCATTTACAAACATACATATTAACATACACATCACACCAAGACCTTTTTTTTTGTCAGTGGAAAATCATCAAATGGCTTCTCCCGCCCAGGGTTAGGCGAGAGAGAGTGTCAGAACTGTCAGACCAGACTCTTACTGACTAAAAATCCCCTCGTTCCTTCTCCTGCTCTGGGCCGAGGCCGTGGTGGCTCATTGCGCTTACCCTGCAACCCCGGCTGAAAATCAGCCCTATAGAGCCCCGTCTGTGGTGGTCTATTGACTCACCTAACGCTACGCGCCGTACGCTCGGGATCACACCAACACCTGGGACAATAATTTGTGGAGCACACAAAGAGTTGTTCCGTACGGGAATAAAACAGGTGCAATAATTATAATACGTGCTGAGTAATGAGCGAGATAAGGACGGCACGTGGCTGCTATAGTAATCATTATATCACATGTGACAAGGAAGATAATTGCTGTTGTAAACAACGCTCGACGTGGGAAGCATAACAAATATACAAAGATAAAATATTTACGGCACATTTATCGTCTATAGATAACAACTATTTACTAGATAAGTTTAAAAATACAACAAACTTAGTTCCTTCTTGAAAATTTTATGTACATTTCTTTTTAACCTTTTAAACATAAGTAATTTGAAATAAAAAAAAAATTGGAATAATTCCACCAACATAAATTCAAACTAGCAGCCATCTCACAAAATACGTCACGAATTCGGTTGGGAATTGAAACGTACAATTTGAATATTTTTGAATGAATCACACTTAGTTCGGCAATTTAATCAATAGTTTTGAGAAGCGAAACATTATTACACATCACATATTAGTCTCCTGTTATTAAAAAAATATAATTAATAGCAAACTATAACCTCATGGCTTATAGCATATTATAAGAACATAAATCACGTCAAGGTCAAAAACACTTAAATTATTTATTTTGCAGTAAACATCGAATTTAGCGAGACCTAAATGAACTACGTATGAGGTTCTGTGTCGTCTTGGTAGACGAACTAGATACAGCTTACCTCCCTTACTCTGTGCAGTAAGTTATTCCCTCTATAGTCTCCGTGTATGATGACTCTAAAGGCACCGTACTTCCACAGGTTCAATATGGAAAACTGATTTCTCTTCAAACACTTGGTAAATACCTCCAAGTGCTTGGGGTTCAAGACCTTCACTGCAACCTCTATTCTGTTTGGCATCACTTGGTCAAAAGGCAGCGTCAGCCATATCCCTTTTAAACATGAAAATGTTTTCTCAAACTCTTCAGGATATCTTTTAGCAAATGCGAAGGATAATGCATGCATCTTGGCAAGTTCTCTAACGGCAGAAGCAGCGTATGGCCAGTCTATGGAGTGGAACCTGTCGTGAGGTCCATAACCTTGAGGCAACAAGTTCTCCAACACCAATGTCTCCCTGTTCAGACTGGGATTAAATCCGTAGAACTTGCAGAATAGTAGCCTGTCTTCTTCTTTCACTCCACTTTCCTGCTCCAGGGCCTCATATTTTTTTTTCAGTTTCGTATAAGCATAGTTCTCCGTTTGATAAATGTCAGGCAAACAGTTGCGCATACTTTCAGAAATCACTGCTAGTTTAGCGAACAGATGCAGATCTTCCTTGCCTGCTTCCCTCACGACCGCCGTGAACAGTTTAGATGTGTAGTTGGCTCCACCGCTTGATATTTCTTCTATAGTGATCTCAGGTTTCACATAATTATGTTCCCTGGCGATTTTGTTTAGATATTCACGGAGGAAATGTTCTACGTCTGCCATGGTTGGTCGTCAAATAGCAGTCTATCAACTATATCTTTTACAGCTTATTTATATGCATTTTATATTTCTGTGTTTAACGATACTGGATTGTGCAATAGCAATTATTTTATATTCATTTAGAATTAATGTTTTTATTTTTAAAAACACTACGGCTTTTTTGTCGTCTTTATTCGTTTCGAATCTGAATAATATTGAAGGTATTTATTTAATCTTGTTGAACTGCTTCATTATACGAGTAGTTATGCAGTTAAGGAAGGTTCATAAATTTATAGAATCTATCGAATACTGCACGTGCCATAAAAACTTAATACACAATGTTTTTAAAAAACGATAATCAAGCAATATTACCAAATAGCCTTGAAAAGTTTATGAGGTTGAGTAGGGAAATAGATTCACATTCACGTGTTTTAAGCGACGTCAGAAAGCAGCCAGTCTGCTGATAAAAAGTAGCGTAAAACTCGATTAGTTACGAACCTAACGCAAAATTAACAACTTTAGCCTAATAAATAAACCCCCAAGCCGAGAATAATTTTGACTATTTAAAAAAAAACTGTGTAATAAGTGCGGTTGAAGCAGATACAACTACATTTTAGCCAATCGAAAAAAAATTAGCTCATGCAAATACCTTGTAATTTGACGAGGCAATATATTACAACAATAAACATCATTCAGCGAATATCCTATGCGTGATAAAGTATCAAGTATATAGCCCTGTGCTGACAAACTCTATATCAGCCTAAATAATATCTTACCCAACGAAACTCACCTCCCGCACTCTATGCAATAAGTTATTCCCTCTGTAGTCTCCATGCATGATGACTTTGAAATTATTGTGTTTCCACAGGTTTGTTATTGAAAACTGACGTTTCTTCATGTAATTAATAAACTTGTCTTGGTGTTTGGGGTTTAATACTTTGACTGCAGACTCTATTCTGTTCGCGGCTAATTCGTCAAAAGGCAGCGTCTGCCATATCCCTTTTAAAGTTAAAAATATTTTCTCAAACTCTTCAGGATATCTTTTAGCAAATGCGAAGGATAGTGCATGCATCTTGGCAAGTTCTCTGATGGCAGCAGCAGCATACGGCCAGTCTACAGAGTGGAACCTGTCGTGAGGCCCATAGCCCTGAGGCAACAAGTTCTCCAGCACCAGAATCTCTCTGTTCGGGCTGGGATCAAACCCGTAGAACTTGCAGAATACTAATCTGTTCTCCTCCGGCACATCACTTTCCCTCTCCAGGCTCTCATACAATGTTGCCACTTTCGTGTAAGCATAGTTCTCTGTTTCATAAATTTCAGGAAAATCCTTGCGCATACTTTCACCAATTACTGCTAGTTTAGCAAACAGATGCAGATCTTCCTTGCCTGCTTCCCTCACGACCGCCGTGAACAGTTTAGATGTGTAGTTGGCTCCACCGCTTGATATTTCTTCTATTGTGATCCCAGGGTTCGCATAATTATGTTCCCTGGAGATTTTGTTTAGATATTCTCGGAGGGAATGTTCTACGTCTGCCATGGTTGGTCGTCAAATAGCAGTCTATCAACTATATCTTTTACAGCTTATTTATATGCATTTTATATTTCTGTGTTTAACGATACTAGATTGTGCAATAGCAATTATTTTATATTCATTTAGAATTAATGTTTTTATTTTCAAAAACACTACGGCTTTTTTGTCGACTTTATTCGTTTCGAATTTGAATAATAATGAAGGTATTTATTTAATCTTGTTGAACTACTTCATTATAGTTATGCAGTTAAGGCAGGATCATAAATTTATAGAATCTATCGAATACTGCACGTGCCATAAAACAACTTAATACACAATGTTTTTAAAAAACGATAATCAAGCAATATTACCGAATGGCCTTCAAAAGTTTATGAGCTTGAGTAGGGAAATAGATTCACATTCACGTGTTTTAAGCGATGTCAGAAAGCAGCCATGCTGCTGATAAAAAGTAGCGTAAAACTTGATTAGTTACGAACCTAACGCAATATTAAAAACTTTAGCCTAATTAACCCCCAAGCCGAGAATAATTTTGACTATTACCAAAAAAAAACTGTAATGAGTGCGGTTGTCCTAAGCAGATACAACTACATTTTAGCCAATCGAAAAAAATTTGCTCATGCAAATACCTTGTAATTTGACGAGGCAATATATTACAACAATGAATGTCATTGAGCAAATATCCTATGCGTGATAAAGTATCAAGTATACAGTCCTGTGCTGACAAACTCTATATCAGCTTAAATAATATCTTACCCAACGAAACTCGCATGGGCCTGCGATCGGCGAGTAAGGGCAGCTCGCCGCACGACCAGAACCAGGCCCGAGCGTACGACGCGTAGCGTTCCGCGCGCGCCTCAAAGAGCCATTAGACTACCACAGACGGGACCCTAAAGGGCTGATGTTCAGCCGGGGTTGCGGGGTAAGCGCAATGAGGAACCGCAACCTCGGCACAGAGCAGGAGAAGGAACAGGGGGGTTTTTAGTCAGTAAGAGTCTGACACTCCCTCCTGCCCGGCCCTGGGCGGGAGAAGTCATTTGATGATTTTCACCTCACAAAAAAAACCCAACGAAACTCACCTCCCGCACTCTATGCAATAAGTTATTCCCTCTGTAGTCTCCATGCATGATGACTTTGAAATTATTGTATTTCCACAGGTTTGTTATTGAAAACTGACGTTTCTTCATGTAATTAATAAACTTGTCCTGGTGTTTGGGGTTCAATACCTTGACTGCAGACTCTATTCTGTTCGCGGCTAATTCGTCAAAAGGCAGCGTCTGCCATATCCCTTTTAAAGTTAAAAATATTTTCTCAAACTCTCCAGGATATCTTTTAGCAAATGCGAAGGATAGTGCATGCATCTTGGCAAGTTCTCTGATGGCAGCAGCAGCATACGGCCAGTCTACAGAGTGAAACCTGTCGTGAGGCCCATAGCCCTGAGGCAACAAGTTCTCCAGCACCAGAATCTCTCTGTTCGGGCTGGGATCAAACCCGTAAAACTTGCAGAATACTAATCTGTTCTCCTCCGGCACATCACTTTCCCTCTCCAGGCTCTCATACAATTTTGCCACTTTCGTGTAAGCATAGTTCTCTGTTTCATAAATTTCAGGAAAATCCTTGCGCATACTTTCACCAATTACTGCTAGTTTAGCAAACAAATGCAGATCTTCCTTGCTTGCTTCCCTCACGACCGCCGTGAACAGTTTAGATGTGTAGTTGGCTCCACCGCTTGATATTTCTTCTATTGTGATCTCAGGGTCTACATATTTATGTTCCCTGGCGATTTTGTTTAGATATTCTCGAAGGAATGGTTCGACGTCTCGAGCTGTGTATTTATATGCATTTCCTTTTGTTTTATCTATTATTATTATTACGTGGGGTATTAGCAATTATTATTTAACGTTTACCAAAGATTATGTTTTTATCAAAGATATATTTGATCAAGGGTTTCTATTATATTCGCTTGTTATGTTGCTCGACAGGTTATACGGAAAACACCAATTCAAAATGTAGTTAGAAAAGAACAAGAGAAATATAAAGACGGGACGATAAAGTACCGAATATGTAACATCTTGACATAGGTATGGTCGAACCGAGTTGGCTCGATTCGTGTAAAAGCAGCGAGATATAGCGAGACAATTAAGACATTGTCGTTTTGGCAATAGACGAGTCAATATGTCTTGTGGATGCATTTTAGAGTGATAGTTTGCGAGTGATGTGTGTTTTTCATGCATTTCTTTTAACAAATTACATCGAACATTCATATGATTTTATACGAAAATAATAGAGAACTCATTTTCGGAAATAAGTTACCACAAAGGGGTAGATAAATATTTTTAATAAAAAAACTGCAGTGTTTTTGATTCAAATAAGGGTAAGAACATAGATATTGTGCCCTTTTAGCATTGTTCGTATAGGAACAAACACTTACTTCCCGACGCCTGTGCAGCAAGTTGTTCCCCCTGTAGTCTCTGTGTATGATGGCAACTTTGGAGTTTACAGGCTTCAATATATCGAAATACGTTGTCTTCATAGCCTCGTCCATGAACTTGACAAACGCCTCCTTGTTCTCAGGATTGACCACTTTCACTGCTGTTGGTACTGCTTGTCGGATCATGTAGTCTAGAATTTCCGCAGGCCAGTCCAAGGTTATATTTTTCATAGCATTGTCAAACTCTTTAGGATATTTTGTAGCAAACGCGAAAGATAGTGCATGCATCTTGGCAAGTTCTCTGACAGCGGATGCAGCATACGGCCAGTCTACAGACTGGAACCTGTCGTGAGGTCCGTAGCCCTGAGGCAGCAAGTTTTCCAGCACCAGTATTTCCCTGTTCAGGGTCGGTTCAAGCCCGTAGAACTTGCAGAAAACAAGTCTGTCTTTCTCTGGAACCCCGCAATCCCTCTCCATAGTCTCAAACCATTTTGCCAGCTCCGTGTACGTGTATTGCTCAAGGAGAAATACGTTGGGCACTACATTACGCATACTTTCACTAAATACTGCGACTTTAGCGAACAGATGTAGATCTTCCTTGCCTGCTTCCCTCACAACCGCCGTGAACAGTTTAGATGTGTAGTTGGCTCCACCGCTTGATATTTCTTCTATTGTGATCTCAGGGTCCACATATTTGTGTTCCCTGGCGATTTTGTTTAGAAATTCACGTAATGATTTCTGCGCGTCTGCCATCGTGCGTAGTGATCGAATGTCAATGCATCAACTGCTCAATTAATATCGAGTAACTTATTTATAGTCACAAGTTCCTTATCGACAGATTGATTGTGACAGGCCGAGAACGTAAAGATAATTTAATATTTATCAATTTCGCTATCTGCACCGGTTAAGCATGAGATCATGTATTTATCATTAATCATTATCCTTTATTAATATCCTGCGTCTGCGTCTTTAAATAACAAAATAATTTCATAAGAATTACATTCTACCGCTTAACAGTTTGCAATGTGTCCATCGATGTACAAGCCAAAAAAGTTGATTATTTTTTAAATATACAAGTTTTTGCCGTCAAAAACAATTAACCTAAGAAGCTATAATAGCGTGATGAATAGAAGGGACTACTTGAACTATGTATAATGCACAAATATATACGTAGGTACCTACATGAGTAATTGAGTAATTAGTATTTTTTGTTATTACAATTGCTTGAAAATTAGATTTAATTGCTATAAAATTGTATGCAAATAAAAGTAGATTAGAATTCTACACTGCTCTCTTCCGTTCTCAAACATAAAGGAGCTAGTATGTGTAAAAAGAGTACCTTTAATAAATTGATTTACGAACTTAGGTATTAACACCTAAATATCCCTTTTTTCTTTAATTTAGTTTTTTACATTCTTAAATATTAGCAGGTTTTCGTTAGATGGTTGGGTCAAGAACCTGATGCAGATAGCTGTACTTCTAGGCACGGCTCGTGTTGTCCGGAGATTCCTCTCTCTGGAGCCCTGACCACCGGCTGCTTGGAATCCTCCCGTAACTGGTGGGATACTTTTTTTTATATTTTTTTTACCTAAATATCCTTATTATTAGCTTTTTAGTCTTTGGTTTGTGTATATTATGGGGATAAGGATAACTAGACATATTGTTTTCTTTCGTCGAAATCTCAAAAACGTTATTTGATTTGCGTCATATATTATACTTGTTTCGCAAATTTAATTTTTACTATACGTTTCTATCTGGTACAGCCCTACCTACCCTACAACCGAGAAAGTATATCACCTACCTAAGTATGGACAGAACTGAGCTCACAAGGCGTAAAAGTTAAACTAAACCCACAAACAAACTTCGCCCAACGCTATTCTGAAAGTTAGATTTTTTTTTCACCAGAAAATCCAAGTAGAAATTGTTATCTATTAACATAATGCGTAGAGGGAAAAACACTTACTTCTCGACGCCTGTGCAGCAAGTTGTTCCCCCTGTAGTCTCTGTGTATGATGGCAACTTTAGAGTTGGCGGGGTGGAAGTTATCAAGAAACGAGGTCTTCAGAGCCTCGTCCATGAACTTGACGAACGCTTCTTTGTGCTCAGGGTTGATCACTTTCACTGCAGATGTTGCTGCTTGTTTCATTATGGAATCCATAATATCTGGGGGCCACTCCAAGGTTATAGTTTTCATAGCTTTCTCAAATTCTTCGGGATGTTTTTCAGCGAATGCGAAGGATAGTGCATGCATCTTAGCAAGTTCTCTGACGGCGGTGGCAGCATACGGCCAGTCTATAGACTGGAACCTATTGTGAGGTCCGTAACCTTGAGGCAGCAAGTTCTCAAGCACCAGTATCTCCCTTTTCGGGTTGGGATCGAATCCATAGAACTTACAAAAGATAAGTCTATCTTCTTCCTGCACTCCGCATTCCCTCTCCATAGCCTCGAACCACATCGCCAATTCCGTGTACGTGTATTTTTCGATGGAAAATATCATCTTAGCACTGGGTGCCATGTTAAACATACTTTCACTTAAGGCCGCGACTTTAGCAAACAGATGCAGATCTTCCTTGCCTGCTTCCCCCACGACCGCCGTGAACAGTTTGGATGTATAGTTGGCTCCCCCGCTTGATATTTCTTCTATAGTGATCTCAGGGTCCACATAGTTGTGTTCCCTTGCGATTTTATGTAGAAATTTACGCAATGTTTGTTGGGTGTCTGCCATCGTGCTATTAGGTCGAACTACAAAATGTTAACTAAACAAAATTGAGCTGCGAATTTGTAGGCAGTAGTTGCTTATCATTATCATGATACGATTGAGGCAGACCGATTACATTAGATAATTTAATATATTTATCACTTTGCCCGTACCCGTTTCCCAGTACCCGCTTTAGTTTTGCACGAGACTATGTATCTGTCGTGGTATCATTATCTTCCTCGACATCGTTTCACCATTCGTATGGGATATTACGATTTTTAGAACACTTAACCTTAATTTTGTTTACAATATGTTCATATGGAGGATTGTTTTTAGATCCGTACAGCTAAAAAGCCTTATAAAAAAAATATTATATTAATATCCCGACGGTATAGGAGAAAAACCCTAAAGTGAAGCAAAGATTTAATTTTAAGAAAAATTTCCGTGTCATTTTAAATAATAATATAAAATTATAACAAGAAGTTATGTTGGAAAAACAAATAAGTTTATACGGTGTGTTATACGGATAATATATTAAGTGGGTTAAAAACTAAAGTGGAACTCCATAAAGGTAAGCCTGTGACTGCTGACAAAACTGTTGAAGGCTAATCCTCAGCTACGGTCGTCGGACACCATTGTCCAAAACTAAAGCAACACAGATTTCACTAATTATTCCTGATCAGAGACCATACAAATAAACTAAATATACTGATTAAACAAAAATTCAATGCAATTTGCAAAGGATCCCAAATCATTTTTGGCAATGACAAAAGTGAATTCACGTTTGTCACGTCAGTATCTACCGCGCAGTGAATGAGCAATTTGTTGTTCTTTTTTAGTCTGCATAATATAGTATTGACCCGCCACGACTGGATCCACAAGGAGCGTCAAAAATTGACGAGGACCAAAACAAGACGTACACAGCATTGAAAGCTTAAAAACCAAGCAATTAGCGTGACCGCATGGTATTCCAGCATTTCTTGTTAAATATCGTATAGTACAATAATGCTATCATAGCCATTGCGTTTATATTTAACTTAAGCTTAACTTCAGTGAATTTTCTTATGAGTTGGATAAATTAGTCAACCAGGGTTATTTCAGTATCCAAAGGTAAAGATCTACTTTTGGTGGTAACTTAGTGATACTAACACGTGGCAGTGTTGTCGAGTTGGTTAAGGGTGATGTCAGTGATGATTCTAGTGTGCAGCACGTCGATTCTATAAAATTTGTTTTATTTTTAATCTCGTTCGAGTGTGATGTGAACGTCGAAGTGACGGGGGAATTACATTATAGAATGCCACTTTTAACGTCATCTCATATTTGATCTATCAAAATGTTGCGGTCAATTTAGTTCAACTCGCAAGTGTAACGTTAGTGCACTACTTACAGCAAATTCAAATTCGAAGTTTAGAATGAAGTCTTACAGAATCACACTGCAGGTTGATGCAGATTATTTTGATTTTAGGAAAGCATTTGAAACTGTGGATGGTGAACTTAATAAAGAAACTAAACTATTATAGCTTGGGTGCAACTCGTAATTATTACAATATTGTAAAAAGCAAGATCTTGTACGTGCTCATGAAACAAAACAGTGGACATACATTTAGAATACTGTGTACACGTAACCGCGCAAAGCTAGTCCACACTAGATCCGGTTTAACTCAGGGCAGCAATTTGGGACCTCTCAAACTTCGGGTTATTGTTGCATGAGCACATAGTAAAAATTTGAAAGAAGGCGTATCATCATAAATATCTCTGTTGAAGCCTGAGCTGAGTTTTATGACGCATTGGTCAGAAGCGATTTTGATCTAAGTGCAATGATATGGACACCTCATGAGAGTTAAAAAAAATTGTACTGAGATGGTAAAACGCGAACAAAGTAAATACACATGCACTAAAAGTTGAGTAGAGTGTACCCGTTGTATGTGTTGATGAATTCTTTACCATCCACCCATCCTCTTTATTTGACTTAGGAATGGTCAGGTACAATTAGTTGGAGTTCTGTCGCGATTTTGGGGCGACCCGTGTCTACTTCGACGAATATACCACTTGGTGGTGGAGAAGCATCACCAATAAGCAACTTTTTTACCGATATTTGAACACTCCTAGGTTTTACTCTAGTATGAACTCAAACTCTAGCAAAAAAAGCAATTTTTACCATTCACATAAACGAAACGTACGATTGGCAGAAATTGACAGATAGATAGATCTGTCATTTTTAGCACTAGGACTCAGAATACAGAACAAGGAAGATGGAAACTTACAACAAACAAAGATTGTGAACCTAGGAACACTTACCTCTCGACGTTTGTGCAACAGATTGTTTCCCCTGTAGTCAGTGTGTATGATTATGGGTGTGGACTTGACGGGAGCATAAATTTTCGAAAAGTTAATCTGCAGCATCTTATCCAAGAACGTGGCAAGAGCATCCTTATACTTAGGGTCAACAACGTTCACAGCTTTAGCTGCAGACCGATCCATTGTGATTTTAATTGAGTCGTTATCCCAATCTGTTTGTAAAGTTTCCAAAGCTTTTTCGAACTCTTCAGGGTGTCTTTTAGCAAACGCTAAGGATAGTGCATGCATTTTAGCAAGGTCTCTGACGGCAGAAGCAGCATACGGCCAATCTATAGACTGGAACCTGTTGTGAGGTCCGTAGCCTTGTGGCAGCAAGTTCTCCAGCACCAGTATCTCCCTTTTCGGGCTGGGATCGAATCCGTAGAACTTGCAGAATAGTAGTCTGTCTTCTTCTTTCACTCCACTTTCCTTTTCCATTTTTTCGTACCACTTTGCCAGCTGTGTGTACATGTACTGTTCATTAGTGTACATGTTTGGTAACAGCTCACGCATACTTTCACTAAGTGTGGCCACTTTAGCAAACAGATGTAGATCTTCCTTGCCTGCTTCCCTCACGACCGCCGTGAACAGTTTAGATGTGTAGTTGGCTCCGCCGCTTGATATTTCTTCTATTGTGATCTCAGGGTTCAAATATTTATGTTCCCTGGCGATTTTGTTGAGATATTCTCGCAAGGATTCTTGATCGTTTGCCATTGTGCAAAATGTTTGAACGTCAATAAGGTAATAATGTAATCAAATTTAAGTAGCGTATTTATAGGATATGTATTACCAAGCTATATTAATATCATCGCTATAATACGATTCTGATAAGTCAAGCGTATTAAATTATTTGGATAGGGAAATTGATTATAAAGTTATCGAATAAGCTATTCGCTGCGGTTTATTGTTGTTTATACGCCTATGCATACTCGGTGGTAATCTCTATCTCTATCGCCACCGACATCGTTTAGCCTTGTCAGTGTGGCACAGAATAACGTCAACCAGTATACTGTGAGTTGAAACAGTACATATGTGCTTTCTAAGTTTGTGTAGACATCTCTGAGAAAAGAAAACGTGGTGAGGGAATCTGCCAATCCACCCTCGGCGATCGTGGCGATTAATGCAAAAATGCTCAAATCTTCTTCGGGTTGGAAAAGCCTTTTGCTCGTAAGTAAGCATTTATGGCAAGGTGTGTGCTTAAATGTTGTGGTGAAATGATAACAAAAATCACAATAAAATTCCGGAATCACATTTTGTTTTAAGTATAACGCATTTTTATTTATATTTTCGTTTTTTTTTTAGGAAACAACGGATATAATAATACAAAATAAACCGCACAAAGTTGAAAACAGTTTCCACATTATGAAAATAACGTGAAATTTCTTTTTAACTATCCTCTATTCTACCTGATGATAAGGCATGGAGGAGCTATGGTTTAACACAAGATGTTAATGATCCCAGGTTTTATTTTTCTAACGATACAACAGATATGGAGGCGTGGAGCAGTTTTTAGTATTTTTCATGAAACAAAATCGCAAAATATTCAACAGAAGCCCGGTTATTGTGCCGTTTCGGCTTTTGAAAGATTGAAAAACTTACAAGAGGAAGTAAGCGGAACAAGAAGAAAACACAAGTACTCACCATTCGACGTCTGTGCAACAAGTTGTTTCCCCTGTAGTCTCGGTGTATGATGACTGTTCTGGCGGGTGTTGTAGGGCGTGTTATTTCGTTCCACGTTATCTCTCGTGACTTATGTAGGAACCTGGCAAGTGCATCCTTGTTCTTAGGGTTGACAACGTTCAGTGCAGAAGCTGAACACTGCTGCAAAGTAGATTTCATGACATCTACATCCCAATTCACCGCTAAGATTTCCAAAGCTTTTTTAAACTCTTTAGGGTGTCTTTTAGCAAACGCTAAGGACAGTGCATGCATTTTAGCAAGATCTCTGACGGCAGAAGCAGCATACGGCCAATCTATAGACTGGAACCTGTTGTGAGGTCCGTAGCCTTGTGGCAGCAAGTTCTCCAGTACCAGTATCTCCCTTTTCGGGCTGGGATCGAATCCGTAGAACTTGCAGAATAGTAGCCTGTCTTCTTCTTTCACTCCATTTTCCTTTTCCATTTTTTCGTACCACTTTGCCAGCTGTGTGTACATGTACTGTTCATTGGTGTACATGTTTGGTAACAGCTCACGCATACTTTCACTAAGTGTGGCCACTTTAGCAAACAGATGCAGATCTTCCTTGCCTGCTTCCCTCACGACCGCCGTGAACAGTTTAGATGTGTAGTTGGCTCCGCCGCTTGATATTTCTTCTATTGTAATCTCAGGTTTCACATATTTGTGTTCCCTGGCGATTTTGTTTAGATATTCTCGGAGTGATTCTTGATCGGTTGCCATTGTACGAAATGTTCGAAAGTGAAAAATGAAATAATATAAATTAACTTTAGAAGTGTACCTTTATATAGGAGTGTAGGATATCTATATTCAAGCTATTTTTCCCACTCATCATTATAATATGATTGTGATAAGTCAAGGATGTTCAGATGATGACTATATATTTATTTAATACTAGTGACTCGTCCCCGCTTCGCGCGGGTCCATATATCTCGCTAACAACGAAAGTGCCACGTTTACCACTTTACTCCTCGATTTTTCTAAACTTTCTCCTGACAATAATAAATATAACAAAAAAAAGAATAAGTAAAATTAGTCCAGTTGTTCTTGAGTTATGCGCTTGCCTAGGCTAAGGCTAAATAGATATTGAAATTTTGGAATTGTTTGTAAATCGTATGCTATGTACAGAATAAATTTAAGATTTTTTTTTTAAGTGGTAAGTGATAACAAAATTGAACGCCAGTTCAGATTCTATAACTACAAGTGGACTAGTGAAATTATTAAATGCATTTATTTATATGTAATTCTTTCCTTTCACGGGACCACAGGGTCCCGGACCTTTGGAAGGCATACGAGGAGCCGAAGCCAACTCGCAGAGGCCCGTTGAACAATTTTAATCTAAATGTGATGGGACATCAGCCGGCAATCATCCCTGTATGCACTATAAAAGTGCACCCAAGGACAATCCCCGGTTGATGCAGGACTATTGTAAAATGTGGTAACAATTGATAGGGTTATGGGTATGGGTTGCTATGCACTAGTGGATGAAAACTATGGAAATACTATGGCCCCTGCCCCTGACCAATATTGATACATACGGATAAACAGGCAGGGGGTGACTGGCAAACTCAATTAATGGGCCCCCGGAAACGGCCGCTAGCATGTAGCGACACGGAGGCAACATACGTTGAGCTGCTTGGGGAAGGAGAGGCATCCCACGGCTATCAGAGCAATCCCGGAAGTACGGTCAAGACCCCTACTAGCACCTTACTGAGATACATCCTTCCCCCGAGTCTCCTTCAACTCCTACTCTTGCGAATCTCCACTCAAGCCAGCCAATTAAGGCAAGAATGAGGTAGGAGGGCTTGTTCTTCATCAGTGTTCACTCCAGCTCGTCACGAGGACTAACTGGAGAGAGAAGAACAAGACACCTCCCGGGAGTCAAGTCCGTGAGGTCGCCACTGCCCAACAGCTCGCCACAAGCTGCCTTGCGGATTTATATGTAATATTATTAGCTATTATAATACATATAAATCACTCAATTCTTTATGTGATATTCAATCTGATTACCTGGTGGTCGCCATGGACACCCACAAGAACGTTCGTGTCGAAGCGTGGTTCACCCACATTTAAAAAAGTAATTTTAAAGATTTAAGCATTCATAGGGATATAGGGACAGAGAAAGCGACTTTATTTCATAATATGTAGTGATATGAATGGATGATATTTAGATATATTAACTTTAAATGAGACAATAAAATGTAATTACAGTCGCTTATCTATAATGTTGTCGAGTCATTATGGAACGGCAGAATTTTCTGTTATTTATGAAGGTAATCTGGGAAAATAAATCTATGACATTATTTGCACGGACCTTACAATAGATAAAAACAAAAATGAGTGATAAGTTTCCTTCAGGTATTCACGTATAATGTGCTACATAAGCGGACACGCCAAGTGTTATTTATAGGTATGTATGTATATAACTATCTCGACTTATAATAATTTCTTTATGATGTTTTTTTAGTAGTCGGAAAATCATCAAATGCCTTCTCTTAAGGAAGAGAATGTCAGACTCATACGGCCTTATTACAAAACAAGGGTTTTCTAAACCATTGAGCCAGGTTTTTTTATTTTAAATTGAAGGTAGGTGAGAATAAGATCAAAAATTCAAAATTTTTAAATAGTTTTACACCTAGACTAAAGATGAATCTTGCTTTGTAATAAGGGGGCTAAAAGCCATCCGTTCATTCTCCTGCTCGAGGCTCCTCAGCATTGCGGTACACTTTTGTTCATGTCCCGCAACCCCAACTGAGGCGCACTGATTTGCCTTTCTATAGGATGAGACCACATTTTCTTTTAAAATCAGGACTGAACATGTCTTGTCACACATGTTAGCCAAGTTCTACAGATACAACCTCGGTAAGACTGAAGACCAGTGGGTGTCAGGGACAAAGATAACTTTTATGGATCTCCTAAAGAAATAAATCAGAAGATTAGATGAGAAGGGAATTAGTTTGGTCTTGATGAATTTATTGTAGGAGATCAAACTCCTTATACTTTTACTTCTGCTTAGTGCTTTTTAGGTATGGACGACCGGCCACCGAACAATTTTTCGTGTCATGGAAAAATTGTTGTTCGGAGACTAGGTGTGGTCTGGATGTGAAATTATTTGTAACTAGCTTCCGACTGCGGCTTCATCCGTGTAGCGTATCATCTACCTACATACCAAATTTCAAACAAATCGGTGCAGCCATTTTTGCGTGAAAGAATTACAAATATATATCAATACATTGTCACAAACCTTCGCATTTATGATTAGTAGGATTACTTTTACGACATAGAAAAAAAATATGAAACTAACGTAGGGTAATGCTATTGTTTAAATAATTTGAAAGTAACTTAAGGTACTTTTTTTGTGAGGGGAAAATCATCAAATGACTTCTCCTGCCCAGGGCCGGGCGGGAGGGAATGTCAGACTCTTACTGACTAAAAACCCCCCTGTTCCTTCTCCTGCTCTGGGCCGAGGTCGCGGTGCCTCATTGCGCTTACCCCGCAACCCCGCAACCCCGCAACCATCTTAAGGTACTTAAAGTTTTAATATTGAAGGCATTTGACAACTTTCTACTATAATACAATATATTTTTCGAATGTCTAAATCGTCATTTTTATTTGACATTCGCAAGCTATGGTGTAAAGAAAGAAATCTTATTTTTTTGTTATGTGACAGAACCAATCGGCACCATCCATGGACAGCCCCGACACCTGAGGAGTCACGAGTTCGATGCCGGTCTTTGAGATGAGATTGGGACATAGGGAGGATTGGGTCTCCATGATGTCATAATTTATTGTGTGAAACACCCACTTTATTCTTGAAAATTAAATGGAAGCATATTATTAAGAATGTAGGTATTTAGTAAAAACAACGATGTAAGCGTGACAAGTTTTCAACATTTTGTTGTAATTTTTTTTAGCCTCATCCCTGCAACTAATCGCTTGGGGCGCATGTAAAGACATTTTTGATATTTAAAACATTTAGTTATTTATTCCGTAGCACATTTTTTGTCACATATGAAAATATCTATGTATTTTTATTAACGAAAGGTTTTTAACTTGTTCTTCAAACGAAATTGGAACTAATCTATACTAATATTTTAAAGAAGTAAAATTTGTAAGTTTGTATGTTTGTGAGTTTGTTTGTATCTTTGGAACCTGGGTTGCCAAAATTCTTTCACTAATAGAAAGTTACAATGTTCCTGAGTACTTTAGGCTATAAAATATCACGCTACGATTAAATGGAGCCGAGCACCGGGTGAAACCGCGCGATAGTAGCTAGTAATTTAATATAATAATGCAATGCCTCTTGTAAATAACAGCCGTAATAAGATGGATTTCTAATTATTTTTTTTGGAATTAGTAGGTATAATGAAATGATGATACTGTATGACTACGCAAATTATTGTGCAAACATTTTCTGATCAGTAATCAATGGATTATATGGACTTATCAGGCAAATTTGTGGACTCATTGTTTCACAGCACATTCTATTTTTTCCTAATAAATAAAAGGAATATATCTGATTTCACACGCATTTTCAGAGATAAGCATTATTATGTTTGTGTTGCAAGATGATTATTTAGGCCCGATAAATGTATTGTTTTCTCATAAAACACGGATATTATAAATCATTATATTGATAAAAACTAAAACATTTATTTTATCGAATGATATTATGGACTAAAAATAAGTTATGGGTCTTATGAAATTTTTTGTTTGATGGTGAAATATCATCATCATAATTATTAAGTATGGGATTATCTAGATTGGACTGTTGGAGATATTTGTATAAAATTTGGTTTGAATTGAAAGCAGTGAATACCTATTGGTTTGACCTTCTGATGCTTGGCACACATTAATCTCAACACGTAGCGTGGTCCTAGGCAAGAATCTATGCTTAAATAATTGGGCCTGGGATAGAAGATAGAATATTATTTGAATTTTTCGTATTTATTCCATTACATGCACACATACATGAACTAAAAAGCTAAAAATATTAGGAGTGTTTTAAAGAAAGCGTGTCACGTTCATTGTCCTACAAATGTTAATGTTGCATTGTGGCTCACCGCAAACGCAGTAGGTCACTATAGCAAAGCTACCTGCATAACTTGCACTGTAAAGACAAGCACGACAATAATGGAAAAAACAAAATAAATGTAAAAGTGTAATTATTTTTGATAATAAATTCGTAATAATATTTGTTAAAAAGAAATAAGTATAAACCCTTATAAATTAGAAGGTTTCTAATCTTTTTAAAAAGAGTACCTAATGGTGGAGTTTCTTGCTCGTTCTTCTCCATTCGATTTGGAATGAGCACCTAGCTTCATTGACGAACAGACTGACAGACTACTATTCTATTTAGACGTTTCAAAATTACCTATTTATGGTTTAGTTGGAATGAATGATTTTGACTTTGATTTTGACTATAGATAAGGTTAATGTTAAATGAATAAAATTGAGTACAGGTTGGTATTCTTAGTCTAAATAAAAAAAGTAGGTATCAGTACCTACCTATCATGATTAGTCGTAGGTATACGATTCTAAATACAATAGGTAAGTATCAGCATGATGGGACATTATGAAATTATTGTAATCTAATTAATTTAAAACCATTTTTGACATTTAAATTAAAGAAAAGTGTGGGTAGTTCTTGTATTGTAAAAATAATGTATTATTTGTAAAAGAGTCGATTTGGTTTTAAATAATAAAACTGAATGCCTTTTTATATCGTGAAAATAAAATTTGAGCAACTATTGTATTTTTGTATCGGACGAAACGGTGACTACGACCACGTGGCGTATATTGTAATCGTGTATTCTTTCTTATGAAGTTAATATTATGCACATTTGAGAATTTTAAACGAGGCTTACTTATTATTTTTATCTGTTGTCCTGCTCATATTTTATCTGGGTTTCCGTATATTAAGATGATGTGAGAGATGGTTTTAAAAAAAAACAAAAATTGACTTTTTTTTCCTTTGGATAGCCTATAGCTTCTTTGGCTGCAGATAACCTCAAATTCGAATTCTTTATTTGCATGTTAAGGTTATATAGGTTCTTAAATTTAAAAAAAATAGGTGTAGTGCCTCTTATTTACCTTAACGGCCTTTTTAGGCGTTGCAAATTTAATGCTAATGTATTAAATACTTTTAAATTTAGAATGTAATTTCGTAAATTATTTTTCAGTTAAAATCGGGTAGATCAACAAGACCATTATAAAGAATGAAGCGATTCTTTGTTAAACAAATGACGGCTAACCATTTTGCATGTGGTTGGAGGAGCCACGATATTTTAGGGAGCCAGAATTCTGTATCTTTTATATGTACTCAAAAATCTCTTTAACAGTGTAGGTGTCTACACAACATAACGTAGGTAACTACTAACTTTTGTTGTTTAATTTTCTATGCTACGTACATATATCTAATAATTAGCAAACCATGCTGTAAGCAGGTACTTTAATACTATTTTGTAAAACCTTGTTTTAACATATTTTAAGGCAATAAAAATATGATGATGATGGAAATTGTCAGTAGTAGTATCACCTGATTACATATTAGATAATTTGCAATTGCATGTTATAAGTAAATGCGTATATTGGAATATCTGAATCCATTATGGGTATATTAGCTTTTGCCCGCCACTCAGATTGCTTGGAATAGTGACTTCCTGCACATTTTTCGTATATAAACTATCCTAAGCCCTTTCTTCAGTTCCACTGTCTGTCTGTATCAAATTTCACAGAAATCGGTTTAGTAGTTTGGGCGTGAAGAAAAGACAGACAGACAAGGTTACTTTCGCATTTATAATATTAGTTTGGATATTTTAATATTATAGTATAGATTTTAAGACTATCAATCGGTATGTACCAAAAATATGTCTTCTTCGTACACTCGCTATATATTTATTATTTTTCAGAACATTCAAAGGTTTTTATAGCTTGTTTTGCAGGTATGAGTAACTTAAGCCAACATTTGCAAACAATAATACATATAAAGTTTCGAATGCGATATATAGACAGGGCCAATCTTTCTCTCCTACAGTTATTAAAAGTAAAACTTTTTCAAATGTTTTTGTTATAATTATTGTCATGTAGGTAGTATAACATAATTATATTAAAAATACATTTTACAGAAGACTGGGAATAAAGGGGACGTGGATGCTAAATACAGGATATAATTTCATAATCATAATCATTTATTTGCATTCCATAACGTCAGCAAAGGTGTTAGAAAAAACTAAATTAAATTTAAGCTACCTACATAATAGCAAGAGAAAAGCAATACTGGAAAAAAGTAATACCTTCGAAAAAAACACATCGTCAACTTATCAAATCTAATGAGAATAAGGAAATCAAATGAAAGAAAAAAAGAATTGAATTCAAATGAAAATAAAAAACGTTTTTATATAATTATTTAGAAACTGCTTTTGGAATCCTTGCCATTATCACCAACAAGTCCTTTGTGTAATGGTGGGCACGTTTTTTACTTTTTTGAGAAGGTAAAATTATCAAATGTTTCTCTCGCCAGTCCAGGGAAAGACAAGAGGGAGTGTCAGACTCTTACTGACTAAAAACCCCCGTTCCTTCTCCTGCTCCAGGCCTAGGCCACGGTACCTTAATGCTTGACTCGCTACCAAGCTGCCATTTTATTTTTTGCGTGACGGTTTAAACCATGCATGTAAATGCATGCAGAGATCTAAGTATTGTGCTCATATCTGAATTTATTATATCACAAACATGCTAAGGTTTGCACACAAAGTTAAAACCTTCTGCTTAACCTAACTAACGACAATGTACTCCAAATTAATGTTATTTAACATTTATGTAAAGATAAAAATAATCACGATATTTTGTCGTGATTCTTAAAACTGCACGCCCCTCTATACATCGTTATATACTCGTACATACATACATTTTACATATAGACTTTAGTAAAAACAGTTTTTCGTTTCAAGGTCAAAGAATGGCCAAGTGTCGTATGAACATAATCAAATAGAAATAACAAGTTCAAAAAAATCGTTAAAAAGAATGAATGATTTATCGAATCTTTCTGCTCGATTCGCGTTTAGTTTTTGCTCATTTTCCTATAAACCAATTATTATTTATAATCTTGTAAGTACTATTTTATTTATTGTATTTACCTACAATTATTTGCTTAGCAACTTCAATATTGTTTATTTATTATATTTAAATAACAAATGAAAACAAATTTGCATTGTCTATTGTGAGTGAACTACTCAATCTACCCGAGTGCAGTGAACCGTTTAAACAAGCAACCATAAAGTAATGTAGTTCAGGCTGTGCAAATTTAACGAACGAATGTTATCTGAATGGACACAAACTTGGATCATAGATCAATGACTCGGGCACAGTCTTATTCCAGACGCCAATCATGTCGGTCGTTAAGCAAACACTGTGCAAAGTGCTCGACAAAGTCGTCCACAAGCTGCAGATGCCAAATGCAAATATATCCATCAAGAACCTGACGAGCGATGGCGGCTATACTTCGGCGCTTTTCTCCGTCACCGTCAGTGCACCGGAGCGAAACAACTTGAATCTCTTCGCCAAGGTAGCTAATGTCAATGTAAAGCTCCGTCAGGCGATGAACACGGAATTACTGTACACGACCGAGCAGATTGTGTACAATGAGCTGGTCGGAGTGTACGACAAAATACAGGACAAGTACCGCATCAGCCCCGAGCACAGATTCGTCTTCCCCAAGTTCTATGGAGGCGAAGACACAGTGGGACATGAGACTGTCGTCATGGAAGACATGACAGCCAGCGGCTACGCCCCATTAAACCGATTCGAAAGTATCGATTGGGAGCACGCTGCTGTGGCTGTGGAGGATTTAGCCAGATTGCATGCGTTATCCTTCGCTTACCAAAAGGAAGATCCATCAAATTTTGCCAAGGACACCGAAAGATTTAGGTTCGTGAAGAGCAAGATGGACTTTAGCAATCTGAAGGACACGTGGGCAAAGATAGGCGAATCAGCTATGGAAACAGTAAAAGATGAACATAAAGACAAATTAAAGAAGTTGCTAGCTAATGGTTCGACACAAGATGTGTTCTACAAATTCCGAGCACCTCTGAGCACGGTGGTGCTGTGTCATGGCGACTACAGAGTCAGCAACCTGCTGTTTCGGCGTGTGGTAAGCATTCTTTACATTACCCGCCCCTATGGCTAACCACTGACCCATTAATTTAATCATGAATTCTTTCAAAAAAAGAAGTAAAATTTATTTTTTAGTAATGGCGGTAGTTGCGATATCATGTTGTCAGAGACATGATGAATTTTTACAAGCGTTTTTTTTGTCCTTATCTAAAAACTTTGTACATTATAGTTGTTTGCAGTTGATTTAGCGTGCATATCTGTGCCTCGTGCCGGCTGTGTATCGTCTTCGACCGTCGTATAGGCGTCGTCGTATCATGAATTAACCAAAAAAGTCAGTAGGTCATTGCAAAGTCGTCGAGAAATGTTTTCGCGCTTTGTAATACAAATAAAATTATCTTTATCATTTGTAATAAAGAATGCCATATCCGCTATAGTTGGACACGTTTTGCAAATACCTTCTTGAGAAGATTTTAATATAAGTCTTCTAAATTAGGGTAGAAAGTACCACGTGTAGTTACTTTTAACAAATCTACCTGTCTACCCACTCCTTTCAAACGTTAATTATTAACTGGCATTATGAAAATTTGGCAGCAATGATTAAGAACTTTTATGCCATACGATAGGCCAGCGCCTGATGGTAAGCAATAAGCGTCCCCATGGACAAAGCAACACCAAAGGAGTTACAAGGGCGTCGCCAGCCTTTTCGGATTGGGAATGGGGTAAAGGGAACCAATTTTTTTTCACCTACAATAAAAAAGGTTAAACGTAATAATAAAAAGAACGTGAGGCAATACAAAACATTTTTTTTAATTCCTAATAATTGATGAATGTGATCAGTTCTCAATTAGCTACTTAATTAGCATGTTATTTGATAATTGTACTTCCTATTTGAAATGTGTTTGCAATGTATATTGCGTCGGCCTGTCTGTCCGCATTAGCTCATGTACATACATGTCAGATATTGAATTTGCTTGTCTCGACTTGTTGTGTATTTATCGCAGACAGCATTGTCTAGTTTGATATCTTGTTGATTGTTATCTTCAGGTTTGTGTAATATTGTATAATTACGATTATACGTATCCGTAGGACCATTAGTATTTGTTCCCTTTACATACATATTTTTTCTTTTCTTGACGGTAGATGGAAAATTTTGTTTTACTGTACATCTTCCTCAGCGGCTTGTCCATGTACATTACTTAGTTTGACATTTATTTTTAAATACTTTACTGTTTTACGAGATTTATTCACATACACATTATATAGTTCGATGTCAAACATATCAAATTAAATTTATTTTTCGTCACATTTCAGGGTGATATTGTTTCGAATTTATTTTCCTTCGTGAAATGTCGAAGAAGAGATCTGTAGAAGTAGTGATCTTTAAAAGATGTGTTTTAGTTTGTTTTTAGGGCTAAAGCTAGTCGAATATTCGTTTTGCCGAACCAATTGTGGGCAAGCAATTTTCGACATTGAGAAGTGTTTAAAAATAATTAACCATTGAAATTGAAAATTACACTTTTGGTTCGGAGGGTACTTTTATATTTTTTAAATCTTACCTTTTTTTTTTTAATAGACGCCTCAAACCGCTTCTTTGCATGCATAATTTGATCCCCGCATAAAATATTATTGGTTTTTTTAGGAAACTTGTAATCTATGTATAAAATTAAAACTTCTAATGCAGGTTACTTAGTAGTTAAAAGTATTTGAAGAAACGAGGGTGGATGAAAATTATAACATCACTTGTTAAAGAACGGAAGATTATATTGACTGTGATTGAATCCTCTGATCTCTCTTCGTCACATCTTTCGATATTCTGTACCTGTTTAGGTATATAATATTTACGAACGTTTAACTGCTTATAGTTTGAAGGAGCATTTAATTGTTCAAATAGTTTGTTAAAAGGTATGTAGGATTTAATATAATAAAATAGACATAATCAAGTGAATTAGCTATAGATGTTGAAGACATTTTTCGAAAAATCTTATATTTCGGAAAAGTATAATGAGAAAATTTCGGTAATTTACTTAATTGAATTTTAGACTTTGATATCTTTGTATGAGTACCAAGTTTCATTCAAATTGGTTTAGTAGTTGCCACGATTTTCATCTTGACTTTCGACTTTACTGTCGGTACTTTCACAAAATGTGCGATGGATAAAACGAAAACGTTGGAGGTATTCGCAATAATAGTTATTTTATGTTTTTGTAGGTACTTTGAATTATGTATTCTAGCTCGTTTCATAATCTACTTATTATATCTCGATTTAAAGGGATATCCATACTCGCTGTATATATGTAAGTATGTATGATAGCAATTTGTGCTTGCGTCACATTGGACTTTTGTAGGTTTTCCTTCTTATAGTTTCGCAAGCAGATATTTATCTTTAAATAGTACCCACGTTTTTCATTTATTAATTTTGACATACATTATTGCTCACATACCTACATAAAAAGAACATGGCAGAATAGAAGAATGTTGTAAGTAACAATGGGTAGTTTTTATAATGCAAGGCGATTTCTTCCAGACAACCTTTGGATTAAAATTCACGAAATATATTTGGTCACGTTTGAAATACATATTAGTGTTGCCATAAGATTATTTAGAATTGGCTGTTTTTATCACACAGTATAGGTTTATATATCTAAAACTACTTTCTTAAATAACGCTGCGTTTGTTCTGTATTTTTTTTTCAAAGTTAGGTTAGAAACTTAGAAAGTAGATAAAATAATTTCTTGCGCTCATTTATGTCATTGGAGGTAGATCTACAAAACATTTTTTTAAGTGATGTGAATACCTATATGCCGTCCGTATGACCGCAAATATTTTAGGTATTTTGTGACTTAAATTATAAACATATTTTTTTTAAGGCACAAACACTTTGTAATATTATATATTATAATATTCTTATCTTATGACCCCAAACTTATTAGTAGGTCGCTAAAAATTCTTCTAAATAAATAGTTTTCTCACTAAATGACTAATAGGAAATATAAACTTCTTTGAAGGTAGATCCAAGATGGCGTATGTTATAAAAGGAGTCTTGCTTCATTTTCTTTAATAATGTGTTAGAAAGGGACGTGGATATTCCTGTCATTATTTCGGTATTTGGGTCAGTCTCTCGTGATTCTTTTGTTTGTTTTCCTTTTAAACAATTTGTTGAGGAAGATTTTTTGACGGTTTCTTGTTAAAAATATAAAGAGCTTGATTATTGACAGAGTTTAAGAGGAAATTGCAGAATTAAAGTTGACTGTTATTCAACAATGGCCGTGTTAGGTCGTTGTGGCTAGGACCAACGAGTTCAAGGCCACTGGGGTCCATTGAGTTTCTACGGAATTATGGCACTTTAACCTAGCGGAACCTTATCTAATCGTAGTTAGTTATATCTAGGTACCTATTTTTTGTGAAAACCGTTGCATTCATCTAATCATTTGTTACGTAGGTACTTAATTATTAAAAATTTTTTTCATGTCGCAACATTTTTTATTTGTGATAACACGTGTACCAGTATACAAGGTTGAAAGAAAATGTTTCGGATTTTCAATCAAAATAAAAAATTTGGGCGTGTAATAGACAGTGATACCAAACCCTACCCACATGGAAAAAAAAATATTTCTAAACTGACTAGTAGGTAGGTCTTGTAGCTGCTAGCGACATCTATAGATTGGTTAATGATGATCTTTATTCATATCCAATATATTTTGCTAAAGAAATTATATTCATTTTAGAACAAAAGCTGCAAGCAGTATTTTTCTACAAAAAATATTTTTCTATGCAGACGTCATTGAAATAAATTGCTTTGCCTTTGGCCTTAAGCCCTGGTAATTATAGGAAGTCTGTCATGAAGGTAGTAGTTAGATTGAAACGCTATACAGTGTCCTTAGTCATCCATCATCAAAGTATACTTATGTACGGTGACAGGCCCCTAAGGCTACCCACTGACCCTACATTCAATGCCAACCCTATTCTTGTCGTGGGTGTTGTAAGAGTCGACTAAGGGACTAACTTTTCACAAAGACCCGTCAGCAGCATCCTCCGCTTATTCTTAACCAATAAAATTAACAAGCTACCTGCTATGGACGGAGATTATGGCAGAACTCCTGAGAGAAGATCCGTACCTAGTCAATAGTGGACGGGCATAGGCTGATAATGATTATGTAAAAGTACCCACATATGTACATTGTTGCGATTGTGGTGATAGCATATACACCAAACTCTTATTCAATACATTAAAAACATTACAAGAAAAAACATTAAAAGAAAAAATGTGGTTGGATAACGAAGCCTATTCAACGAACCATCCCATTAAATATAGATAATGTACAAAATTTGTTTGTACTGAGTGCGTATGTACTTAGATAAACATCTGTCCAAGGCCACGTTCGGTTTAACAGATGTGGGAATCATTGTAGTCTGTATGAAGATCACGTGACCTGACCCGGACGTTATTTGTCACAAGCGCCATTCATTCTAATTGTAACGTAGTAGATAGTTATCACATAGGTATTCTAGGTACACCTTGTAACTAGTTATATAAAAAGTATCTATTAGATGACATAGACGCTCTGTAGTACTTTAGAGTAAAAATTCAGCTAAGGTAACTGATGCAAGTGCAATCAGGGCAGGAGAAGATATGAGGTGGTTATGAGTCAGTAAAATTCTGACACTCCCTTTTATCTTACCTGGGGCAGCAGGCAGCTACAAAAAGTATAATTTACTTTATGAAAAATCCTACTAATGTTACACATTTATAAATGCAATAGGTCTCATCTCTGTTAAGTCTGAATTAATAGGCAACGACAATATGATATAATTTTTATCTCGGTGACCTGAGTGATGCTGTTAGTGGATGCTAACACAATCGTAAATATTCATACTCTTAAGAAAAATAATAACTTTTGTTTGTATTGTGCGTAATTTCTTTTATCTCGATAATGTTTATTTTTCGGAAAATCAAAATATTTTTATAACTGGGTTTATTAAACAGTAGGTACGATTCTGATAAAAGTGCGACTAGTTGTAGAATCTACAAATAAGCGGGTTCCTTAATCTCCCAAGTTTTGTGTTGCATGCAAATACTTAAACCTATTATTAAATAAAAATAGTTATTTAAAATTAAATAAATAGATAGGTTTAATGAAGTTATTCATACCTACATAACACTTTTCTCTACCACGAACAATACATTCGCAAATTATCAATTCTAATAGTTATATCTTCAATATTTCAGGACGGTCGTCTACAACAGATCGTGGTGGACTACCAGACCATGCACAGCGGTTGTCCACCGACAGATTTGCTGTATCTGGAATTCTTGGGTACAGACCAGAAATTCCGCAACAAGCACCATAAACAGCTTTACGACTACTACTTCTCAGAACTAAGTAAAGCTTTGGACCGGTTCGAAATTGATGTGAACAAGGTGTACCCCAAGGCAACGTTCGAAAAAGAAGTTAGAGAGGTATGTAATATATTCGTTTTATTTTGAATCATATTCTTTTTATATAATAGGACGGGAAATGAGCTGGCTGATTACCTGATGGTAAGCAATCATCGCTGCTCATGGACGGATCTCCGACATAGGAGTTACGAGTATGTTGCCAACCTTTTAGAGTTTTGGCGATTAAGGGATTGGGGTAGAGGAAGGATGGGACCTATAAATGAATAAAGGGTTTATAAATACCTTAATACTGGTCATCACAGGACATAACAGTATTTTGTGTTATTTTTGTTTACTTTTTTGGTATGTGGTGTTTTAGCAATCTTCAGTCGACTAAATAAGTATTTAACCTGTGGGACTATACTAAGACTTATCCAATATATAAATATCAAGCAAATTCTATATCGATCCAAGAAATGACTTAGATTATTATTAATATTTTAGATATATTATGATTATCACCGTGAGATTTTATTCCCAGAAGGCAATTAATCACTCCCATTAAAATATAATGAAAACTATGGCGTTACCTTGAGAGCAAAGAACATAAAAGTGTTCTGTCTACGCCTATATTACCCGTCACCGTGTGTACCGTCACAATTTTCAATCAAGTATATTCTTATTCCAGATGTACAGCCCTGCTCTGACCGTCGCGATGGTGGTGCTGCCATTGGTGCTGGTGGATGTTGATCGCGTCCCCCACTTGAGCAAAATCGAAGGAATCGGTGACTTCGCACTCAAGCCCTCCCACCACTTCAGTACCCGGTTTAGGGACCTAGTGAGCGACTGTGTCGAGTGGGGAGGAATATAAAAACAGCTGTAGATCAAATTTTAAGAAACCAAATATTCTCTTTAGTAGTTCACTGTCCATATTTAATCGCCGAAGCTTAGCTATGATAATTTAATAGATCATTTAAAGTCTAAATATCTTTTGCTACCATAGCTGATAAACCCATTATGCTCCACTACTTGGGAACCTGGTTAACTTTATATAGTGCCAGGGTGGTCCAAAAATGTTAAAAGATTTCCCTCCGAATTAGTGTCCAATTTTAACAATTATAACCTAAATAAATATGTATAATAATAGATAATTGGCTCCCACGATAGGTAACAAAAAAATCATTTATGACAGTCTGGCTCTGTGTAAGCTATAATTTAAATTCAGAATAAGGTATTTCTCGGTAAGTAATAATAAATAACGAGTAAGTATTATTGTAAATATAATAATTATGTTGTTTAATATAATAATTTTAATAATAATATGATGGTTGTGATAATTATAATATAATATTTCATCCTTTCTAAATAGAAAGAATGAAAGATTATAATTTATTAGGTTTTTAAGGTAGATTTAATAAGGTGATCAATTTAAATAATTTATGAACGTATACCTACTGTTTTACTAATGGAAGACCTTTTGGTTAAGAGCCAAACAAGAACCAAATGCAATTGACAAAATGCAGCTTATTACCATGAAAACTACTAGTTTGGTTTACGTGGATAAGCCGTATTTTTCAATTAATTTAGTACGTTGCACGAGTTTTATTACACAAGAATAAGAGCACATTGTTGAAGAAGAAAAAACAATGTTTTAGCACATATATTAATTAAAAGGTCTTTTGTTAATAAAATAGATGCATAGTACAATACTAGCACCTATAAATAATGTAAATTAAGCACTGACTAGATTTGTGTTAAGGTAAATATTATTGTTTTAATTAGTTTTAAATATTCGATTTTGTATGTATGTTAGGGCTTATCTTGACAACGGCTGGAACTAATCCGATGACCCGTCTTTTAAATCAAATATAGTAAATTTTAATAATGACATTGTATTATGAAAGAATGCCAAAAATTATACCCAATGATGTATCTTATATATTATGTTTTGCGACAGAAAATTTTGCGTCAAGCCAACTAGAACTAAATAATGTATAAAAAGGGCTGTTATATTTTATAAGTTTTCCAAAGATACTAGATGGTAATGACGCTGATTATTCTGCGAACAACAAACGAATGTAGACAAGCTTAAAGTAATTTATAAGAAGACGGAATGGGATTTTCACGTTTATTTGTACCTACCTAAATATATTTTAATGCTAATTATTTTGCTAGTAATAAATTATTTTGTTAGTCATATGTGGGTTGTCTCATTTAAAAAAAAACAGTTAATGTTAGTAGTAACACCGTTTTGAGTGCAATTCTTTTTAACACATAAAATAACTGATCACACAAAGTGCAGAAAAAGAGCCATGCCTCTGAGCGAATGGGTCGGTTTGACCGGAGTTATACCACGGCCTCGTAGATAATCGGCGTAAAACAACCACAGCGTTGTATTTCGCCGTGTGAGTGAGTTTACCGGAGGCCCAGGAGGAGGAGGAGTTCTTCAATCCGTAAATCTCCAAAATCCTAATCCCTAAAAAGACTGCAACGTACTCATAACTCCTCTGTTGTTGTGGGTGTCCATCGGGGCGCCGAATGCTCACCATCTGCAGTAATGCGTCCGCGTCCTATTACAAAAAAAAAAAATCAACCAACCAGATGAAACGCCTGCAGCAATTTTACATGTCACGCAGAATTAAACAGTCTTGGATTAGTACGAAGAGCAGGCGCTTTATTCAAGCAGTTGTTCACTATCTCACCTGAAGGCAAGCGATGATCCTCTCCTCACACGGAGGTTTGTGTATTTATCACAAAGCTTGCTCAAGGTGGATTGGCGATTTCAGACTCATAATTAGAAATTATAAGTCTAGGTTTTTTCACGATGTTTTCCTTCGCCGTATGTCAGAGATGTCTGAATAATCATAGAAAGTACCTACATATAAGTCGGAAAAAATTAGTACTTGCCAAGTTTCGAATGCACCCTATTGCATGAGAAGCGGTCGCCTTAACCTCCTGGCCACCACGACCTTATAACCTTGAAGATTTAACTTTTCAGACTGATTATCCTTGAAGCCACTGGTGTATATGTATATCCTACGGGAACACAGATTCAGACAAAGAATCCCATTCCTTCCTTAATTGTTGTGGGGAGTTATGATAAAATAACTATTGGCGAAGCTCTTCGTATGTATGGATGGATATAAGTACACCTTAAAGCGGTGACGGTTGCCTGGTGGTACGATGATGGAAAGGACTTTTGTTTCTACAGTCTGTAAGAATAATTTGATATTTTTCTTTGCACGAATACGTTATCTTACTTAAATTATAAATGCAAAAGTTATATGTTGGATGTTTCGTCTACACATATTTGAGGATATAAACTTAGTGAGTTCTTTTTTCTTTCGACAAAATGCATGTAGGATCGTTGGTTACTTACAAAAATAATATAGCAATTATTGGTAGATATGTACTATCAGTGTCATAAGTGCATGGATGATTCTAAATCAAAATCGTTTGTACGGCGTTTCATCGCCTTAATTATATACCATGGACGACATAGATGGCGCTAGTATACTAGTGGTATTGAAAAATATACATTTATAGTTTTTATCAGATACAAAGTTATTAACTTAATAAATTTTTGTACAAATTAATGCTACGATATTCCAAACCTTTTTAAAGCAAAGCACGCAATAACCAGGTTTCGAACTCGGTAGCATAAAATTAACCGATGCCACTAGCCATTAGGCCATTACGTAACCTTGAAATGTATTGAAATTATCCTACTCTTTATTATATTGAAGTTGTTTAGCAACTATAACCCGATCATAAATCTCAAAACAGTTGAGGGTAATTTAATATTAACTGTATAAAAATTAAACCTTTTTGTTCAATCATAACATTCTTTACTATCTTTGAGTGAGTTCAGTCACGATTTGTTTAACAAGTTTTTAATATTTATTTTTATTATGAATTTGCGTTCAAATGTTAATATGGCTACGAGGGCCCAAATAATAGCATTGCATAATAAAGGCTTAAATTATACTGGAATTTCTAGAGAAACTGGCTTAAACGTAAGTATTCTTATAAATGACCGTTTGTTATTATACATGTTATCGATACATGAAAATAATAAATAATACACGTCCCTTACAGATAAAGACTGCCACTTTATAGATATCTAAAGCTGTTTCAAGAAGAGGGTTCATTGGAGCACCGTAGTGGATCTGGCAAAAGACGTGATGTTGACTCAGACCAGTTTCAACTTATGGGGCAAGGTTATGAGGAAAATTACTGGAGCATTGTCATCTTCAGTGATGCAAACAGTGAAAACTACATAGATGTGCTGAAAGACGTCATGAAGATGTGCTAGTGATAACGTTCGTGCAGGACAATTGTCCTATGTGTAATGTTCCATAATTGTGCAAGTGTTTAGTCAGCAATCAGACATACGGATTATTCCTTGGCCAGCGAGATAGGAGAAATAGGATCGATAAAAATGGCGGCTACACTAGTTCTTAAAAGAAAAGACATTGTTGACTATAGGATTAAGCAATTACAAGACCGGGGTAGCTATAATTTATTTAATGGATAAATGTTCAAACTTAGTCTTAGTAGGATAAATTTATTGACTACTTTATAACCAGCGACTGTTATACAGTAATGATTTTAATGTTTTACTAAATATGAGAAATAAAAATAAAAGCAATATTAATATTTACAGATGCTATTGATTGCAAAATAATTAATTATTTATTTATTAATTACTATGAACAATTCGTCCCATAAGCTAGTGAATGCTATATCCCGGTCTTACAAATGTTATTGATTTAAGGTCTAGCTTCAATTTCTTCCTTGTTCTGGAACGAATACTTAAGCTATGAGCCTTTGTCATAACATGATGCACAAAATGAATCACTTTAGTCAATACTTTAATTAAATTTTATGGGGAGGTAAAATAGTTGCAGAAGTAAGGTTGCATATTATATAGAATCATATTATAACATTGTGTTTAAAACTAACTAATAAATGACTAATGACAACACAATTTTGATTTAAAATACTTATTAATCTTATAAAAAGTGTAATAAATAATGTGTCAGTTAGCTGAAAAGTTATTAGGTCAGGGTATACACTATCTTTGAGTGAGTTCTAATAACAAGCCGGGGCTGCAGTGATTAATTCACTGCAGCCCCGGCTTGTTGCAGGAGAAGGAATGGAGTGATTTTTAAGTCAGTAAGAATCTGACAGTTCCTTTCGCCCCTCCTAGGACTGGGAGGAGTCATTTGATGATAACACTTTTTCAAAAAATAGGAAGGATAAAGGTTGAAGGAGGAAGAGTAAGGACTGGTTTACTGATTACGGTGAAGTATGGATCCCCGGCATTAAGCCACATCATTAATCAAATGTATTTTAAATGAAAATATCTCAGAAAACTAAAAAACTAATTAAAGGCGCTTTTCAAAACAGGAAACACAAATAAAACACTTAAGATAGCTATGACAAACGTATATAATAAGATTCCATATTATCATCATCATCAGCCTATAAGTGCCCACTGCTTAGCAAAGACCTTTTCTCATACGGAGAAGGTTAGAGCATTAATCACCACGCTTGCTCAATGCGGGTTGGTGATTTCAAACTTATAATTAGAAATTATAAGTCCTGGTTTCCTCACAATGTTTACCTTTACCGTATGTCAGTAGTGTAGAAATAATCATAGAAGATTCCATATACATGGATCTAACAAAACTTTTTGATCGAGTCGATTAAATTCTGTTATCAGAAATGCTTAAAGCGTATGATGCTATTGGAAATGGTCTAAGCTTTATTAAACTACTTCTACTCGTATCTAACCGAAGAACATCCACATTAGTAGTAAGAAATAAAATATGTATGTCCAAATTTATAAAAATTGGCAGTATTCCTCAGGGTAGTGTTTTAGGTCCTTTATTATTCACACCAATTATCAGATTTCTCAAATGCTTCCTTCATCCGATAATATTAATTGGTGATGATAGATAGTCCTTTTGCAAGGTCAAAATGAATACCTTCTCTTATATAAACCATACCTTAGTTATTATTATAAACTAGTTGACAATAATTTACAAACTTTGACTTAGACTAACCTAATATTATTTAAAAAACGGAAAGAATTAACTATTATTTTACTAATTAACGACTCGCCGCTCTACCCACGGGTTCAACTATATCGCTAAAGAGGTCAATTTTCGTAATTATCCTTTCGATTTTTTTTATTTTCTTCGATAAGAACATTCTCTTGACAATATTTTTTGTGCAATTTATTTTTATATATGTATGTAATTCAGGACATCAAATACCTGTTCAATTAAAAAAGCTTGAACAAAATTTAATTTTGACTGTTCAAGGTTTTTAGTTGTTGCTGAATGCTAGAACACTAGTTTAGCTGCATATCATGGATACGTTGTTTCTCTTCTTCGGTACGGGATAATCTTTTGAGGAAGCTCAACTTCCATAGAATTTATACTAATATCAAAACAAATATAAGGGCTATTTCGTAAATTGAAAAAGACTGACAATTAATAAGCCGTACTTTATTTAATTAAATCCGTACTGAACGGACTATACACATGTGTATTGGCTGTGTGCGCGACGGTGGCGACGCGTAGCGTTTACAGCCGTCAAATAATAACAATGTAAACATTATAATTTTCTTTGCAAATATAAAGAACAACAAAGATTTAAATTGTATTTTTGACATTATTTAAGTTTTTACAATTTGTTCAATAGTTTTACTGTAAAATGAATATAATAATAGAAACCGACAGCTGATCATCCGCATTTGTTTCCAATTTCTGCCATGTTGTGCGCTGCGTATATGAAATATAAGTATATGAAATGCAAGTATTTGTATAAAATATTAATAAGAATGTTATAGAATGCATGTTTTTAGTTATAATAAGGTATATTGGTATTTTGTATAGAGATCCAAGACCATATAATTTCTAAGGCTTTATACTAGGTAATAACCAACAGTAACATGTTGACGATCAGTGTTTTAATTTAATCGGAACTGTGGCATGTAAATCTTTATTTTTATATATGATGTCATACTTAATCATTCCATTGATATTTAGTATAATTTATTTATATCATCGAATTTATTTAGCTGCATATTTATCATTTTATTTACTTTTATTAGTTAAAATCGATTAAAAAAATGTTAGTCACTTAAGATCTTCATAAGAGTTCCTTTTTGAAAAATGCCTCTTCTCACATAGAGAAGGTCCACGCTTGCTCAAAGCAAATTGGCTAATTTCAAACTTATAATTAGAAATTATAAATCCAGGTTTTCTTCCGATGACTTTCCTTACCGCACGTTCCTTGTGTTTTTTCTTTTTTTATGTGATAGGTCGGCAAACGAGCATACCGATTACCTGATGGTAAGCAATCAGCGTCGCCCATGGACACCCGCAACGACAGAGGAGTTACGAGTGCGTCGTCGACCTTTTGGGGATTAGGGATTTGGAGATTTTGGGAAAGGGAACGGATTGGGGTAGGCGAAGTATAGGACCTCCGGTAACCTCACTCACACGGCGAAACACTACTCTTTGGTTATTTCACGCCGGTTTTCTGTGAGGCCGTGGTATCACATCGGTCGAATAATTCTTTTTTTTTTTTTTTGGTGTCGGGTTGGAAAATCCTCATGGAGACCCATCGCCCTCGGGGAAAGGGCGAAGGGTACTGTCAGACTCTTACTGACTAAAGACCAACCCGGTGTTCCTCCAATAACCCATGTGTCGGAGTGGCGGGTATCGCCGAAGCATTCGTCGCATCCCCCCGACTGGTGTTGGCCCGCCAGAGATGGTAAGGCGGGCCCCGTCACCCACTGCGGCCGTCACCCCGACCGCAGGACTCCACTATGACTCGAGGCCTGCTGCTGGTCAGACGACAAGACGCCCCGAGTCTGTCGTCCACAGGCCGCGCCCTACGGTGGCCGCAGGTCGGCCACCCTACGACGTCTAGTGCGTCTGCTGCGGGAAGGGAGAGAGGAGGCAGCCTCTCTCTCCCTTTCCGCCGCCTCCTTTGTGAGCATCACGGCCTCGCAGAAGGTAGCGACGGGACTCCACGGCCGCGACCAGGTCACGACGCTGCTCGGCCCAAGCTGGGCACTCCGCCAAGGTATGCAGCGCCGTAACGTCGCGGCAATCACCACAATGATGGCACTGAGACGTCGGCTCCCGACCTATGCGACACAGGTACTTCCCGAAACACCCGTGTCCGGTAAGCACCTGCGTCAGCCGGATACACTAGACCTTCCGGTTACCTTTACTTACCTACAAATAACAAATTATTAGGACAATTAACATTAAAAATATAATTATTACTAGTACAGATATTTATTAAAAATTTTGTTTTAAATAATAGTTAAGTGAATAAATGAAATTATTCAGTAATAAAAAGTATAAATTTTGTTAATAAACCTAGATTCAAACAAAATTATGTGAACAAAGATCAACAATGGAAAGATTAAAATAATGTTTATAGGTACCTAAGTACCTATTTATACCGACAGTTTTCAGAAAACGCAAATTAAAAACGTCAAATGCCAAATTATGGACTAATCTCGTAAGCTTTTTTAGGCGGTACCTAATAAGTAAATTGAAAGATAATGAGATCGCAGTGAAAAGACTTCACCCAGAACCATGGATCCTGTAATACAACATCGACCTAGTACACTTAGTATAAAGAACTGACTGAGTAAACTGGACTTACACTTAAAATCCACATCACCAGCATATAAATGCCCGACGCGTAGCGTTACGCACTTTTATAAAGACCCAATAGACCACCACAGACGGGGCCTTAAAGGGCTCTTGCTTATCCAGGGTTACGGGATAAGCGCATTAAGCCACCGCGGCCTCGGCCTAGAGCAGGAGAAGGAACGGGGGTTATAGTCAGTAAGAGTATGACCTCCTTCCCATCCCACCCTTGACGGGAGAAGACATTTAATGATTTTCCCCTCGGCTGACCTAAGACCTTTCCTCTAAGACACCACGATTCTTAAAATTGCTAATCATCTATACTATAATATTATAAAGAGGTAAAATTTGTAAGTTTGTATGTAGGGGGTAATCTTTGGAATCGCTGGTCGGATTGCCAAAATTCTTTCACTGATAGATAGCTACATATATGTTCCTGAGTGCTATGGGTTATAAAACATCACTCTACGATTAAATGGAGCCAAGCAGCGGGTGAAACCGCGCGACACTAGTATATTATATGTATAATTTCGTTAACATTACGTATCTTCTATGTATAAATAACACAATTTGGCAATCTCCTCCAAAGTAGATACATGTATTGCTTAAAGTCAAAGTCAGAGTCAAAAATTATTTATTTCAATTAGACCCTTACAGGGACTTTTGAACGTCAAAACAAAATTTTAAACATATAAAGTGTCAGTGCTGCGCATGGCTGTATCTGTACTTTGCTACATATTCCAGTAAACTGATTTCTGCTGTCTACTAAGCGACCACTGCAATTTGTGACGAAGTTGACTTAGCAAATGGAGTACGATTAGGTAAAACTGGTCTCCATAAACAAAGGAAGACAACATACAGCATTTTTTTTATTATTTCCTTGTAGTAGTAGTGTACATACCTACCTTATTATTATATTTATATACCTATGTTCCGACTATAGCGGCAGCAAGGGTATTCTCGAGAATTATATAGGTACGATAAGTTTGCAATAAGTTTAACTTATAGTCTTTTATTTTTTAAGAAGCCATTTTAAGGCGGGAAAATCATAAATTTTCCCGCCTTAAAATGGCTTCTTTTGCGTTGGGTTAGATGGAGATTCAGACTTACTGACTAAAAATCACTTCGTTCCTTCTCCTTCTCCTGCCAGAGCTACAGTACATTATTGTCCTTGACTAGACTTGACTTGAATATTTGCTGATATAGTAAGTTATGAACAAAAATGAAAGACATTCATTGATTCGGTAGTTTCATTTAAATATTTTCGGTCTTCGGCTTATTTACACTGTTTTAGCAATTACGAAATCAAATTGTGTGGTCTAGTACACATAAGAGATAAGGTATTATAGGGTCAGCGTATCCAAACCACAGTAAATGTGTTATTAAAAAACACCAGTTTCACCCGGTCCTGTGTAAACCCTTTTTTGACATACTTGAATTTTTTTGACTTACTCGATTTAGTGCCTTCATCCACTTACTTGTAGCCGTATCGTCCATTCAATGCATTTTTGAACGACCATTCATTGGCCGTCTCTCTGGTTTACCTACCTGTCCTCCCAACCTCGTTCCAGTTGTAATTCCTCCTCCGTACTTTCGTCCTTTCAATCGTAATAAGAGATACAATAGACGCGCGAACGCCGGCGCCATCTTGGAGTTTGATGAATCAATGGTCATAAAAGATTACATAGATAAATATGTAGATACTTGTTACCTACACCGTACAAAAAGTTGGTCTTCGTAGAACAGGTTACTAATTCCGGCACTATTATTTATGATATGAGCCCACGATTTTTTTTCTCGAAAATGGTAGAACAGGCTGACAAACAAACAATAACACATTAATCGCGACGACGGTGTGACGTCCTAGGTCAGTTGTACATGTAGATCAAACAAGGATATCATGCGGCTCAAATGACCGGCACACTATTGTACCACACTCGTGGTAACAACACGTCACTAAGCACACACCACGAGTAAAAGCCTTCGCTAAAACTATATCGTGCAAAAATAAATCAAAAAGTTTTTATTACTTAATTTATTAGGCTGACTGTAATGATACTTTTGCCTCTATACTTTTCAACTGTCATTAAAAACGGTGTTGTCAAAATTTTGGCGGGAAATGTGTGACGATTTTAGATAGGATTTTTTGAGGTGTAAAATTATTTTAGAGATGCATTGAGAAAAAATAAATTAGTAATTTAATTGTTATTATAACGTATATACAACCCGAAGTGCTGCTGTCAAAATGTTTCCACTCTTCTTCGTGTTGTTTATTTTCTTTGGGAAGTCTTCGGGAGTTATCTATAGTTTAAACGGTAAGTTGATATCCTTTTTATTGTAATATATTTAAGACTTGGTCCAGAGACCAAATTCATCTTCACGTATGATTTTTATTATAGGAAAATTATAGAAAAAATATTCTTTTCAGTTCTGTGCTTTATCACTCACTAGGTGCACCTACCATAATTATTTTAAGCTATTATTACAGGCTACCATTATAAAACACTATAATAATAATGATAACTCTGAAATGAGATTATCACTAAGTAATTATACCAGTACTTACAATCCCATTGTAATTAAAATGTGCGTCATATGCTCCTACAAATACAGAACAAAAGTAATTAAGATTTAACGACTCTCAGTCGGATCGAATTGTTTCATACGTAAATAGAAAAGAACATTATAAATAAATAGGTAATATTTAATCTTGTCATGTACATTTTATTGGAGCAGTCCTATCACGTAGCCACCAAAGAGATTATATCTCTAAAAGTCGGTTTACCCACGAAACAAAAGAATAAAGCATCTACTATCAAAGACGTCGACGAAACGAAACGTTTCAAGATAGAAAAAAAAGTAGCTAGGTATATTAAACAAATAAGAATAAATTCAAATCAAAATGAAAAGAATTGATTCTTAAAAAAAAGAAACTCAATATTTTTTTTAATTGTTAAAATCGACGGATTTTTGCAATTTGTGCTTTGCGCTGTTTAAATACCTACAAAAAGCGGACATATTTCTTGAAAATTAGCACGGTAAATAATATATATCAAAGAATGATTTATTTTAAATTTTTATTGACACACCATAGGACCTAGTTATCAATAATATAATTTTATTATTAATTTTAAAAAAGTCAACAAAACACAGACACTAAAATAAAAATATAAACAGCAGTTAAAAATTCACGCAGAATTAGCATTACATAATGGCGATCAAGGAATTTCGCGATTCGCGCCTTGATGTGGTCATTTGTATTCGAAGTAGGCATCATAGCTACCTGGATATGTCCAAGGAGTTTCTAAACACCTTTTATGTTAGATTTAATTATATAGGAAGTTTTTCGCGATGTAAATAACGCGTTCCGAGCCTGACACTGAACCTTGGTTCAAGTTTAACTCATAAACGGTGTGTAGAGGAAAAATGAGTGCACTGTGAATAGGTATTGTGAGGTAACTGCGAACTTATGTGACCTGAGTGACGCGGTGGCTACAGGGTCGTAAGATTCCCGTGTTAGGACTATATTATTGGCGTTCTGCCGAATGACTTATCTTTTGTTAATAACAAAAATACATAAATAGTTAGGATTATATCGTAATCTTTGCCAGTAATTACTACATGGTGAAAAACATAGTCGCTTTCTCTGACCCTATATCCCTATGTATGCCTTTTTAAAACGACGCAACGGATTTTATTGCAGTTTATATTGTGGATGGTTTATGTATAATATAACATCCGTTGAAGTGGAGAAATGTTTTATTAGCATTGCACTTGTGCGAAGCGGGGACAGGTCGTTCGTCGGTCGGAAGTTATAATAAAAAAATGGGAAAATTTGGAAGCATAGATGGATTTTTGTAACTCTTTCACGTAAAAACTACAGAATGGATATGTATGAAATTTGGCACAGATATAGATTATAGTCTAAAATAAAACATAGGCTTATAAGAACTTAACCAGAACATATACTTACCCTCGGGGCGCAGGTGCAGCCGCTGGCAAAAGTTTCTGTAACCTAATTAAATATTAGACTGTTGATAAAAATAGTTAAAATATAGTAGATTTGGTTTGGTTCTAAGAATTTATACAAATCTAATTATTTTAATCGGTTCTTTAAAGTAAAACGCAAACAACTTTAGATAAGGATGAATAAAATCTTATAACTTCGGTAACCTGTCGGAGCTATTAAATGTTTTAATATAAACAGTTCGTTAATTCCGATAGTACCTAACTAGAAATGCAGGTATGTTATCCAGTGGAATCTCAGTCATCATCATCAGCCTATAAATTCCCACTGCTGTGCAAAGGCCTCTTCTCATAAGGAGAAGGTTAGAGCATTAACCACCACGCTTGCTCAATGCGGGTTGGCGAATTCAAACTTAAAATTAGAAATTATAAGTTCAGGTTTCCTCACGATGTTTACCTTCACCGTATGTCAGTGGTGTCTAAATAATCATAGAAAGTACATATAACTCGGAAAAAGTCACATTGGTCCTTGCCAGGTTTCGAACCCACACCCTCATGCATGAGAAGCGGGCGCCTTAACCTCCGGGCCACCACGACATTATATCAGTAAATCTTCAGTATTATAATCGACTAGCTTCTGTCGCGCGGTTTCATTCGCTGCTCGGCTCCTACAAAACAAAAAAAAAACGTTTTATAGCCTAAAGCCTTCCTCGGTAAATGTACTAACAAAGACAAAAATAATTATTCAAATCAAACCAGTAGTTCTGGAGATTGTATAGATTGGACTGAAATATTGTACTTATACATGTTTAGTTGATTTAAGGATAGCGGATTTGAGGATTAAGGATAGGGATGGAGGGGAGAATTGGTCTTACGGTAACCTCACTCACACGGCGGAACACAACGTAAATGTAGTTCGTTTTATTATATACGTAATAATATATATGTATATATTTACTATTGAAACGTATTATATCAACGCCCACATCTCGAGTCTTGAATTCCCTGAATCAGAAACAATTTCGGAACATAGGAATTGCCTAATGCGCACTATTTCTGCATAACACAATCAGTAATGATGTAGCTAATCTTATCACCGAATGATATATCTAATTAATAATTGCAATCAATAACAAGAGTCCCGTGTAATTATTTCCGTTCTCATCGAATGTTTATATACCATATTTAAGTGAGAGAGACAAGCTTCGGCACGAATGGGTCGGCTCGACCGGAGTGTTACCACGGCCTCACAGAATACCAGCGTAAAACAGCGTTGTGTTTCGCCGTGTGAGTGAGGTTACCGGAGGCCCAATCCCTCCGCTTCCCCTATCCCTTCCCAATCCTTATATCCGCAACCCCCATCCCCAAAACGCCGGCAACGCACTCGTTACTCCTTCGGTGTTGCGGGTGTCCATGGGCGGCGCCGATTGCTTACCATCAGGTAATAAGTCTGCTCGTTTGCCGACTTATACAATAAAAAAATACCAGTGTTCTATTACGGGAATTTATTGTGACTTATCCATGTCATTCAAATCTCTTCGATATCCACATACTTTTTAAAGCGATAAGCAATCTTACTGAACTTGGCTAGGAGCACTGTTGAAAGGGTAGGAATAGTGCCAAAGAAATTCTACTTTGCCGTGTTTATGTCGCAGCCAAATAGTTGAATTAGTCATCTATCCAACGGCCTGAATGACTAGTCGTTTGATTGAGTGGCTACATTTGTCATACAGGCTGTAAGTTAAAGGGTGAAGAGATTGTCTATTGGATTGAAAACCGCGTTGCTACCAGAATGGTAGGTTATAGTTATGGAAATCAAATCGCCGTCGTAAATAAAATCAAATGGCTAGTTGAATGATTGAACAGCTAATTTAACCATGCTGTGGCATGTATACTATCCAAACTTCCAAACTAATAATAGGAATTTACCTATGAAATTGCCGTTCTGCAGTACTGGCCATTTCAAATCCAAATAGTTTTTGTTAGGCTAAGGCTAATTGATTTTGTTTTAAAAACATGGGATTCTTTTTCCAAAAGTAGTCATTTGTTTATTGATTAGTGTTACATTTTCATCGCATTTCAAATCAAGAAATTCGTTTAAATTTTTTCATGCAAAACGGCAATTTCATAGGTAAAAGTGCGAAAGTAACTCAGTCTGTCTATCTGCCTGTCTGCCTGTCTGCCTATCTGCCTGTCTGTCTGTCTTTTCTTCACGCCTAATCTACTGAACCGATTTCTGTAAAATTTTGTACACACATAGTTTGGAACTCCAGAAAGGATACAGGATAGTTTTTATACCAAATAGCGAACAGCTAAAAAGCTAGTAAAAAATAATGCTATTGGCATAATATTGAGTAACATAATGTATTCAGTAAATAGAGTTATATTTTATGTCCAAGTGTACATTACAACAACTCGGTTATAAACCTTGTCCGTATGTCTGTTGTTTTATTGCATTTTTAACCGACTTCAAAAAAAGGAGGAGGTTCTCAATTCGATTGTATTTTTTTTTTTTTTTTTTTTTTTTTATTTTTTTTTTTTATGTTTGTGACCTCAGAACTCCGTCGTTTATGGACGGATTTGCAAAATTTTTTTTATGATTGAAAGGATATGCTTCCAGATTGGTCCCATTCTTTTCAAAATCAAGTTTTGATGATGGGATCCATGAGAAATCGAGGGAACTCCTCAAATATTATAGGCAACTATATAGTAATTTTAATATTTTCATAGAGCACTCAAGCATTTACAGTCAAAAAGTAATGTTTGATGAGGTGGAACTGGTGAAGAAGATCAGAAATGGATGATGAAACTTGACACTCGCATAGATATCACAATCAAGGTAGTTCAGCAACTATGAAAATGCACTGTAAACCAATGATCTTAAATAATTATGTTGGAAATGTTATCATCGAACTGATTTAATGATGATTATGGAGCTGGAAGGTAGGCACTGGAACTGCGTACCTAATTAATATATCCTAGCCGTGTTTGGGCTTGTTAGAATTGTTATAAGATGCACTTTGGCTGTAAGGTACTATTGAACTGATGTGATGATGAAGCTGGAAGGTTGGCATGGGGCCTAGTATTGTGTAAGCTTATTAGAGCTGTCAAGAGCAATGGAAAGGGCTATGCTCATAATTTCCGTGCATGTTCGAATCAGAAATGAAGAAATCCGCAGAAGAACCAGCGTCACCGACATAGCCCGAAGAAATGCCAAACTTAAGTGACAGTGGGCACGGCACATTGCTCGTAGAACAGATGGCCGATGGGGCCGAAAGGTTCTAGAGCGGGACCGCACACCTTTGGGGGCGGAGTTTGGCCTAGTATTGGCTATTTTGCATTAGTCCAC